GCGCCGCTCGCTTGGGTGCGCCGCTCGCTTGGGTGCGCCGCTCGCTTGGGTGCGCCGCTCGCATGTGGATTACGTTATATCCGACCTTGTCTCTTGAGCACGCTGAGTGATATGCATGACATCCAGACTTCGGACTGGTACAACAGAAGTGTTTGGGCTGGGTATGGAGAAAAATCAGTAAGAGGGCGAGCTTACAACCCCCCTAAAACACCATGGCCGGATTCCAGCCCATCTTTTGAACCCTGGCAACCAACACAAACGTGGTCCCCGCGAGACAGAAAATGCCCGCAAACACCTTGACGCCCCACCAGCCACTGGGCGTCTCGAGAATCGCTCCGCTTATGGGCGACGTCGTGAGGGCGCCAATGGAGCTGATGGCGAAGAGAAGTCCCGTGCGCCAACCAATCTCCGCCATGGGAGACACCTGCGCGACGAGTGGCGCGATGAGGGAGACGTAGGCGCCCGAAGTGAAGCCAAAGAGGGCTGCGAAGACGATGATGCCAGCATTGCTCGAGTCAGGGATCCAGAGGGCGAGGATCCATAGACCAGAGAGGTAGCAGACTACGATGAAGATGTTGTATCGACCGATTTTGTCGCCAAGAATCCCAGAAGCAATGCGGCCGAACAGTGAAGCGGCATTCAGGATGGCGGGCAGGTACTGCGCGAGGTTGGGGGCCATGCCCACACTGACGGCCTGAGACGGCAGATAGTTGATCGGGACAAAGATACCATAGGTGAAGCAGAAGAAGCCCAGCAACAGGAGGACATATGGCACCTCCTTGAAGGGCTGGGTGATCTGTGCCTTGGACAGCCGCTGGGGACTGGGCGGGCTGCGGGCGCGGACCGTCAGGTTGGCGATGACGAGCAGTACCAGGAGCAGGAAGCCGCTGATGCGCATGGCCCAGCCGTAGCCGACCTCTCGGATGAGGTTGGGGACCATGATGGGGAAGACGACACCGCCCACGCTGGAGCCGGTGGACAGGATGCCGAACGCCGCGCCGCGCTTGGTGGTGAACCAGCCGTGGATGCAGTTGAGCGAGGGCTGGAAGATGGCCGAGACACCAATGGCCGAGCAGACACCCTGGGCCAGCAGGATCTGGTAGTACTTTGTGGCGAGGCTGGTCATCATGATGCCAAAGACGTGTAGCAGACTCCCGCCAAAGACCAGCCAGCGCGGGCCGAAACGGTCGTACAGTTGCCCAACAATGGGACCCATGCTCATCATGAAGAAGAGCTGCAGCGAGGGGATCCAGGCAATCGTGCTGGGCGAGTAGTCTGATAAAAGGTCATTCTGGTAGTATTCCTGAAAGGTGCCGATGCCTATGCGCAGTAAGGTGTCAGTCCAAAACTTCCAACGACTCTACGGGTGTGCTGCGGTTTGCTTGGAGATCTCACTGTTCAGCCATCCGAATGAGCAGAAGGAGGTACACCAGACCCCCAGAACGACCGTCCAAGCGGCGAGCCCGCCGTCGGGAGGCTCCGAATCGGTCGTCGTCTTTTCCCCTGTGGCTTGCTCCAGGCTGGGGTCGTCAGGGTGAAGCGTGGGCGACTGCGATCGCCGCGTCGTCTGCGACGGCTCTGCGCTGTCTCTTGCTGACATGGCGAAACGAGTGAACTGACTTGATGACTGGACTGGCAATGAGCTGTTGCGTCGCGCAGAAACGAGCTGTACAGGAGTGAGAGAGATCCCAAGAATCACCACCTCGCTATCCGTATTATTAAGCCCCTTTGCGCGAGCTGCACTAGGGAGAATGTCCTCCTTGCATCCTGGGCTCGGCCTCGGAATTAATATGCAGGGTCAAGCGCGAGCTCCGCTCGAGAAGCACAGACGCCAGGCTGCTGTCCGTAATGAAGCGTTGCACTGGGTGAGTGGTTGGTGCGTGGTGAGTGAATGGTTGGTGAATGAATGGCTCATCGATATTGTCTTGCGAACAATAGTGCGTCATCGCCATGTTTACCTGCGTCTGATGGATCAACTTGCCGTTGTAACAAAAGTCGTCTCCTAATGTTTGAGTCGTAGCATGAGAAACTCATCCCTGCCAGGGTCGCTGGGTGAGGGACGAGATGTGCCGACTGCCGAAGTGCGGAAGTGCGGAAATACGGAAGTGCGAGCAAACGCGTTTCTTAGTTTTCATATTGATTGATTATCCGGCTCGACACCGGCGTATTGCCGTGGCAGAGTTATCCTGCGTTGCCTACGGAATATTTGCAGACCAACAATGCTAATCTTGGCAGCTTCATTGTCTCCATCTTGGTGGCTTGCAGGTCATCACAAGGCTACTAGGCTTACCAATCTGGGCAGCAAGGTAGCGAATAGAAGCAACTCGGAATCGTATTTAATCTAAGACAGGTCTCTCTCGCGATCATCACCCCTCTCTCTACAGGCGAAGACCACAGATAGCCTTGGACATGCACTCGCTGCAGGGTATGCCGTTGGTCGTGTACTCCGTGGACGAGCTCTTCCCAGACGGACAGCCTCCAAACGAAGCACCGCCTGAGACAGCTTGGCTGCACGGTTGCGGCTTGCTGTCGCTGGAGATGGTATTACCGCAGCCGGAGACGTTGCAGGTGATGTACACCCAAAGAATGGTGCACATGGTTTCAATTATAATATCTTTGTAGTTATTTTCTCGCGAGTGTGTTCAAACCGGGGCGCGTTCGATGTTGTGCTGATGAGGACACCATCAAGTCGACTTAGAGACATCCAGTAGATGACCAACAACATTCATCTGTATAAACGACCGAAAACCACATGGCCTATGTTCTGGATTGATTGGTGCTGTACTACATACGAAATTCTGTCGATTGTTTGATCCTTTGGAGCCTTAGTACAAAGCTACATTGCGTGTACGCGACGTAGCTGGGCTGCTCTAGGGTAGGTATGCAACAGTTATAGGACAGGTCACATGACAAGACCATATAATCTTGGCACAATCTTCAGTCTCCGCCGTCACGATTCAAGCTTTCCTTGTGCATCTCTAGATCCGATCGCCACAGCATCGAACGTTCATCCCCAGTCTCGACAATATAGCTCCCCAGCGGCATTGCGTGTCTGCCTGGCGATACGTGCAACTGACGATCACGCTTCGCCATCAAACCAGCCGGAGAAGCCATGACGTTCCTCCCCACCACCCGCCTCGACTCTCCCGCGAAACCGGTTTTCCTCCCGCTCATCCATCCATCCATCCATCCACCCATTGATTCTACTACGTACGTGTGCAGCTTCTAGTTTTTCCATTCGACATTGTAGAAACGTGGTTCTGCGCCACACAGGTCTCCTAATTAGTCAGTGGCTTGCGGCGCTTGCTCCCTGGGCCCTCCCGCGCTCTGGTGACGACGCAGCACTGTAACCTTCCCTTCTCCCCGCCCGCCCCTTCTGAAACGTGCAATGGCATGACGTACTGATCGACTTCTCCGATGGCCTTGGTCCCTGTTTTTTTTAGAGATCCTTTCCAGGATGTAGCCAGGCAGGGTGGCCTCCAAGTCATGATATAAGCTGGCTACGTCGTCGGGACAGCCAGATGAGACCCTCAAGTTGACCTGTAAAGCAACCTCTACCATCAATATCCATACACAGTATATTCAACATGGAGTGGACCAAGCAGACGTATAACAGCCAGTACGAGAAGTGGGTGCCCTGGATGGAGGACATGTACCTCTACTACTTCACCAAGGACAACAAGACCAGCTACGCTGCCAAACGTACGTTCCAGATCCCTATCTATCTATCACCTCGCCATGCAGCCACCTGACCCGCGCAGAAAACCTTGACAAGTCCAAAGTCACGGGCGTCGACCAGGTCGACAAGCTCCAAGACGGCGTCAACGGTGTCGCCGCCGGCCAACTCGGACAGGGCGGTCTGCTCCAGCCTGTCGGCGACCTCACCTCCAAGGAGGGCGCCAACCGTGCCGAGCGTCAGGGCAAGGGCAACGACGGGAGCTACGTGCCCGGCCAGGAGAATCTAGCCAACGCCGCGTCGGGCGTCGCCGAGGGCGGCAAGAATGTCGCTGGCTCAGCTGCCTCGGGCCTCAAGGGCGCTGGCGGCTACCTAGGTCTCGGTGGCGGCAATAAGCAGGAGGGTGAGGAGAAAGAGCAGAAGTAGAAATATGATACCACGAACCATGCGACACGGAACCGACGGCAAGAAACAGAGCGAAGTTGAATTAATCCATAACCATTGCAATTAATGTTGAGAACGACAACGTTAAACAAAGCAGGGTATTTGACACAACGCAGTCCACTTCCTCACATTTTCTATTCCTCGTCCCAGGTGACCTTCATCGTCGTAGGGAAGGGCCAGATACTGCCCCAATCCTCGGTCAGGTACACATAGAAGCCTCCTGGGCGAGGAACCTTCTTCAGCAGACCCTGAGGTCCAGCAACCCTGCGCAAGTTCTTCTTGCGGAATACGGCGCGGAACAGCTCGGCGAGAGCGACCTGGCTGATGCCGCGGCCAAGACACGCGTGCGGGCCGTCGCCGTAGTGGATGTACGCACCTAGCGGACGACGGGGGTCGATAATGTCCGGGTTGGGGAAGTGCTTGGTGTCCTTGGCGGCACCCACAAACGAAACGAAGACGCGATCGCCCGCCTTGACGGATACTTCTCTACCGTCGTCTTCGACAATGGTGTCGTCGACAGAAGCCTTGCGATACAAGCCAAACGTACCGGCCATGCGGATGCCCTCCATGGCGTAGCCGAGGAGGAGGGCGTCGCTCTCGTCGGAAGATGGCTGCAGGGCGATGCGGCGAATCTCGTCCAAATAGTATTTGCCCTCCTCAGACAAGTACCAGTCGACAGCTTGGGCGAACTAATTCTAGGTTAGCGTTATTTTCGACGAACAAGACAAGACAGTCACTCACCACTTGGGCCTGGTTCGGCACCATGGCACCCGCCGTGGGCAGGATCTGGCTCCAGGTTATGTCGTACGCGCTCAGGCCAGCCTTCTTGAGACCCTTGGCCATGTTGACACCGTACGAGGACAGAGGATCGTCCTTGTTGGTTTTACCAGTAAAGAGACCGCCGATGCCGAGGGTCGTGGCCAGCTTGACGTTCAACTCAACAGCACCACCCAGCTTCTCCGTCACCTCCTTGGCGGCCTGGCGCAGGGGGAAGGACTTGGCAGGGTCAATGTCGAAAAATATGCACACAAAGATGGCAGAGAGCGCCTTGTACAGCTCCTGCTCCGAGAAGACACCCTTGGGGTTCTCGCGCGTCTTCAGCGGCAGGTTAAACATGCGCGAGACAAAGTGCGTATGCGCGAGATTGCCAACATCACGGATCAGGTCCACCTGACGTGCACCAGCAAGCTTGTACGACTTCTCCGCGAGCAGCTTGTCGCCAATCATGGCGTAGAAAGACTTGATGGACTCTTTCCAGCCATCCTTGTACAGCAGACTACTCATGATCTTGCGCTGCTCCGCGTGCTGTGGCGTGTCACCCGACAGCATGAAGCGTCGGCCGCCATCGCCCATCAGGAAGCCCAGCCCTTCCTCCCAGCACACCTTGTACTTCTTCTGGTTGTTGAGGATGTACTTGGCACCGCCGTAGCTGGTAATGTTCACTCGGGGTGTCTGGAAGGTGGGGCGGTCGAAGCTGAAGCGATCGACGCGACCCAAGTTGGTCAGGATCCTGCGGTTCTCGTCGGGCGTGACCATTGGGTAGTGCGCATAAACAGAGTCGCCCTTGAAGTGGTTGGGGAAAGCACGGATGAACAGCTTGTAGAAGACACAGCCGTGGTTGACGTTCAGATCGTAGTCGACCTCCTTGTACCCCCAGTTGGTCAGGTTTCCTGGGTGATAATCGGTCGTGTAGTAGCGATCACCACGGACGAGGGCCACTGCATCCGACAGGACCACACGCGAGACGGTGTAGGTGGGTGCAATACCGACACCGGGAACCATGGGGGACTTGGCCTCCTCAGCGACGATGCCGGGGTAGAGCTCGACGTTGTCAGGGTGTTGGTACAAGTTACGTAGCTGCTCGGCAATCTCGGGGTCCGAGTTGATTTCCTCAAAGGTGTCGTAACCCTTCATACCAAAGTGCTTGCGGAACTCGTTGAGTCCAGCGAGATTCCAGCGGCGGCCACGGATAATGCCCAACATCTCCACAGGCTTCATGATCCGAGGCACGTTACGCCCGCCAAAGGCACCACCAGGCTGCTCAATTGCCGTGGCAAGCGCCTCCATCAACTCATCGTCGTTGAAGCGGCCATCGGGACCACGCTGGAAGCCACTGAATGTGCGCTCGGAGGGTTCCTCGGGGATGGAGGCCTCGAATTTCTTGAGGGCCATCATCAGGGCCCGCATGTCCATCTTGCCATAGTCCTCCCCCAGAAGCTCCACGTAAAAGTCTTTGATCCACTGCTCGTCCATCTCAGAGATGCACGAGTGCCAGCGGTAGCAAAGGTTGAACTCGGCAGAAACAACGTTGCCGACGCCTGCCTCGGAGCCTTCCTTGGTACCAGCAGAGACACCCATCTCTTGTCGAGGATCTAGGGTCCACGTGGTATCGGCTCTGTTTAGATTGACAATGTTGCGTACGTAGTCGATCAGGGTGATGTTGATGTAGAGACCACTTGTCACGAGGCGCGCGGTCTGGAAGAGCTCCTCGTCACGCTTCTTCAAGGCAGCGGCAGCCTGCTCCTCGCTCATGTCAGGAGTAGGGGCTGGAAAACGATTGCCCTCATTGATGTCGGCAAGGTTGGTGGCGACATGATTGTGGAAGCGATTGAACATGATCAGAAGAATGATGACACCGGGCGGGTTGCCAATGAGGCGCTTGTCGGCGAACGTATCAGGCTTCAACATGCCGTCCTTGAACGTGCGGATCGAGTCCTGCTGGTCCTGGGTGTTGCCATATAGCGGTGCGAGATCAAGGTACGAGGAAGTGTCGTTCTTGTTCTGATCCTGCATGTTGGTCCAGAACAGATCTACCAATGTCAGTCATGTTCCACTCCAGGAGCCACAGGGGACATACCGTGGATGATAATAGTCGCCCAGTACCAAAGAATTGACGAGACATTATTCGGGTTTTTGCGAAATCCATCGCGCGCCATGACCGCCTCAAAGATGGCCTCGGGGTCGGGCTGAGCTCCAAGCTGGACATGCTTTGGCTTGACAGAACGCGCATACGTGTGCCCCCGCGCGCCTAGCTCTGGCATGACAGGGTTCTACTCATCAATCAGTCGGATTGAATCCTAAAGAAATCCCGATTTTGAACTCACATTGCCCCAACCATCTGGGCGTCGGTACTTGGAATCAGGACCAACATAAAGCAGGGGTGGATGGTCCAAAGAGTTCCAAAGCTTGTCGATGAAGCTGTTGGTCAAGGCCTCCTGGGTCCGCGAGTGATCTGGGAGTCCAGCGACCAGCTGAATCGTTCGTTCCATGAGCATGGTCTTGTCGTCTTGCTGAGTTTCACCCTTGAGCTTGGCCGAGATGATACCCTTAAGGGTTTGGAGCTCTGGGCTACATTAGCTTATGCCGACGGACGTCAAAAAAGCCAGTCCTCACCATAGAGGCCGATGCGGCTGAGGTCCTGGCCGATGCCAGGCCTCTGTGTTGTCTTTGGGTAGTTTCCATCTCCCATTTGCGTGGGCAACGGACGCTTGGACGCCTTCCGCAGCGCCATGAGGCTCCCGAGCTTCGAAGTCTCCTTGGGCTTGGACGATTCGCCTAGGGGAGCAGGCTCCGATTTCTTGCCGCTCGAACGTGCCGGGGCCCCATTGGTCTTATTTTGAAAGCCATTTGCCTTGTAGCCATTCTGGCCTGGATTGCTGCCATTTTCCTTCGAGTCAGCCATATTAATGAGCGGTGCGCAAGCTCGCGACAGGTGGGAGCATAGGTCAACCAAGCCTTGAAACCCAGAGCTGGGTGACTTCCCCTCTTAAGGCACCACGCATGCTGTAGAGAGCAGCTCGTGTCTCGTCGACTGCATGCCTCGCTCCACACGCCAGCTCCCTTTCCTCACAGCTTCATTCAGCTTTCAGTCACTGTGAAGACAAGGGAGGGCCCAATGTTTGTCGTCATGTCTTAAAGTAGGGCCTGGGGTGGGTGGTAACACCACTACTGCATGCCGGTCCACTTGGTGGACATGCATCGCTTCTCGAGCGATCGCAAAGTCGGCAGACCGCAGATGGCGCCTTTTAAGGTAACATCTGCCATCTTCGCTAAAGTAATGCCACCAGAGACGGCGGTCCGCATGTGGCTGTTGCTTCTGCCACCACACACATACCGCCCGCACCGCTCTCACGAGCATCGCTAACATCAACCAATCCGAGCGGTAGTAGCGTGTGGAAGCCAGTAGGGTCGCGATAGGTAGAACATGTTTTTGGGGGCTCGTACGAGTAACCAAACTATACCAGGGCTTAAATGACTGGCGCGGAGTCCGGCATTGTATTGCATACGAGCGCTTCTCGGACGTCCAGTCATCGTGGCCTCTGCACTTGGGTTCCAGACTCGCGTGATACAGCCTGCCCTTGTGCAACAGACTGAGCGATTGCCAGATTGCTTCTCGCCAAGCTGCGAAAAAGATCCAAGATTAGTTTGAATTGGCGGGTCGTAATTGGAGGACCGGCCGAGACAACCAAGCCTCATATCCGAGCTAGGGCCTTCCCACCTAGGGGCCAGCGATCCATGCCGCGAGTCGTGAGCGGCTGGAGTCGCTACACTGACCTTGTCCTGGAAAAACAAGCCAATACGTAATCAAGCCTTGGTAGCTAAGATCGACAGATTTCCTAGATTTGAATCGACAGATTCGCAGACCGCAAACGCCATCATCTCGTTCGGGAGGGGACATCTCTGATGCGCATCTCGATTAGAGTCAGCGGTCTTTAGAACCTTCAGCCAGTCTCAGGACGATGGTTTGTCCCCCATGTTGCATCCAAACTCGAAGATGAAGAAAGCGGCAAGTTCCCAGGCCGGCATCAGTACCGGGCACCGGCGAGCTAGTGTCGATAGTCGGGAGCGGCCCGCTTGGAGACACAAGTGGTGTCGTCTTTTGCTGCTTTACATCGTTCGAGGCTTCGGCTACAGCATTGGTCGAGCCATTCCAGCGAGACGGCGAGAACTTGTGAACTGGCTTTGTTGCGACGGCGACGGCCAAACACAGCCGCAGGCGATCGCAATTTGATGCCAAGTGAGCAATAGACGCCGGTCGCCCAAGCAGGGAAAGTCGCGACATATCTAGTCGCCATGTTCGCAGCTGAACATGTGCCCACACCGGTATCATGCACGTTCCACCATTCTTTCACGTACAACGGTCAGCGAATCTCGTCCTACCCTTGTGCAGATCACTGAGGCAAGTGGTATAGACTAACTAATTCTGCTGATCGCCGCTGATCTGGTCGAACGATCCAGTGAAGCTGGTGCCTAGCTCTTCGATCCGCGACTGACCCGGAGATTTAGGAGACGGAGCTATTGCACATGTTCTCAAGTGTCTTTCTCCCCAGCGCCTAATTCGTGAGCGCTGGATCAAAGTGAGCGCCATCTCGTGCGGGAGCGGCAGTGTATGGACACAATGTCCCCACCTCAATCTGCCGGCGACTGAAACCTGCAGATTCAGCTGGGCCGGCTAGGCCAGCTTGGGCCAGCCTCTCCTCCGCTCCAATAAGAAAAGGTAATAATCGAACGGCTTCGCTTCTGCTATGGGCACCAGCCTTTGACCGTGTAGCCAGTTGAGATTAGTACATGGGATACTGTGGAGTGACTGCGATTTTCCATCCCGTCAAGCTCACACGGAATAGACACTATGCGAGATTCAGCATTGTGATAGCAGCCAGTTGGGATGTGTTCAAGCCAGTGTATAAATCAAACTCCGGAGCTATGCACTTTACGGCGTCATTCAATCATCTACATCCCGCGTAGATCTTGAACATCAAAAGTCAACTTGTTGCTCTCATAGACGTGGCCTTCGGGTTGCATAGCGCCTCGGTATAGGTTGTCGATAGAATGTTGATGGAACGTGTCGCTGTGCGTGCAATTGAGAATATGCTCCAAGCCAGGAGGGTTCGTAAGCCGAAAAATGCCATATCTGTCCATGTTAGACAACTCATCCCTACAAATACTCATTTATGCAAACGAGGAAAAACTTACGATGGCTCAAACTTTGGGGCGCAGACAATGGCAATACTCTCTGGCATCATGATCTGGTACCCTGCATGGGTGTGAAGGTCTCGTGAGCTCATGAAGCAGGTCTGAGTCGGGTGTGTATGTATCCATCCGACCATGAGAAGGTCCTCTTTATCGCAAAAGTCAAACAAGGCTCCTTCGTTTTGTGTCTCGCACGTGTCTGATGTGGACTTTTGATCGGGAATGACGAGGCAGCGAACGAACAGGGCATTGTTCACCGGGGTGCCGCAGAGAATACCACACATCTCCAGCCCAGCTCTGGTGTTCTCCGCCGCGAGGCTGAGAAACTTCGCGCGTAAGCCGCCAGGCAAGAAGATGGATCGAATAGGATCGCCATTCTCCAGATATGCACCCGGTTTGAAGGCCAGACGCTCCTTCTTCGCAGGGCGGGGTGGCTCGATGGTGGTCTTTGGCGGGAGTGTAGGCCCCAGGCCACCTGACGGTTGAGGCGGCAGTGATGGGACCAATGCCTTGTACTCTTCGAGTGCAACTTTTCTCGGCGGCGGAGGAGGTTTCGACAGCGAGCCCATGCTGTCGAAATCATTCACCGCGGGTTCCTTGGGAGGAAGCGACGGCTGGAGTGGCGATGGCAACGACTGTTGCGATGGGGCCCTCTCGTAGTTCACTGGGCGTGACTTTGATATGGATGGATAGTTGTAGTTCTGGGACACAAAGGCCGTGTTTGTGTCTCCATGAAGCATGGCGTCGTGCTGGCCCTCTGAGCTTGGCGTGTCGAGCTGGCGCCTCGCAGCGGCCATCTGCCACTGGAGGTCGTTGTCCGTCGTGGAAGACGTTGGCTGTCGCCACTCCTCCCAGCGCCCAGCTTTCCTCCGCACCAAGCTCTCCTCCTCAGGGATGCCTGCCCGTCTCGACGCTCTTCTAGCTGTGTCTCGGCGAAGCAGTTCCCTCTGCGCCAGGTCGACAGCAAGCTCCTGGTGCTCTCCAGCGTCCAATATCTTGGCGTTGCCGGTCAATGTAGGGTCGCGTGCTGCAAAATCAGCATATCTGGAGGTCACCTCTGGCGACTTGCGGCTCGGCTCCTGTGCTGGTCTCATTCGCTCCCACTCTCGGCGCGCCTTCTCCAGTTCTGGTTTCAGCTGCTCGAGGTCGTCCATGACCTGACCGATTCGTCTCGATAATGCACGGCAGGCTTTTCGTTGCTCGGGATCTTTGTATTGTGGATGCTGAGGAATCCAGTGTAACACGAGAACCGAGTGTCGATAGAGCATCACGTACGCTCGAGCGTAGTCGCCTTCCGAAAGTGCAAAACTGGCCTGCGACGCTTGTTAGTCTTGGTTCCACACAGGCAGTCTGGATGGCTTGCCTCTTGGTATAGCGTCTCAGCGGCTCTTGTCCAGTGCCTCAGAGGGATGTTGTTGTTGAAAGAGAAGCTCTCCGCTTGGGCGACTAGCTCGCTGACCGACTGCGGCCTCGAGGGCCGCATAGCAACTCGACCGTCCATGCTGGTGATCGATACCGGGGGGTCAAGTACTGAATGCGAACAGCACTATTGGGAGCTTTCGTGTCGAGCGATGAGCTGTGGCACGCTACCAAGTCATCATGCTGGGGTGTCTGGCGTAGGCATCCACAACAGGAACGACTCGATCGACTGGCATCCGATGCGTAAGACGCAAGTCGTCCCCGAAGATTGTAGCTTCAGCCCGAGGAGAAACGAGAGCGATAGGAATGAAAGGATGTGCCAATGTGCGTAGGAGGACAGGTGACGGGAATCGCAAAGAACTTGTCGAGCATGGGATTCTGGATACAGGCGTGCCCCTCTAACATTCCGTGGAGGGAGCTACAGTGCATTCGGGGTTGGAGCAGACAGAGCTGGCTGGTGCGCCATGACGAAATGGTGCATTTATGCGGTTATCGGGGCCCTGATTATTCACGATATGCTTACGCCGAAAGGAGACCGTCGAGCAACATTTGGCCAGAAAACACGTAAGATCATGGACACAGACGATAAAGCGAATTTCACAAGCTGCTGAATGCAAGTTCAAGGGGTTGTTCGTAATCAAAAGAGTCTTACTGAGGTGCAGCTTGACCCTGACCTTGACCTTGTTGAGCAGCGGCTTGAGCTGCCGACTGGATCTGAATAATCTCGGTTTTCTTCTTCTCCATTTTGTCCTGGTTTTCCTTGATTTGGTCCTCCAGTCTCGATCTAGTACTGAGTCAATTTCCTTGAAGCTTCCATTCTGCCAGATGTGCGACGACTCACATTTCCCCGTTGATGAAATCCAGACGACCCTTGACCGTGTTCTCTGCCTCAAACTTGTCCTGCTTCAAGAGAACTGGGCCAACAAGCTTGAATATGGTCTCATCGTCCCCCAAACTGTCGAATTCCTGGGTCGCGTGAGCCACTTCTGTGATGTACTGCTCAGGTGGCTATACCTTTTGCACACCAGTGTTCTCTTGCTTCTGGCCTTCCAACCTTTGCCGCGAAGCGACAGTACCTTGGATCTCTGTACTCTTGGTCAGATTCCGCATGGTGGCCCCGGGTCTTCAAAATCACCTTGCTGGATCCTCTGGTAGTCTTCCGAAAGAGATTGCAATCTCGCCTGAGTATCGGCGGTCGCCATCTTGACGGAGCACCCTGCGACTTTTTGATAGCAGAATGAAGGTGAATAAGATGCTGACCGTCAGCTCAGGGGGTCGTGAGTCTCTTATCCCGTTCCAAATGCGCCTCCTGAGCGTTTGTTCGGTGTGCCCCTCCAAAAGGTCGTGCTCGAGTCGAGCCTCAATAGTGGGAGTGCTCCAGGCACCCGCTATGCGCATAACCTGCTTTCTTGTTTCCCCGCCAATCCGTCGAGACGCAGTCCACGGCAGGCTGGCAGGCTGGTGCAACTGGTTACTCGTGGTGCCTGGATAACGGTCTTTCCACTGTCACTCTGCTCTTATCGATCACAGGCGCAACATCGCCACGGGGATTGTAGACGTCTTTTTTTTTCTGTTGGTCTGCCATACACGATACCAGAGAGCCCATCGATACCGCGTCGAAACGACTGCCTACCACCATCATCGTCACGAGCTTCCTTGCCCTCCCCCGCGCCGAATCGACGATCCTCCTGCGCATCGCCCGCCAGAACACCCCATACCGCACACTTTGCTGAAGCTGTGCTACTCGACGACGCACCACAGCACCACAATGTCGGTCAACTTTCGCGACCGGGCCATTGCCGAGGTGCAAAAGGCCATCACGGCCGACCACAACCAGGAGTACCAAAAGGCCTTTGACCTCTACATGTCCTCCATGGAACTCTGGGTCAAGGCGCTCAAGTGGGAGAAGAACAAGGCACTCAAGGCGACGTTGCAGGAGAAAATGGCAACATACCTGGATCGCGCCGAGAAACTCAAGGTGTTCTTGCAGAACGAGGCCGAGGCAGGCAACAACGGCAGTGGGAAGTCCCTCATGGGCGTCAACGGTTCGAGCACTGGTAAGGCCAAGAGCGCGCCCGAGGACGACGACAACAAGAAGCTACGGAACGCGCTCTCGGGCGCCATCTTGCAAGAGCGGCCAAACGTGCGGTGGGAGGACATTGCTGGTCTGGAGGGTGCCAAGGAGACGTTGAAGGAGGCCGTCGTCCTGCCGATCAAATTCCCCTCGCTATTCCAGGGCAAGCGCCAAGCATGGAAGGGCATCTTGCTGTATGGCCCCCCAGGTACAGGCAAAAGTTACCTTGCAAAGGCCGTGGCTACGGAAGCCAACAGCACGTTCTTCAGTATCAGCAGTTCGGACCTGGTCAGCAAGTGGATGGGTGAGAGTGAACGCTTGGTCAAGGCGCTCTTCTCCATGGCGCGTGAGAACAAGCCATCAGTCATCTTCATTGATGAGATTGACGCGCTTTGTGGGCCGCGTGGTGAAGGCGAGTCCGAGGCATCAAGACGTATCAAGACGGAGATCCTGGTGCAAATGGATGGTGTAGGAAACGATAGCAAGGGTATCCTGGTGCTCGGCGCGACAAACATCCCGTGGCAACTAGATGCAGCCATCCGACGACGATTTCAACGACGTGTACACATTGGTCTACCTGACCTGAATGGCCGCGCCAGGATGTTCAGACTTGCGATTGGCGACACAGATACGGCATTGGTAGCAAGCGACTACAACATCCTGGCGCAAAAGTCAGAAGGCTTCTCTGGCAGTGATATTGCAAACGTGGTGCAATCTGCGCTGATGCGACCGGTGCGCAAGATTCTGCAAGCGACACATTTCAAGGCCGTAGGTTGCTCCCTCGCCAGGCTGCTTTTGCTTCACGACTAACGTTCGCCCCAGGTCATGAAAGATGGCAAGCGCATGCTGACTCCTTGTTCACCGGGTGAGCCCGATAAGATTGAAATGACCTACGATGACGTCGACTCGGAGGAACTCCTCGCGCCCGACGTATCACTCAAAGACTTTGAAGTGGCGTTGGACGACTCGCATCCGACGGTGTCAAAGGACGACATTGAGCGGCAGATTGAGTGGACGAACGAGTTTGGTAGCGAGGGAGCCTGAGAGGCTGCGGCTCTAGATCATGACGGTTTTGAGTTTCTTTTCAAGCGTAACGAAGAGAGCGCGTGTGGGACTTGGTTGATCAATGCCTGGCATGGCAGATGCCGCAATGGACTTTTACGTTAGTAGCCCGCATACATATATGTACAAATCCTTGAGGTCACCTCCAACGGGTGTGCGTTGACGTCGCAAGTTGCAACGGCTCCGTCCGGATCCCCATTCCCCACTAATTACCAGGTGCTCCGCCGGCATTTCTCCCAGTGCAGGAAAACGCCAAATCTTGAACCTCCGCGCCCCGTACACGCACATTGTCGCATCACCTCCCCGAACTCGTCCACGGCAATTCATGATAGTACTCTGCCGCCATGCGCCGCCGCGCCTCCCCCCGCGCCTCCATGCCTGCGGCAAGCCCTGCCAACGAGCCTACGCGACAGCCAAGGCATCCACTGCCGACGACAAGGCCGCAACGCCGATAGCCAAGCAGCTGAAGAGGCTCGGGGCGTGGTCAAAATCGGGCGAGAAGACGCGCATCGGCGGACGCAAGCGCGCAAAGAATGCATTGGGCACGAGTGAAGCGCGCAGGGTCAATATTGTCAATGAGGAACTTTGCGGTAGGTCCATCCACGCTGCTGCTGGGAAGATGCAACGGTGCTGACGGCAGAGACTAGATGAAGCCATTCGAAGGCTCGGGAAAACGCTCGAGAAACACAAGGGATGCGATATCCTCGACATAGGCTCCGGTGCTTGTCTCTGGAGCCGTGCACTCCACGACACCGTCCAGCCACGACGACACTTGATACTCGACGCCGCAGCCGATCTCTATGAGCCAGTGCGCAAGGAAGTCATGGGCGAGCGACAGTACGACGTTATACCAAAGTCAGGTATCCTCTGGTCCGACCTCAACCCAATCCTCGACAAGGAACTAGACCCAACCCACAAGCGCCCCGTGGACGAGACCACGCCACATGACGACCTGCTTATCACCCTTAACATCTCCATCTGGCCCAAGAAGTCGACCTGGGGCTTCGACAATGTCACGCAGCTCCTTCTCTACCAGATCATGCACAGCATTCGCACCCACACGCAACTGCAGCGATACGCCAAAGTGCGGATGCTGGTATGGTGCAACGACGAGACGAAGAAGATGGTGCTCCCACGCACCCTCCGCGCGCGCAAACGGTCCGCATTCGAGGCGCAGATGTCGTGCGAGTGGATCCGCGAAGTAGCAGGCAGCGATGAACCAAGCGATAGCGACAGGCTGTACCTACGAGACAAGTGGATAGATTACGAGTCTGCCGCTGGTGCTCGTAGATCCATGGAAACTTTAGGACTCAGCACGCCGCGTCACCGTGAGACCCGACTTCAATCCTTCCTTCGGCAGAATCCCAGCCTGCTTACTGAACCGCTGGCTGGTGTACGCCCTCCCCTCTATGAGCGACCTTTTCGGGCAGAGCTCGCCGAGGTCGAGGCTGCAGCGGACAGCAACGACGCAGCACTCCAGAAACGGGTCATGTCTCTGAGATCGCGAAACAAGGCCGAAGACCGCCATGCACAGGAATATCTCGAGCATCTTCACGTCCATGACAGGCTCATGGCCATGGACCCGTCCGACCCCGACTTCGCCGCGCTCGCCGCGTCCTACGAGGAGTCCGTCACTGGCATGAAGAAGAACCAGCTGAAGGAGTACGTCGTCGTCCGAGACAACTACCACATGTTCAAATACCAAGACCGTGGTCTGTTGTGGGATCAAAGACCCTACGAACCTCTCGCTGTCAGCCCGCTCGACTTTTACCCCAACAAACCCCTTGCGCTCCTCGATATCCAGCCCAAGCTGCTTTCCCCGGTCCTTCGAAACCACGGGCCCAACACGGATCGATCAGGCGACTATGGCAACATCATTCTGAAAGAACTGTTCCATCGCACCGCCCAGCCCATTGCAGGAAGTCTTCTTGACAACATTGCACCAGGCTTCGCCGAGATGGTCGAGGGCTCACGAGCCCCGAGTCTGTGGGACCCCAAGATGGGCGGCAACCCATTGGAGGGGGAATCTGGCCTGACGGTGCGAGGCATGAGCGTGAAGCACTTTGAGGAGATGATGGAGGCATGGATGCGATGGCCTTTCCGACCCGACTATCTGCACATGCTCGCCCGATCGACGACAATCAACGAGGAGGTCGATAACACGGTGGACGACGACGACATGGCGATGAAGTCGGGCGAAGACGAAGGCGTGGAAATACTGTAAGAAAAAATATATTGTAAATATGTACTACAGCAGATCGAAATGGGTCCTGACAATGGGAACCCTGTAACAAAACACCAAAACGCCGCCGCCATTTCTTCCAATACTCTTCTTTGCAAATAACAGTAACAACTACCACCACCAAGACCATGTCTTCTCCAGCGTGGGATCTGCAAGGACATCTTCCACCCAGCCCATGTATTGCCGACGATCGTCCAGTAGTCGGGCATACTCCAGCAACACGCGCAGCGTGTAGACCTGCATGTCCTCCTTGCGCAGCACGCGTTCCGCCCACTCCTTGCCCGCACTGGCAATTTTCTCCGCCGCGGCGTCATGACCACCGCGACCCTGGAAACCGAGAAAGTAGTTCATGATGCCGTAAAAGTCGCCAAAGCGGTTGTCCATGGGGACGAAGTGCTTCCAGGCCACCAAACGGCTATCGTGCCACTCGCGCCAGACAGTCGCCTTGATGGGAAGCGAGGTCGACCGAAGGAACCCGAGATAGCGTCCGGAGAAGCTGTTGCCATCGATATCCGGCAAGTACTTGCTGTCAAACTCCTCAGACATGCTCATGCCGGGCAGTCGGCTGAAGAATGGGTCCGTATGCGAACACGCGCCGTTCTCTTCTCTGGGCTCACAGCTGAGATCTGTGAACGCAGTGTCGGACCACTCGCCCACCCAGTCACCCAGCACACCAGCCTCCTTCGCAGGAAGGTCATATTGATCCTCTGGAAGCGCCCAGTTTTCAGCTCGGCGGAACTGGTGCTCGACATCTGTGACGGTCGTTGCATTCGTCATGGCGACGAAGCGATGCCGTTGGAATCCACGCCAGTTGCTCTCGCGATTCTTGCCTCCAGTCGCCACGCCGCGCCAGATGGCCTTGGTGCTCTTCTCGTCCCATGAAGGGCCGTGATCCTCACCGCCGGTGAATCGTTCCTCTGCGGCCCAGTACATGGGCGCGGGCAAGAGGATCTCGTTGTTTACGCCAAGTTTGGATCCGCCAAAAAATGGAGTCAGAACCTTGGTTGAGGACACTGAGAGCGGATCAATGAAGATTCCCTCCAGCCCCTGGAGATCGCCTTGATGACAAATGTCCGTAGACAATGTGAAATTGTACACATAGCCATCGAACATGTGAGGATCGGCCAAGCTCATGTTGATGTCAGGGGGCTCCTCGAATGAGTCCTGAAGTGGCATCTGCCGCGCAGAGCTGGCCGGTGGGCATCCACGTCGTGCTATTTTCCAGAACGGTCTGGTGCCTTCCCAAGCCCTCGGGCGGGTTTTGGTCATGAGATCGCCATAACCTGGGGGCGGGAGCTTCTGCGAATCACTGCGCATGTGCTTGGCCTTGGGCAAGCGGACGGTCTTGGATGCCTTTTTCATGTATTGTGCCATGTCCTCCCAGGGCACCACCAGACGAGGCTCATCCATGGCGTTTAAGGGGAGGTCCATGTCGGGTAGAAGATGGGCAATGGTGGAGGTCATGTTCAGCCAGATTTGCGTCCAGAACCAATCGCTTCCTGCAGTTGCGACACCATCTCGAATGTTGATTGTCATTTCCCAGTCCCAAGACTCCTTGCGAATGACAGCGGGATCAAGACCCCACAGGGGTTCGATATCTTGGTGAACCTGGTCGAAGAAGTCCTCAATGATGAGGGCGTCGTTGGCTTGCGCAAACTCGAACCAGCGGTCAAAGCCAGGAGGCGGGTGGCGCCCACGTCGTTCGCGATACGCTTGTGCTGCTTCCGACAATGTCCTCGTCTCCTTGGACAGGAGCTCTGCAAACGTGTGTTCCGCATCGTAGATGAGGCGATCTATAGGGTGTACGCCTTCAGGCCCACCAGACATTGGCGCGCCGCCTTCGAGGGTCGCCTTGGTTTCCTCGTCGTCGTCGCTGGCTCCAGCAGAGGCATCGGGGCTCTTGTCGTCCGTGGCCTTTTGCGTCGGGACAGGCTTCGCCGCGGGCTGCTCCTCGGGGTTCGCTTCGATCTTCGGCTTGGTCTTTGGCTTCGGCTGGAGCTTGGGCTCCGTGATAGGGGCCTCGGGTGCGAGAGGTCTCGGCTCGGGCTTGGGCGCAGGTCGTTGGACAGCGTTTGCGGGCGGTAGAATCTCCGGCTGGGGTTCGGGAGAGTTGGCGTAGAAGTAGTACAACATTAGCAGCATCGCGCCGACGAGGGTATAACGAATGATACCCGACGGTCGGCGCGGAAGAAACGACGGTGATAGAATCTTGGGCATAGTTGATAGCGGTCGCCGGCCAACCACAAGGGTCTTTGCCTGTGCTTATAGGAGATGCAGGTGCAAATATCGCGTGGTCGATGGACACGGATTGAGCAGACTGTCCTGCTGTCACTCCGGAGTCGCTCAAGAAGCCTGGCCGGCGTCGAATGAAAAGCCGTGTCACCTCGCGTTGTACAACGTGTGATGGACGTGTGGCGGCGGATGCTGTGCTACGCTCGTTGATGAGGCAGCGGAGCGAGGGATGGAGATATCAATACAGCGCAGGCGACATAGTCCCGCAAGCAGAAATCGAGAGAAGGAAATGCAGACCGAACACGACGAGGTTGTGAAGGAACGCAGACAGTGTGGACAGTTACGTCGCTCCCTTGTTTTCTTGGCTCCAAAATTATGCCACCTTTTCAGAAGTCGGAGGAATGCGATTCATACGTGAGCTCATGCAGCGAAAGGGCCCTTAGTTAACCCCCAACTCTCCAAGCACCATGGCGGCCTGGAGGTGCGTAGGGGATTCGTACGCGCACCTTACTGGCTACTCTGGCACGTTTAGAGCATGTGAGATCCACAAGGCTTCACGCGATGATGCACGCCGCCAATCCGTATTTGAGGGATTGTCAGGGGGTTTATCCAAACTTGCAGCATGGCTGATCGATAATGACACGAGTCTCACAGCTGCTTTCGTATTGGGTCTCAGACGCTGACAGAACACGGTCTCAATTGTGAGCCGAAAAAAGGAATCGGTGATGGGCTTTTGGCTTTAGCATGTGTCATATTCATGAGTCTGTTGTGGACGGTTTCGGCCGAATGTTTCACGTATTTAATAGGCACCTCCGTGAGTTGACGCTGGTACTTAATTGAATAACTGCAAATGTTTCGCGTCGAGCGACTCCAGCAAAGATGTGTCGACACCATTACCTCCTTGGCACCAAACACGAGCACGGCTGGGGCTATACATAGGTCGTCAGCCGCTTCTGCCGAAGGCATGCGTGAAGCAGGACGATTGCAAGTTATTCGACAGCAGCCTGATGCAGCGCGCAGAGAATTGTTGTTCGTTGACACAGAGGATGCTGACGGAGGATGGACAAGCCAAAGTATCCAACTTGCTAGCAAGCGCCGCTATCTACCGACACCGATAGCATAGTCGTTGACTCCATGGATACCAGTTGAGAGCATGATCTTGAGGCACGATACGGCCGCAGACCCGAAACGTGGACGATAAGGAGATGGCTCGGATAAGATAAGCTTCATTATCAGACTCTGCCCCGCGACGCGGTGTCCAAGCATGTGAATTCGTCGTGAGTGCGCCAACAGCGGGCCTCCTTGATCGCGTGCTACACTTGTTATAGCCATCACCAACAAGAAGCCTGATTTGACACATCAAATGAAGGACACTCTTCATGTTGACTCGAGTGTCCTGTCACGGCACCCTCAAGCCGCTTGTCATACGCGCCCTACGGCGCGTCGTGGCAGCGCCCATCCACTCTGTACACTTTGACGTTGCGCCCAGAGGAGGGGTCGCGAATGGCGGCTGGCACCGGCTGTGATAAAACGTCATCAGGATCTGGTGACAGCGAATTGAACTCGAAGAATGCAAAGAATATAGCGATCCTGAATCGCACAAGGCTAACTGTAATATGCATGCCACCTACATTGCATCTCGTCTGCCTCGACACCCTGCTGGTGAGGCATTTGCGACCAGACGTACTAGACCCCTAAGTGAAGGTAACCCGCACCCGCTATACCCCTAAGTGAAGGTGCACCGATGGATCCAGTTCGAGAGTCCAGGCGCCCTTCCAAATCACGGACCATCTTGCCCCTAAGTGAAGGTGTATGCGACGTGGACAGTCATAGATTGCTTGTCATGTCGTCCATGCCCCGCCAGGTGATAGCTGGCCCGCGTCTGGCTCTTCCAAGGACTTCACGACGGCAGCTGACCTAGCCCAGACGCGACGACTATTTAACTCTACAGACGTCGCCTTCCATTCCTCCCGCACAACTCACCTCTGCTATGACCTTGGATCTCGCTTTCCACACACAATTCGCGACACGATGACAACCTCGCCCATCCACAACCGCTTCCTTAAATCCCAAGAAGACCTCGGTGTCGTAGCCGTTGGCTTCTCGGGGGGGCAAGGGAAATCTGGCGTCGACGAGGGCCCTCAAGTCCTAATCGAATCTGGCCTCCTCACCCAGCTCTCCGACTCGCTCGGTTACAAGCTCCATGGCGATGACAAGGTCCATTCGTACGCCGAGCTTCTTCCACAATCCGACGAGCCCTACCGAGGGATGAAGAATCCCCTCGCCGTATCCGCCGTCACGCGCCGCATCGCAGAACAGACCTACGAACAGTCCCGCGAGGGGCGCATGACCCTCACTCTAGGAGGCGACCACAGCATCGCAATCGGCACTGTGGCAGGTGTCGCAAAGGCGACGCGGGAGAGGCTGGGGCGCGAGACGGCCGTGATCTGGGTCGATGCGCATGCAGACATCAACAGACCGGAGGACAGTGACAGTGGCAACATTCACGGCATGCCTGTTGCTTTCCTCACAGGCCTTGCCACCGAGGAAAAGGAGGAGTACTTTGGCTGGATCAAGGACGACATGCGCCTGAACAAGAGGAAACTAGTCTACATTGGCCTGAGGGACGTCGACCAGGCCGAGAAGGTGATCCTCAGAGAGCACGGCATCAAAGCGTTCAGCATGTTCGACATTGATAGATATGGCATCGGGCGCGTCGTCGAGATGGCGCTGGCCCACATTGGCTCCGACACACCCATTCACCTGTCCTTTGATGTCGACGCGCTCGATCCTCAGTGGGCGCCCAGCACGGGCACGCCCGTGCGCGGCGGCTTGACGCTTCGCGAGGGCGACTTTATCTGCGAGAGCGTGCATCAGACCGGCAACCTGGTGGCGATGGATCTGGTCGAGGTGAACCCCCAGCTGGCGCAGGACCAGCTGGTTGGTGTGCAAGAGACCATCAGGGCCGGCTGCTCCTTGGTGCGGTGCGCGCTGGGCGAGTCGTTGTTGTAGACTGGCTAATAGCTTGGGGTGGAAGTACCTTGGGACACAAATACAAATCAGGTTAGCCTCGATAAATGTGACTTTTTTCAGAACTACGTTCTCAACCGCCCTGTAGATCATCCGCGACTTCCAGTCTGGGAGTGATTAAAGGCAACATCGTGGTACATTTCTCGGTCTTTTCAGCAATGTAGTTTCTCATGCATCTTTCTACTGATAGATCCGAATTTCACACTTATGACGAGCGTGTTTCTTGTTGTGGTTGTGCCACTTTTTCTCGTAGCCTGCAGGTGTGCATGGCTACCTGTCAGCCGGACATTGATACGGACATAATTTTATGAGTCTGTACATGTACGAGTACGAACAAAGAAAGTACGGTTGAATGGTGATGCAGCCCCTATATATGTAAGACATCTGGAATTACATGCTGTAGTCGAGAGGAACACTCTATCCACCCACACGCAGAGACCCACGATCATGCCCACTTCAACTTTGACCAATGCAGCCGGGCTCCTTTACTCCGTGGCAACTAATCATACCAAGTCATACCCAGCCATTGACCCCGAGAAGTTCAGGCTCCCGGATGATCATGTCGTTTGCATCATAGATGGCAGTAGTGCCGCAGGGTCCGGTCTGGCACGCTCTTTTGCCCAGGCAGGCGCAGCTGGTCTCATCCTCGCGGGTCGTACTCAATCTGGGCTCGAAGCAACGGCGAAAGAAGCCAAGACATTGAGGTCCTCGATAAAAGTCGTGACTGTGTACTGCGACGTAACCTCCAACGACGACGTTGCTGCACTCGCAGCCACAGTCAGAGAGAAAATCGAAGGTCGTCTGGACGTCGCTGTTGTCAATGCTGGCTATAGAGGTCCTTTGTCTAAGGCGACATTCCTCGGGTAAGATGCCAGGGACGTTGAGAAAGCATTCAGCATCCACTGTCTGGGCACTTGGTTTTCTGCCCATCATCTGGTGCCCTTGCTCCTGGAATTCAAGGGGAGCTTCATTGTCATCAGCACCATGGCGGCGCCTATGATCACCGGGTTCGGCACGACTTCGCACTACTCCGCCAGCAACGTTGCTCAGGTCAGGATGGTGGAGATACTGCATGCGCAGTACTCGTGTCGGGGATTCTTCTGCGCCAGCGTACATCCCGGCGGTCTGCAAAGCGGTTTCTCCAGAGCCGCATCGATGGAGTTACAGCAACGTAAGTGATCAGCCATTAGCTACATGCGATTGTATCTCACGCTGATCAGATTTGAACGATAGTCCTGATCTGGTGGGGTCCTTCTGCGTGTGGCTCACAAAGATTCCGAATTCGGCGGCGCAAAAGAAAGCGTTGAACAGTAGATGGCTCCTGTGCAAGTGAGATGTGCTGGATCTGGAACAGCATTTTGAGCGCATACAGCAGAATGACTTGCTGCGATTCAGGATTGCGATCGAGTGAAAAGACAAGGTCCAGTGCTTCGCCATGTTGGTGGCCGGTTCAGAGGAGTTTACGTCTTGAAAACACAGAGATGTGCAGACGCCGCAGACGCCCAGCGTGTTCCGTGGGGATACGCACTCATCCTCGATAATGCAAAGGTTCTCCCTGGGCTGATTTAGGTGTGACAACAAACGACATGACCACTCACAACCACCAGTATCTTGCTGGATTGTAAGTGAATAGGTTCGCCATTTGCGAGAGCATGAACCAGATACGTGGCTGCCACGGTTGCGCGGAGGCTGGCAGCAACGACAAGCGGGAGCATAGAGGGCGCATTGACATATCGTAGGGGACAGGATTTATTTAAGGCATGCTGATGTTATTTAAACCCCGTTTGCGTGACGGAACTGACAAATGGCCCGTCTCAAAAAGTCGGTCAACACTGCAACAGCACTTTCGATTATGCGCTGGCGAGGTGAGGCTGCTCGGGATGTGGTTCTTGGAGAACCCATGCAGCTCCAGCGGTGGAGCTCCAGCCACCTTCTTGCCCGCGTCAAGCCCCCGCTATGCTCCATATTTCACCAGCCACCCTAAATGCGGACGACCCATCACCAGCCTGATGGCATAGCATTAGCACTTTCATTAGCAGCCAACTCGGTGGAGCGGCGAATGCGGGAGGCATCCCAACCGTCTTCGAATGCTTCACCTTCTCGTCTTGCTTTGATGCAATTTTCTGTTGTCCATATTCACTGCCGTATATACCAGGAGTCCCTGCGCCTGACGCAATACCATCTCACCGCCATACTCTACTAGCTATCCGTGACACATCGAGCCGACCGACAGAGACAACAATCCCTCTGGGCATCACCGCATCGTGCAACCGAAATCGCTACGCGCCAACACGTCGCCTTGCCTCCACAGTACAAAATCAACGTCACGAACCAGCTTGAGTCATCCTACGAACCATTTCCTGTCATATGCGACACCCACTCGACTTGGCGAACTCGACCATACAACTGCGGCGCATCGCACGGATTGTGGGACGGACAGCTGCAGGTCCGACGTGGCAGCCACTGAGAGCCCCTTGCCCATCGCGTTGGGCATCGCGAAACGACAGTGTTTTCCCTGCCTCGCCCAGTCGGCGTCCGAAGCTCGAGCAACAATAAGAGCCTGCCTCTGGGAACATTGGTGTGGTAGGTGCACGTCCACACTCCGCCTCCTTCAATCCAACAACGGACAACAACACTATCGAGTCCGCGAGTACACGACGCGAATCCTATCGCGACTTATCCAAGCGACTTCCTGACGAAACACCCCATTCCGAACACTCAGACGCAAGCGTCGCAGACGAAACGCCAGCATGGTGGCCGCCTCTTCGGTTGTGAGTGGCTCAATGTACACGCGCAGCCGCGCGGTGACAAGTCGAGTCCGAACCTACAATTGGCCGCCGATACAGCTCAACTTCTGGATCTTTGTGATGCTCCTCGCATCAACAAGCATCCTCGGGGTCTTTGCAATTTTCATCCAAACGCAGAACCAACTGCAATTACCGGTACCATGGTAAGACGGCCCCGTTGACCGCAGAGGACGACAATGAGCTGACAGCTGGCAGGTACTTCCCATACTTCATCACCGTCTGCGGCCTCACGATCCTGTTCATCCTCGGCCTCTTCTGGCTCATATTTAATCGACGACTACTGCCCGCCATAGTAATGATTGGCGCCTTCATACTGTTTGTACTATGGGTCACGGGTCTGGTCATTGTGTCGATTCAGCTGTTCGGGCCCGAGGGGTCAGTGTCGAGTAACTGTGACATTCAAGTATTCAGCCAGAATCCAAAAGGGCAGACGCTCAAGGTCCTGGCGTATTTGCAACAGAAGAACATCTGTAAGTAAACAACCTATGCCAATTCGTGGAGGACTCGGCTGACGATGATAGGCGAGTCGTGGCGGATGGTGTTTGCCATGGCCCTCATTGGGACAATATTCCTTCTTTGGATCATGATCATGGCTTACCAAGTCTTTGTCAACTCATAGCAGCACCGCGGCTGCTTCAATCGTGGCGGCAGACCTTGTCTGTCTGCACTGTTATCCTAGCTACGACGGGTGGTGTTCCGAGCGCGACGTGAATGATAGACGACGGAAAGAATTCTTAACGAGGTACGGATTAGCATACGGATGGATTTGACAGCACCGGCAGCATTGGGAGGCGCATTTTGCTTTTGCATGGAGTACACTTTCGGGCACACAGGCCGCACAATCTACACACCACTTATTACTCGTGCATTGTTTGCCATCTGCCAACATATACGGAGACGCGACCGTTCTACTTGCCCGCCGACGAGCTAGACCATGCGCAGTATGCAGTTCCTGGCGAGTAGCGGCAACTTTCAGCTCGAGTGAGCGACCAGGCCCAGGTCTAGCCACGTCCTGCTTGCCCCTCACTGCCACCGCCGCAGCACACCAAATTGATCCCCTCACCATCCCGTACCGCCCTTCCCGCTCCGTCGTCGAGCTCATTTCGAGCCGTCTTTGCACAGCGTTGATTTGCAATCGGACACGCAAGTCTGGGGCGGAATGTTGTAAGACCATATACTTCGGCTGGAGCTCCGAGTGAGATCACTCACCATGACAGATCGGAATGGAGCGGCTGTCGATCAGTGATGTAAGATCTGGAGGCATCCAAGCAAGAGAGCTCTGGAACTGGAGCTCATTGACGCTAAGGTCGCGTTATGACGCCTTGCGCTGGTAGCTAGAGTCCCGCCGAGATCCCGAGTGGGGTCATCTGGGACGGAAAGGAGGGGTCCTGCTGTGTGCAGCTGTACGTATACGTACGTACCACTTGTTGGTGATAAGACGGTCCATTCGTGATGGCATGAGGACTAGAGCTGCTTGGGTATATAAAGTCTCTCCCTACCCGAGTATCTCATCGTTCTTCCATACAATTCATCAAACACCTAACACATCACACACAAACAACATTAGTCGCAATGGATTTCGTCAAGAAGGCAGCCAGCAGCATGGGCGGCAGCAGTGAGAACAAGGACAACAAGTCCGAGAACAAGAGCCAGCAGAAGGACGACTATGGTGACAAGGGTGTGTAAACCAGAAGACTCCTCCACTATCAACTGAATTTCTCACTTACATATATCAGCCTTTTCTGCTGTCAATGACAAGGCCGGCTGGGGCATCAGCAAGGACAACCAGGAGAAGATCACTGACGGCGCCCGTGAGGGGTACGAGAAGTACTCTGGTTCCCAGGTTCCTGACAAGTACTCCAACTAGGACGCTGAAAGGACGAGTTAATGAAGATGCTGTCAAAGCCTGAAGAAGTCAATTGATCCCAATTAATCGTGTGATGTGTGGTGTTTTCATAAGCCTGCGCAGTGGGCCCTCTTTATGATGCTCAAAAGTATAAATGGAAACTTCTCTAGATTGGTGGTCCATAGCCCACATAGCTGTTATATGTGATTCCCATCTGGCACCTCAGATATTTGCTTTGGCCGTGTCAGTTCATCCACCATGGAGTCCTACTCCTGCCACAATATCATCTCTCAACTGAACTCACGAGTAACAGTTGAAACCTTTACATTAATGCTACAGTGAAGCGCGACTCATCGTTTCAAAAGTCATGATATTATGTCACGTCGCAGAGAAACGCGATCACCCTTGGACACAGCATCTGTACAGGGTAGGTGCCTTAACGTTGCTGTCACGACGATGGGTGACAGCGGTGGACCCGCCCGCTAGAGCACTATCCCTCCCTTGAAACCTGGATGGGAGCGACTAGCAAGGCAGCTTCAGTTGGGAAGAAAAAGCAACAACATCGCCGATATCAACTCTCCTGGCTCGTCTCTTCGCCCAAGGCCCGCCCCCTGATCGCGAGACTGCCGCGCAAAATGCATCATGGCAACAGACCCTGAGCTTCCTGCGGTCGACCAACCGCAGACACCGCAGCGCGACGCTACCGATCAACAAAACATTAGCCACGCCGAGATCTCGACAATGAGCGAGCAAACCACAACGCGTCCCTCGGACCAAGACACGACACCCAATGACAGAGTGGACCCTGAGACACTTCGCGATGCAGCCCCAGATGAAGAACCGGAATCTTTAGTCGCTGGAATCGGCATGGATAGCAGCTCCTTCGAGTCCTTCGAGGCAGCGCCCATGGATCCTAGCAGAGGCCCAGACGAGTCGCTGACAGAAGAAGCCGTTCGCGAGCACCTGAATGATATCGAGTCCAGCTTTCTACCGCGATTGTCACCAATCCCAACGGGAGCGAATGCCTTTGATGGCGGGGTGGACGACACATACATCTTCGACTCGCCCAATAAGGCCGCCATGCAGATGCATCAGCGGCAGCCACCGCCGCATGAGGGCGATTCGACGGCTACTGCACCGGAGAATACGACAGCAAGCCTGGAGGCATTCGACTCGTCCCCGACGGCTGCAGCTGTGGCTAGAACCATGTCACGCGCGGCGAGCACTGCGCGGCATGGCGACGAACCGACAATCTCGACAAAAGAAGACAACCAGACTGACGAGACTGTCGAGGACGGCAGCAAAGAGCCGCAAGAAAGCTCACAGGTTTCGAGCGTGGGAGATCAAGAGGGTTCGCTTTCGCGAGCGCAGTCACTAAACGAACGAGTCGATGCAGGGAGCACACCGGGCAATGCCCTGCGCACACAGAAACGACCAAAGTACCTACGAAGCCGACACGGGAGCCAGCGCTCCTCGACATCCTCCTTCGCAGCGAGCGAGACGCATGAAGGCAGCGACGTGACGGCTATGGGCTACAGCGCCGACTACGCTCTACAATCCGGGGGCGCGATCCCCGCGCTGGCCACACCTTCGCGAAATGCTCTCTCGCGCACAATCAGCATGGGAAGCGTCGCCTCTGGCTTTGAGGACTACACGGATCCTTCGCTTGGTCACCTCGAAACTCTGCCCGAAGTCAATAGTCCCGACCGAAGCCAGAAAGAAGACCTGGCCCAGACCCCCAAGCCCTCCCAAGAGAATTTTGAAACCGCCCCAACTGACACGGTCATCGCTCGCCATGTCAGGAATGTGCATGTCCCCGAGTCGTTAGCGAAAGAGTACAAGTACAAGAGCGGTCTCGAGACGCCAAGGCGACCAGCAAACCTCAACATGGCGGCCTCGGTCACGACCACTGGTAGGACCGGCGGGCGGAGTCTCACCCTCAAGGAGCAGAGCAGCACGATTGAGAGGCTGTCTAAAGAGAACTTTGACCTAAAACTCAAAGTCATGTTTCTGAGCGATCGCCTCGACAAGTTGTCAGAGGAAGGGATCAAGGAGATGATCTCGGAGAATGTGGAGCTCAAAACAAGCCTTGCGGTGCTCCAGAGGGACAACAGAATCCTTCGCCGGCGAATCAAAGAACTGGAAAAGCAGGAGAAGGACAATGAAGAGCGCCCCAGTACGGCCAAAAGTGGTGCTTCGTCAACAGACCAGACAGCCAAGTTATATGACGAAGATGCGCAGGAACGGGAAGAAGAGCTCTACTTCCTCCGAGAGCGGGTGGAAGAGTACGCGACCGAGATCGAGCGACTGCGCACCGAGACCACGAATGCCATGGACGAAAAACGCAGAATGACTGATGTGTTCAAGACCATGGGAGATCGGGTCGCGGACGACAACGTCGGACGGCAGGAAGAGGCCGACGTGTGGAAGGACCTTCTGGAGCAAGAGACTGCCCGTCGTGAACAGGCTGACGATGACAATCGCAAGCTCAGGGACGAGGTCTTCCGACTTAAGCAGGAGATTTCAGGTTACGGAGGCCTGCATCACACCACCAATATCTACAACATCACCAAGAAGCAGCGAAACCGCGAGCAGGGCGGATCAGGCAGCCGGCCCGTGTCTGGTCTCTCGGGCGACTTTGAAGGCTCCAATGCCAATTTCAGTGCAGGGAGCACACTGGTCGATGAACTTCGGAAAGAGACAGAACATTTGCGCCATGAAAATGCCGAGCTGCGCCGAGAAGTTGGCGCGCAGACATCCATGCTGACTTCGAGAAACCGCGAAAAGGAGCGCCTGTACCAAGAGATTGAGGACCTCAAGATGGCAGCGCGCCACGGACGCCAAGCACCATCGACCATTGACAGCCTCCTCGACAGATCGGCGTCGCGCGTGGGCGGCCATGAAAGACCACAATCTAGAGGCAGCGGCATGACGCGACGAACTTCTGTCGAGGAAGACATGGAACAGGAGCGCGACGCACTTGAAGCTAAGCTTGCTGAGAGCCGGGACAAGCTGAGCGAGGTCAAGCTGCAGAACCAAGAGCTGCAGCGTGAGTTGGAGACTTGTATGGAAGACTTTGAGGCAGCCGTCAATGGCAAGCGCGAATCAGAAGAAGCCGCTGTTCAGTTACAGGAAGACCTCGAAAACGCCATGAACGACCTCATTGCTTTACAGTCAGAACGGGATGAAGCATTGCGCGAGCAGGCGGCAATGGAAGAGGAGTTTGAGGCCCTTCGGGTAGAGGCGCAGGAAGAGATCGACGCCCTCGAGCTCGAAGCTGACCAGCGCTCCGAGGAACTGCAGCGCATGCAGACCGAATTGACTGATCGTTCCGAGAATTTTGACGCCCTGCAGGAGGAGATGCGAAAGATGAGCGACGCGCTGATCGGACTCGAAGACGAACAGGAGAACAAGCTGCGCAGGATCGAGCAGCTCGAGCTCGAGCTGGACTCATCCAACAAGGAGCTGGAGGAATTTGAACGTAAGCTCATGGAGGCCAACGAGAAGAACCAACGGTTGTCTGTGCAGCAGGAATCGTCGCAGGATGAGATTGGGTTCTTGCGGGAAGAGCAAGAGACGGACAAGATCAGAATCGGGGACCTGGAAGCGTCCCTCGCCGGTCTGGAGCACTCCCTGCGCGAAGAAAAGGACCGCGCCCGCGAACTGGACAACCGGCTCAGCCAGGAGCGCGAGCAGCGCGAGATTGTGGCCAACAAGGAGAAGGAGGATGTGCAGCAAATTGTCAATCAGCTCAACAAGGAGGCCTCGACCGCTAAGGATGAAGTGCGGCGACTGCGCAAGAGCCTGTCGTCGCGGGAGATTGAGGCGACCGAGTGGAAGGAGAGGCTGATTGAGCTCGAGAACAACCTTGGCGAGGCGTTGGGCGATCTCAACGGCACGCGCTCCTCCTTCTTGAAATCCATCACCAAGATACAGCGCGAGCTGGAGGATACGATCCGCGAGCTCGACAGCACCAGGGCCTCGGTGGTGGAGAAGGATCGCCTCATCAAGCAGCGGGACGCATTGCTCGAGTCGCACGCACTGGAGAGTCGCAAGCTCTCCGAGCTGCTAGACAAGGAGCGCGTCAGCCATCGCAACACCAAGGCGCAGCACGAGACGTTCCAGCGCAACCACCAGCTGCTGGCGCGTACAAACTCCACCCAAGACACGCGCATCAGCGAGCTTGAATCGACACGCGGGCAGGACCGTGCGCGTCTCCTGAAACTCGAGCAGCAAAGCCGCGAACAGCTGGCGGAGAGGAACCAGTTGCTGCTCACTCTGTGGCAGAAGCTGAGCGCCTTGTGCGGCAGGGAGTGGGCCAACAGCAACACGCTCATCGACCGCCAGGTTCTGCCGTCTCTCGAGGTCATTGCCACTCGCTTGCCTGGCTTCTCCAAGAATCTGCTTGCGGCTGTTAAGACGATTGAGACCATTGTCGGATCCTTCCAGCTGAAGATCAAGACCGTCGAGCGCGACTTGACGAGGGAGTACCAGAATCTCGAGAGTAACCTCGATGTGCGCAGCAAGAAACTGGACCGGCTGGAGACCATGGTGCGGAACACGGCGGCGAGCAGCAGCACATCGTCCTCGGAACTTCATTCGCGACTGTTGAGGCTGGAGGATAAGTACCGCCAGCTCAAGGTGGAGAACGCAACCTTGAAGGCGGCCAACGACGCCAGAGCGAGGTCGGCTTATACTGGTCTCAACCCAGAGGCGCTGATCCCCGGCGATCCTGGCTCGCCGTCACCGAGTGTGCCACGTGGACCGATGGAGAAGGACCGCACCCTCAGGCCTAGTCACGGAAGCAGCAGGACCCTGTCCCGGACGCACACGGCCCCCAGTACCGGCAACGAGATTGCGCGCCGGGACCCCTCTGTCTCTGATGAGCCGCAAAACGACAACCGATGGCTGTTTAGGCTACGGGAGATGGAGCACAAGCTGAAGCAGGAGCGTGAGGCGCGAAACCAGGACCGCCAAGCGGCACGCGCACGTCTCGGCGGGCTGGAGAATGAGAATCGCGACCTGAGAGAACGAGTGCGGCGGGGCGAGGAGTAGCAGGCTGGTCGACCCCGCGTCGATGTCTCGGGTTCGTGCAACGTACGGCGGACATAGAGTGAAGCCACGGAGAAGACTTGTATCTGTCAGCGTCGGGTGTTAGGGGGTATTGCTAGGACCTGGGGGTGCTAAGGCGTTGCGACGGATACGGGGGACTCGAGTCATCTCGTCCTCCACTAGACTAGAGAGCTGTATTTCTGGAAGATTTCCGGTGCCCGTTTCCTTGTGTGACATTCTATTAGCTTTCGATGCAGAGTGCGAACTTTGAAGGTCGGGGCGCAGGTATCTGATGGCCAGCACGATCTTAGGGGATCTCAACGCTCGTCTACTACAGTGTTGCTGACCTGAAGACCTGATGGTGCGCGAGTATCACACAGGCAGCATTTGTTGGCGCTTGCTGGTTCACGTCGCCCACCTTTGGTGTAGAGGGTAGGCGCGCGGCAACGCACCTGCTTTAAATACCCCTGAAAGTCGTATCGACAACATTAAACCTCCAATACCCCAAGTCCCCCTCCGCAGTCTTCACTAAGCTGCACACCATTACCTTCAACCCCCAACCGACACAGTTGCTGTTCCCTAGCCCGGTCCTTCGCTGCCCTAAAGTCGATCATGATGAGAACCACGCGAGAAGACTCGCAGCACTTGTCAGTGTAAGCGGCTGACCGTCCAGGCTATTTCCCCGCCAGACATGAACGCCGACGCGGAGAGACAGTTCGCATTGTCTCTGTATCACCGCGATCACCTTTCGAGGGGTCGAAATCGCAAGATGTTTAGCTACGAAGCCTACCACTGGGCCGTGATGATAGTTCCCCGGGATGAGAAGGGCAGGACTTGTCATGCATATGAGGCAACGGACGCGAGCACTTACGACCCAGTCACCCAGACTGTCCAACCAGACGATGGATTGGTGGTTTCAGGCCAAGGACAATTTCGACCCGGAGCGCAGTGTCAATCTGCTAGGGCGAATCATCGTAGGCACCGTGCCGCCCGACATCTCGTATGACGAACTGAAAGCCTTTTTCGAGGTGATCCCTTTGCCTACGAGGAACAGAGATCCGCAACAGAGTTGCGTCACATGAGCCTTGAACGCGCTCGTGGCAATGCAGGCGAAAGGATGAGTGGTTGCCTTGGACCTCCAGCAGTTTAAGGATTTTGCGTTGGCGTACGCCGACGAAAGACTCAGGAGACGCGACATCAACCTCGCTATGGTAAATGAGAGCACCGGAGGGAAGAACCCGGATGCCGTGGTCCACTTTCAAGTTCAAGGGTCAGTACGATAAACTGAACGGCTTCAGTCGTCGTAGCATGCGCAGCTGGGCATGGAGCAGGAGTCATTGATGTCTCTCCTAACCAAGGCTGAGTTTATATGAATATCTTCGAGAGTAGCCGTTCGCAGTCGTTCGTAGCGAAGAATTGAGTTATATAAGTCTTGTTTCGACGAGCACTTGTGACGGTCCCTGCGCTCCGCTCACGTGAGTCCACGTGAGCTTTTGGTCCAAGTCGGTGTTTCCGCCCGAATCAATCAGCCAGCCTGAAGCTGATTGAAGGTCCCCGACTGCCACTGCAGACTGCAGCCCCCCTCGACCATGGGCTTGAGCATCGGCATCTTTTTCTCGTTGCGCTGGCGCTCATGGTTGGGCTTGAAGCTATTCAAGCCGCTCGACTATCGCACCTACGTAGAGAGTGAGCTGGAACCGCGTCATCAAGGGGCCATGTAAACCGCCCGAGGTCGAAGCGATGCAATATGTCGCCAACCACACTAACATTCCGATCGCAAAGCTATACGCTGTTCACACACAAGGTAATGATATCTATATTGAGATGCCTTTTGTCCGCGGCGATCCTCTGGACCGCGTCTGGCACCATCTGTCTCAAGAAGCACGGGAGGCGATCGCCTCTGAGATCACGGAGCACATGACGACCTTTCGCCAACTACCGCCTGCCGCGTAGGACCTGATGGCCTCTGCGTACCAGAATCCGGCACATGACAGCCGCGTAGGCAATCGATTCTTCGGCCCCTGCACGCACCGCGAATTCCACTCCTTGTTGCGCACCCATCTTCCCGAGGACTGGATCCGGTCTGTGCTCGACGAAAGCACGAAAACAGTGCACGAAGCAGTACAAGACCGTCTTCACACATGCCGATCTAGCTCCCCGCAACATCATGGTGAGGAACGGACGGCTCACCGCTATTATCGACTAGGGCAACGCAGGATGGTACCCGGAGTACTGGGAGTATACCAAGATGCACTACAACTATTTTTCCGAGGACTGGTACGAAATCATCGAACGGAGGCTCCCATGCTACGAAGCAGAGCTCGAGGCGGAGCGGGCGGTCATGGCAAAATTTGGCGACAATGTTGGCACCCCAGCGGTCTTGTATAGAGAAGGCGTCACCAGGCATCATGAAGGTTCGAAGCCGGCCAAGGAGTGGTTGGCAGCCAGAGCTGGCCGTCTGTGGGCAGACCTGTGGTCGTTAGCTCTGGCGAGCCTCAATATCGAGGTGTGATTTTGCAATACCAGCATATCGCGAGCTTCTTCCCTTCTGATGGATGGCTGCAGCTTGGCACATAACGACTTGTTTCCACTCGATCATTTGGAGAGACTGGCGTTCTGTCGTTGATGATCCTGGTCGGTACTCCCTAAACGCGCTATGCCACGAGGGCTGGACGAAGTCGTGCACCGTCGATGTGAGCCATGATAGTCCCGTAGAGTGCACTGCATGAGTGTAGTCTTGGCTTTCAAGTGCCAATCGGCAACGGCAGCTTTGTTGAGGAGGCAAACCAAGTCTTTGAGATTGAGCTCTGTGTTCTGCCACTCAAGCTCGAACCTCGACTTCTGGGGCAAGAATCACGGTGGAACAGCGCTCATGGCGGCGAGAGCCAAGAGACGCATTCATTTTGCCGGTGCAGCCTCAAGCTCTATGCTTTGCAAGCAAGGCGGACAGACATTAGGCCGTGTCAGTAGCATTTATAAGCACGCCAGTGCCACGGCGTCGGAAGATGCAGGGAGCTGCGTGTGCACAGCGAGAAGGAGCGATGATCCCTCGTGGTCAGACATTGTAGTGGCACTCGTCATTCTGTGTGCGGCTTGTCGCATATGCATATGCGGCGTGATCGGTTCGTCGGTGAATGTTGAGTATATACTTAATAATAAGGCATATCTTCATTAAGACTAAATTAGGACTATAAATAATGAAAAGAGTCTCAAATATTTTGTTTAGAAACAATGTACGTATACGTAAACTTAAGAGAACCTAGACTAGAGAGGAGAAGTCCCAGCTTGATGCCTCAGATACTTATTAATGTATACCCCCTGACAGGGGTTGCAGTCAATACTCAATCTATAGGGTTTCCTCCGCAGTTGTCCCTTTCTCACACCTCCCTTCACCCCATGGCCACCTGGCGAGTTGTCATGTCTCGCCGCCAGAATATTGGCGCCATGCCTCCTTCAACGTCTGCGTGCCGGCTCGCGTCGATGCTCCCAACCCAGAGCAACCCGGGTTCGTCATGGTCCGGTTTCCTCTGCCTTGCAGTGTCGGGGGAATTCCGCGTCCCGGAAACGCAGAAGTCACCTACCATGGTAGTCACGCTGCTCCATAGATTTCGGCAATACATTCGGGCCCTGCTTGGCTATCCGTGCTCAACTCACTATGCCCCGCATAACCCAATTCCCTTGACTTCCCCCGGATTAGGCTATTGGTGATCGAGACCATCCCTGATACTGAAGGAAGAATACTTTCGGAGTCCTGGGAAGAGAAGCGTGAGGACGATCGCCTGCAAAGCAACCTCTAGCGAGACCTCGTGCGAATACATCTCTCGTTCGTAGCCGTTCCGCTTTCTCGTATTGGTGTATTTCCGCACGATAACTCCGGCTGCATCGACATTGATGACCGTCCGCTTAGAACAGAGATCATTATGCGAGGCGATGAGGACCTTTCCCTTGACATGCCGCGTGACGAGACGTATACTCGAGCGGACGACTACGTCCTTACACACCTGGACACCCTTAACAACCGACTACTGCACCAGTCCGATACCGTGGCAAGTGAGATCAACGGACGGTTCGAGTCTTCGAGATGGCCAGTCTCGCCGCAGCGCCAGCCATCTATCCGCAGATTCTACACAAAGACATTCTTTCAGGGTCCTTTGCCTGAAGTCTGACAGATTTCCAAAGGAGGAACATCATAGTCGACGACGATTAGAACGTTATGCGTATCATTGATCTTGAGTTCGCTTGTTCCTGGCCTCCCGAATTTCAAACGTAGACCCAGCGAGATCATGAAAAAATATATGTCCAGAATGACCGAAGTCCTTCCCGCGGTCGAGGTATTGCCTGAGAGACTTGGTCGCTGGATTGCTTCGAGGAGTTTGAAGGGGATTTGTACCGAGTTGGCTTGCGTACCTTGTAGTAGTGGTGACAGGGTGGCGTTTGTATAGATCTGACTGAAACTAGTAGTCATTACTAATTACTGCGCAGGAGACTGGGAGTCCATTTTCCGTGCGAGGCCACAATCTTCAATTCTTCGCATTCGCCCAATAGGTCTCTAGTCTATGCGCTGTCCGCAGTAAAACTCGCTGTGGATTGCTGGCCGCCTAAAGTCGCCCCGCACAAATGAATCATGGACCAGCTTATAGCTGGATTTGTCAGCTCGTGCTCACTTTGACCCGCCTCGGGGAAAACAGAACAACGCTAAGACAGTGACTGCTTGAGCCGCTACGACGTCGTGCAGGCCTGCGGAGTTGGAAGCCTTAAGCTTTCGATGACATTCGGTGCTGACGGCGGAATCTTCCCCACAGTGGAGCAGAATGTTGATCTCGACGGCCTATGCAGCTATGCTCGCCTCTGGCCCCGTGCCTTAGCCCATGGCTATAGCTGAGGGGGTTGCTCGTCGTCAAGATCGTCCCTAGTTGCCGTAAATATATAAGGACTGGCGCAGTTCGCATCGTTCTCAGGAAATCTGGACACATCTCGAGCTCCAACAGAATACCCTCTCCCACACCCAATCCACCACAAGCTCATCCACAGCTCAACCATCAACATGGCCTCTTACACACTCTACGACGCGTCCTTCGGCGTCATCAAGGATGCCCTCGACTCCCTGACCACCATCCTCGACAAGGTCGCTGCCTCGCCCGTCGCTGACACCATTGCCGACGCACGCATCCACCCCGACATGCTTCCCTTTTCTTTCCAGGTGCACACCCTCACCCAGTTCGGCCACAAGTGCCTGGCCCGCATCTCTGACAAGTTCCCCCCCGAGACATTCGCCAAGGAGGAGCTCACCACCATTGACGCCATGAAGGCGCGCATCGCCAAGGTCCAGTCGCAGTTCGACCTCATCACCAAGGAGTCCATCAACAGCCGCGAGAACGAGACGGTGAAGTTGGGCATGGGCCCCAACAAGCCAGAGGTCGACATCAAGGCGTGGCAGTACGTGCATGGCTTCGCCATCCCCAACGTCTACTTCCATCTCGTCACCGCGTACGACATTGCGAGGAAGGAGGGTGTTGATGTGGGCAAGCCTGACTACCAGTCCGCGTTCCTGAGCAAGTTCATCAACTAGGGATAGCAAAACGCAGTAATGTAGCGCGTGTTTCCTGTCATGACCATGCTCACCAATGGTGGGACTGATGTGAATGCCTTGTGACCTTCATATTGTGCTGCTAGAAGGGGAATAGGATTGAAATGTCAAATGATGAGCGTGCGACACATGAGGGACAAATGCTGTGAGCGAATGATAGAAATACCTGCCATATATGTATGGACATGGATACAGGGTGTCGCGATGCCGATGATGCCATGACTGCAGCAACCTGAGCACGCCATTGAAATTGTTAGTGCACTCGGATTTCGGCCCCGAACTTCAGGGCTTCATTCACCTCTCCACCTAACGCCCCAACGGCTTCCCTTCATCCCCTCCAAAGCTACCAACGCACGACACGACAGCGTAAAGACGTAACGTTCACCTGCGCGACCTCCTATCCCGCTGCCCCCCTCCACCGCAATCATGGCGTGGGGATCAATGCTCTTCCGTATCGTGCTCGCCTTCGAAAACGAAATCGTTACCCAGATCCTCCGCCGCCCCGGCTGGCATCGCGGTGTCGGCAGAATACACAAGTATGTCGACGAAAAGCGATATGGCCGGAACCCAAACGAGCCCCTCGCGCAGGGCGAGGCCACATCGAACCCAGAGAGCCGCGGCTTCTTGACGCACTTCAAGGACGAGCTGCTGAACCAGATGCGCGGCAAGCCGACCAACCTGCCCAACGACACCCCTTCCAAGATGAAGAAGAAATAAACCGCCCGGCTACATTACGTCGAAAGAATTGATGGCCGCTCGATGAAAGACAAGATCAATCATTCAACGACCTCCGTGTCCAGCATGTCCTCCACTTTCCAGCTCTCCGCCTCGCCGTCCATTCCCATCTCCCCCAGCTCATCCCCTTCTCGAAAGAACAAGCTGCCGTCTCCCGCCAGGGCGATAGCATCGACATTGTCGCTCAGCTTGCTGGTGACCATCTCGTTCCCTAGAACAACGACGCCTTCGGTCTTGGGGTCGGTCCAGGGCATCTCTGGAATGTACAGATGATGCTGCAACTTCCCTTTCGCCAGGGTGAAGAACCCATAAATCTCATTCGGCGCACGATCGTCTCCGGCGAGGCTGGTCCAGACGATCTCGGCCGGGTGAGCTGTGAGCTTTACTGGTGCTTCTTGATTATTGACTGATGTCGAAGCGTGGTGGAAGGTGTCGCCAATCTCGAAACACTCCCTTATACTGCCGGACTCCGAGGAACATTCGATAATCTCAACTGCATCTTCTCCTTCGACGGCGACGAGGATACCGGCATAGTCGCCCTCGGCTGGTGGATCACTATCGCTGGCAACCTTGGCGATGCCGCTTGTAATGTCGACATTGACGGATCGTCGGCCGCTCATATGCTGAAAGTATTTTGGCTTGTACGCCTTCCACGCCCCAGACCCAGAAGGTTCTGTGGTCGTGATCATTGCCAACGAATTTTCATTGTCAATGTACGCCAACACAAACAGACCGACATCGCCCAAGCTGCGGTGAAAGCTCGCTGAGATACCACCGCTGACCTGGACCTTTGTCTTTTGTACGCTGACCCATTGTCTGGGTCTCACTTGCGTGAGATGGACAATCCTGTCCTCGTCGTTAAGGTAGAAAACGTGCGCTACGCCGGCATCGTCCACGGCGCCCGTGATCGGGGTGCCGAGCTTAGCGCGCTCGGGGAGACCTTGAATAGGATAGATCGAGGACCGCCCACCAACCGAGTCGCGTGCGATGAGGGTGGCGTTGTTGTCAGACTGCCAGACCATGGTGCGCCGATAATCACGGGAGGAACCAGTGGAAACGTCCGCGACGAGGATGGAGGAGCGGTCGGAAAGAACAAACGTAGGGGATGGCGGTTTTTCTGTCGTCGTCGCCTCTGCCTCCCTATCCTCGTCTGTGACCGTCACGGTTACGAGCCTCGTCGTCACTACTGGCTCTTTTGAGTTTGTGATCAATTTCGTGTCGACCTGGGCTTCTCTGGTTACGAAAGAAATGAGATCGTCGGTGATGCTGGGCTCCGTGGTTGCGGGTATCATGGTCGGTCCCTCTTCAGGGGTACTGGTCATAGTTACGACGGTTGACCTTTCGCTTGTCGGCTTGCTTTTTGTCACAGTCACCAAGATAGTGGATGTTGCCACGGAAGGAGAACTTGGATCTGCCGGTTCGCTAGAGTCTCGCCCCTGGCCCTTGCTCAACGATACGACAATGACGGCTGCTATGGAACCCAGAGTAAGCAGCGCCAGGAAGATGGCAAAGGGGACCCTGAAGAGCGTACGCTTATACCATGGTTTTGCTGGAGGGATGGCCAAAGGGACTTGGTAGTAGTGCAGAGGTTGCTCTCCGTGGGCTCCCGTCGATGGACCGCCGTGCGAGGGAGCGTAACGCGGAGGTGCGGACTTGCTCCCAGTAAAGGACGGGCGAGCTATGCCCTCAAGAGGAATATCTGTGGTGTTCATGGTCGCTGAGGCTGCGTATTTGCTCTGCAGAATGGTTCTTCTCGCTATTTATGATAATCTGGCCAAGGAACGTCGAGATGCAATAGATGGTAGAGTAATCGAGCAACCCTTTCGTCATCATATACATCTCGTACTTCCTGATGGACGTTCATGTTGGAGATGATGGTCAGCTCCGAATCCTAGTCACGACTGCTGGGTCTCGTGCGCTGAGACACAGCTTTTTTACAAGGAAGTGAGGTAGCACCAAAGGGTATTAGCGAGGATGCTAAGAAAGCGACTACCAAACAAATTTGCAGTTGTTTCATGCTACCGTCAATGCACGAGTGTGAATCAAGAATGACCTGTCGGTCACTCCGCGAACGTTTGTACGTCTGTATTGTGTACTACATCAACATGACCGACCCCATGATTGAGGTATACCTATACCTCATCACCGTCGACATCTATCTCGATCGCAGCCATCCGCGCTGGTGACCTTCCAAAGAGACGGGCCGTGAGCTCAACTCACTCACTCCCATTCTGAGCCGACCATATTGTGGAACGTCCAAGCATCAGCATCTTCCATTTCGCACTCGACCTCGAGCAACTATTGTCAGTGACACACAGCAGAAGCCTCGCCCCTGAACATCCAAATCCGGTGAAATCAAGCAGAGACCATCTTTGCGTGCTGCGTGATCCGCCATAGCGAGCAAGCTGTGGATGCCCTAACTTTGAATTCTGTCGTGTCCCAAAGCCAAGGGGGCGGGCTGTTGCCGTCGCCAAGCGCTTAGAGGAGAGATCTGTCAGAGGGTGTACTCATCGGTTTCTTGGTCTGCCACAGTCGTTGGTTAGCAACACCACTTTCCGTGAACGTTCAAGACTTGCCTTTCCCATTGCTAGCAACTTCAAAGCAGTCCTCCAGCAGCTGCTGCGACGTGAGCCTGCCTACAAGACCAGCCATGGATGGTTCGCCGTCTGCGTCCCAAAAGATCCGCAGCCTAGGGAGATGCTTTGCATTGCTCTCTCGCTCGCTGGTGGGGACGTGTAAGGGGTTGCCACTTCCAGCTGCCTTGTACCTGAGAGCCTTGCACTCGCGCTCCATCCATTCTCTCGCCAGCGCAGCCGCAGCTAGTCGCACTGTATCGGCAGGACTTTCTGGGGGAAGCTGCCGTCCTTCACCTGTACCCATGAGTTTGACCTCCCAGCCAGCGTCTCCTTCATGGGCACGCCGAACCATGTGCACCAGAAGTGCGTCCTCGTCAAAGTAGTCAAAATGCAGATCCTCGTTGATGGCCGCTGAAAACCCCGTCATGGCGTGACTAGAAAGTTCATGTCGGCGCCCTGCGACCGTGGATCCGTGGTCGCGCGACTGGTCGCATTGACGTGATGGGAGTTGTCCGTCATCGAAGATGAGTCCTTCGACATGGCTGTGCCCAATACACCGCCCAAGACGGCCCCTACAGCGATCAAGATGATATTGAGAGCTATAGGCAGAACCACGCGCTTCCTATGGCGGCGAGCGGCTACCGATTGGGCTTCCGCGTCGTCATTGCCGCCCATCTCGAGGGAAATACGAGGGGGGCCTTGTGCAGGTTCATTGCCATTCTTGCTTTCGTAATTCGAACAGACGGGTGAGTGGTTCATGTTGCCATTCTGCTGCCGTTGCTGTCTCGATTGGGTGTCGTCCTGTTGGTGACTCGGCATAGGCAGTGATGGCGGCCCATGGGAAGTCCAGCTCATCTTATTGTGCTCGCGATCAAGTAGGGTCGTGGAGGAGGTAGCAGAGGAGGGCCGCTCGCGTTGACCAGGGCGTTCCTGAGGAGACGGAGTAGAAGACATCGATGAGTCCCTCTTGTTCTCTCAAGGTAGACGGATCTGACCTGTCACCGAGAGATCCTGCAGTGCCACCACCGCAGGCATGCGGGAGGGTCGAAAGAGAAATGGCAGGAGGGCGAGCAAGCAGACAGATGCAGAAGTCAGAGAATGAAGAATGTGAGGCGAGATAAGGGTGGACCCTGTGCGAGGTGAGAGCCTACTCATGATGGTTCTGGAACCAAGTCGTGGCAAGATGCATGCTCAACTCCTTGGTGCGTATTGTGCTCTCATATATATTTGAGGAGGACCAGCAGTCAATACCAGTGTTGGCGCCATGCTTTTGTCGGACCTGGAATGCCTTTGTGGACTCGCCGACCTAGACTAGATGTACATGTGCCCTCATTGACCACGCGTGTGATCCGGTGTTCCAACTCGGCGGAGCCGGTCTTTGTGAAGCCAGCGTCAAACACAGCACAGACGGAAAAGAACTCGTGTGATTTTCAAATATCGAGATCGACGGCGGGTGCGTGCAGGCCGTTTGGGGGACCGTGTAGAGGCACATCCACCTACTGTACTACCAGAAGCATGAAAAAGGGAAAAGCCTCAGAATCGATCATTGTACGATGCTGAGTGAGGGTGTGGGCGCAGGATAAGTGCAATGTGCGGAGCAACCTTTACGTAGGGTCAGGCCTTAGCTGTGATTGACGTATATCATGGGGGACGTTTGCCGTGAAGGTGCTCACGTGACCAAAACTGCAGCTGTCCACGTGACTCACGCGTCCGAATGGTGCGAGATCCAGTCATCCCGAGCATGCGTCCTCAGGCCTTGCCAAGGGCAAAATAAATCATTCAAAGGTCATCATCGTTGACAATGCATTGTCCCAAAGTCTTTGCCGACCCGAATCCGCCGCGCTGAAGCCTCTTTTCGGTGTGAAGTTGCACTCGATCGCGTTCCATCATGGCCTCAGAACGGAAGGTCAAGTTTGTCGAGGTCGACACCACCCGGGGAGGCTTGCCCGTCAAAAGGAAGCAGGTTCAGCAAGCATGTGCAATCTGTCGTCGCAAAAAGGTATATCTCAGCGGCCCTCGTCATATACATTCACTAACCTCCATTTGAAGCGCCGCTGCGTTCATGCCCAGGACTCATTGGAGGACCATCCGGGAGACAGCGTCAATGCCCATGGTCAACCCACCGCCCAGTCCCAGACATCTCCAGGCCAGGGATCGACCAAGTCATTCAATGGTAGAGCTTCTAGCGCCCCCTTTAGCGAGAGCGGCGCCTCTCGAAGGACGGCAAGCTATGGCGAAGCAGACCGTCCCAACACAGACGGCATCAGACAAGCAACATTCGGCGCAGACAATTCCGCAAGACCATCAGAAACTCCCCGACTTGAGGTGCGCCCACCTTCGGCGTCTCCGGCTGGCGAGAGCAAGCTCAGGACGTCCTCCATGTTTGTGGGGGATCTGAACCCCGAGGGCATGTTTCGCGAGGCTACTGGCTCGGCCTCGATTCACGAAACTTCGCAAAAGGGGGACGTTGGAATTTGGCTGTCATCGAATACGGCCGGCAACAACAATGGGCAGCCATCACAGTTCATCACATCACGACCGCCTCCTGTCATGGACCGGTTTCTCATGCCCTTCGTGAAGGAGCACTGCCTAACATGTCTACCCTCGGAGCTAGACTTTGGCAAGCTCCGTAATATTTTCATCCAGAAGATCCACCCCATTTTTCCGGTACTGCCGCTCGCATCGTTAGACGGGGATATTGCAGACCCCATCACCATCGTACTGCGGCAGGCTGTCGCCTTGGCTACCAGTATGGACCAAGACGCGGCGCCGTACCTACGCCTGATGAACAACGGCCCTGATCTCATGACACCGCAGGACTTTTCCCAGGCAGTATCCTCGTCCATGCGCGCCATCCTCGAGACGAGCATCATTGCCGACCGCGTCCTGCACATCCGAGCCTACGCCATCTTGTCGCTGTACACACAGCCGACGTGCTCTGAAGAGTCAGATCTGCCTGCTCAGCTTGGAGGTCGAGCGGTTCAGCATATTCAGACGCTCGGACTACATCTGCTGCGGTACGACGCGCCTAACACTAATGACCTCGAGAATCTCTTTTGCGCGGTGTGGGCACTGGACAAGATCAACGCAGCCATGTATGGCCGCCCTGCTTTGTTCAACGAGCGGGACATTGGCGCCAACCTGGAGGAGTGTATCAAGAAAAGGTCGCCCTGCTTCCGGCTTTTCCTGCTTGTATGCCAATGGCTAGAACAAGTCTTTGATCTATACCGACCGGGCCCCAGCGAGGAGAATTCGGGGCTGGAGAAGATTGCCTACATCGATCTGCCCGTATTGGAGGCTATGATTGTGGAGGCGGACGCGCTCAAGGTGCCCTCGTCACTGATCGCAACGATTGAGACCTTCTACCATGCCGTCATCATCCTGTCCTGCCGACTTGCCCGTCCAGGAACACTGCCTGCTGCCTCAACCCTTCCCCCACCTTCGGCCAACGCCCGTCGCTCTCTGGCTGCTGAGCGCATCGCGTGCGCTGTGCCAAGGGACTGCCTCAGTCCCGTCCCCTTCGTGCCATATGCGCTGAGCTTAGCACTGAGTGTCGAGTACCGCAAGATGCGGCACAGTCGGCTACCCATGTTCCGCGCGCGAGCCATGACGGCATTCCGAAGAAACTGCGCCATGCTGAGGAATTTCAGTCCGTATTTCTGGTCCGCAAAGGTCGTCGCGGAACTTGGCGAGCGCGTGCTCAAGGAGATGGAGCGCGCGGCCACCAATATCAATCGCGATGCGACACCTCTCCCTCTGGACCCAAGCGAGCCGACACGGAACGGCAACACAGATGAGCGAGGGCGGCAGACCAAAGGCGGGACGGGTGACATGGCTTTCATGAACGTCGCAGCTGGTCTGGACAATATGGTCGACTTTGCGGCCGTGGACGCCATCAGTGGCCAGGACGTCTTTGGCCACATCGATCCAAACTTCAACTTGACGGCGGTCGAGGACGCCTTGGAAGCCAACTTGGACATTGGAATGCCCTTGAACTGGGGTGACTGGGTGTTCAATGGCTGAGCTGGTTCAATGTGGAAGTGATCTTTATTAAGAGACAAACGACACCCTCCCATCGAACACAGCGAAATGAAAGATTCACGCCTGGCCATACTATGCTATGCACATTACACATACCCAAACGCCCCCAATACAAGACAAGAACTCGCTTCCCAAATACAACTGAACCCATTCTTTGCGAAAATGGCTGAGGGTAGACATATTACACACCATAGCGAATCGTTCTCCTCTGCAGTCTCTTCTTCTCCGCCTCGGTATCCTCCTCGGGGTAGTTTGGCGGCCGCACGGCCGCACGCGAATGGGACACTCTACGCGAGTGGCGACGCGTGTGGGCTTGGGCTTGGGCTTCGGGGTCCTGAGTCATGTCAAAGGAGCTGCTAAAGGGCAGATTTTGCGACGTGGAAAAGGACATCCTCGACGCCCCGCTCATACTGGGGCGACGGAAACGGTTGTACGCAATAAAGGTATCCTCGTCGCCCACGGACGCGTTGGCTGGGTTGGGGACGTGTATGGATTTCCTGCGAATCGCAATGGCGTCGTCCTGGATGGGCTGAACACCCATGCGCTTGTAGATGGCGTCGAGGAGCGGAATCGACAGACCGTGACCAACAATGGAGAAGACGACAAGGAAGTAGATGGTGCCAGGCAAGGCGCGAATCATGTTGTCGAACTCGGAATCAGATTCACCCGGTTTAGGCACAACATGCCGCGTGTGCTCGACGTAGAAGACGGCGCCAATACCAATGGGGCCAAAATATCCCATGAATAAGGCTTCCCTCCAGTTTTGAATGACGTTGGGCATGGTCTTGTAGCAGATGAAGACGGCGGGAATGCGGCGGAAAGCGAAGACCATGATACCCAGCAGAAACAGACGCCAGATGGTGATACCGGTGCCATCAGGGTCATGAAACTCTCGCCAGGGAATGATGGCTCCCAGGTACATGAACCCACCAAAGTTGAGCAAGACGTCAATGCAGCTGTTGACCTCGTCGTGTCGACGCTCCAGTTCATCCATGAACTCGCCGTCCCAGTTGAGCGCCCCGCCCGAGAAAGCGCAAGCCAGCAAGTCGTTGGTGCCCACGGCGCCCGCTGTGCCCACGATGAACAGTCCGATGGCGGTGGGAAAGAGAACGTACGACTCGGAGTCTATCCACCTCTTTTTCAGCGAAAACTTGATGGCGAGGCGCGCCACGGTCCCGACAGCGACGCCGTAGACAGCCGACAGGATCACGTAGTACAGCCACGTCTCCAAAAACCATTGCTTCATTGCCTCGCTGGTCCCGCCGCCCAATCGCCCAACTTCATGTTCGGACCCGGAGCGAATCATCAGCCTGTGCGCGCCGCCCACGGCATCCAGTGGTTCAGGGATCGGCTCCGCGTGGCGGAGCAGGTAGACCGCGAGCATCAGGAAGGGGAACCCGAAACCGTCGTTCAGACACGCCTCGGCGGAGATGATCTCGCGCAGCGGACGCGACACGTACTTGTCGGAAAAGGGTCCCTTGGCCACGGCCTGTGAGAGCACGGGATCGGTGCAGGTGCATGCCGCCGCAATGGCCAGACCGGCGAGGAATGTGATTTTGGGAATGGTCGCGAGGCAGCAGGCTGTCGTGAGGAGCCACATGAGCGTCATGAGCGGAATCAGACAGATGAGCATCTCCTTTTTGCGGATCCAAAAGTACTTTTGCGGCAGCTGGTATGCGGCAATGACGAGCTGCAGGCAGATGACGATGCGAGTGACGCCGAGCGTGATCTCCGAGACTTGGGCTTCTTCTGCCAGGCCCCATCTCGAGGCGTCGATGAATCGGGCGGCCACGGGGCCGAGGATGATGCCGAGCACCATGGCCGGCACTTGGCGCTGTTAGTCTGGGGCTTGGGGACACAGCGTGGGAGGAGCACTTACGGGCTTCACCTAGGTACCATGTCTGCTTGATTTTGACAGAGATGATACCGTAGAGCAGGGTGAAAGCGCCCAGCACCGCCGTGACGACGTTGAGGTCGCTCAAGTTGAGAGTGGGCATTTTGGCTGCGGAGGAGTCGTTCCCCTAGGATTGTCGTGTCGGTGTGAACACATGTACCGTCGGCTCAGCAGCTGCAATAGAAATGTCTAGAGCAGGAAGATGGTTCTTGGTGTTGCGGGTCGCGGGTCGCGGGATGCAGGATTCCCGGATTCTGGGGCTGCTCTGGCTGTTCCGCTGCTCGACGCATAAAATAGAATGATGGGTTTAAAAACAGTTGAAGACCGAATTCCGAAACCAGTCAACTCCAGGCTGCAGCACGCATAAAGGCTGGACTGACGAGCAAGTGTGAGGGGAGAGCAGCGCGACGTAGACGTGGAAACTTGCGGGAAAGCGTGGGACTTTGGGGGTTATATGAGAGCAACAAAGAGCCAGCTTGCGTCCCACATCCCTGGGACTTTGGATGGTGGATGATGTCGTGGGGTGGTGGTCAGTCACTGGGCACTGGGCACACTGGGCACTGGTGGGGATGTGTTTCCCGCAGGAAGGGAGGGTGTCACTCTGCGTCTGGCTTGGATCCCTCCCTATTAGACAAAGGGGTTGGCTTCGTGTACAAGGCGGCTTGGGATAAGACACGATGTGCTTGAAAGCGCCAGAGAAACAGAGTTGTCCTTCTTGCGCGGCAGCTGTCGTGGCAGATGCCGCAGCGGGATCGACGCCCACGTAATTACTAGGTATTATGTATCCCTGCCAATGCTTTCCCGTTGCTTTTGAAGTCGAAGCGAGATAAGAAAGTTCGATAATTGATTGCAGTCATGGACCCGTTCTTCAAGATGCATCTGGGAGATCTTGATCGGGACCGAGAGCACTGAGTGGTTCAGAAATCAGAATCGAGAAATGCTCGTCTCGTACGTACGTGTGTACAAGCACGCTCTCAAGGTCTGGGGCGACGGTCCCTCAACAGGCGGCCAGCCCCTTCATCCTTCTAATAAGTTCTGAACCCTTACGCCTCATCAGGGGCAGACCACGCCATCCTTCAACGCCATCGGCAAAGGGAGCAGCCGCACCATTCCAGTCGGCAGAACCTGGGGCAGCAGCTTCTGACGACATGGGTCGTTGTGGTGGTGGTGGTGGTGGAGTTTCCAGAGACACTCATCATTCATGTGCCAGGGTGGGTCTTGGCGTGGACGGCGCCTGTTCAAGATTAAGAATAAATTTAAGCATGAAATTGATCCAGAGTCAGTTGGACGGGGCCGTGCAACGGCTCTGTCAGTAGCGACGACGTTTCGTACAAGACGCGTGGATGAGAGAGACACATTCCACGAGAGACACTGCTGTGTCTCGCACGGCGCTCTTATGAAGCCGGATGAGCTTGAGAGAAACGAGACGCATCTGCATGCTGCATCTACAAGTACGTACCAAGCAAGGTCCAAGGCGCTGGAGCCTGCTGGATGGGCTGAACATCCCTGAAGGGAGGCTCATCGAGTCATTGGCGGACCCGAGGCTCGACACCCGTGGTGGGTGGATCCGCCAAGAGCACTGAATTCTTTCCACGTCCAGTTAGCCGAACCATGACGGAGCATTCGATGCAGTGCAGTGTCATGAGATCAGGTTGCACGCTGCCAGAAGTACAACTTGTCGCTCGAATCTCTGCGGTGATAGCTTCACCACTGCAGAGTTGGACTTGCGGCTCAATGTGCCGGCATTCATGTCAGGTGCCAGTGGTAATAATGCCCTCGGGCATCGACGTGTCGGTCGTAGAAAGCCAAGAGAGTAAGTCTTGTGCACGCGTCATCTGACATTCTCATTAGAGGCTGACACAAACAGGCCTCGTTAGGCACTGCCACCTGGCGGATTGCACGCTGATCGACGCAGGAGTCCCTGCCACTGCCCGGCAATCTAGCGACTAGGGATATTATTACCGTCTGGAAAGTCTCGTGCCGGGAGGTAGTTCTACGCCAAAGGACGATCCTTTTCATTACCGCTTGGCGCACACTTCACTGCTCGGTTTTCAAGCACAACAGCACTCTGCTGTTCACACTGCTCGACAATAACATGGTGCGCTGGCTAAACGTCTCCTACAAGCACACATTTCTCACCATCTGTTGGTCGAATGTGTCGAATTTTCCAGAATTTTCAGTGTGGCTGTCCTCGGGACTATCCTAGGCTCTTCCGACATGGGCCTATTGGCCTGCACCGTACCTAGTCAACCTGCGCTGATGATCAAGGACTCACTCCAAAGTATGCCGTCGGTATCTACCTTTGTCATCAGTGACAAGCGAGTCATTGTGTTTTCGGACTGCATCCTGTGCAATAGTGAGAATGAATTTGCTCACGACCAATTTGCAGATCCTCTGTATTCAGGAGCCTTTCGTACCTTCTCCAAACCGGATATTTCGGTTCAGTTTACGGACTTGGAAGTAAACTTGGCCAACATAGCGAACGATTCAATCCGCAGAGAGCCGAAGCAAAATGAGCATCATACGTTCGTAAGCTGCATGATCTTAGCCATGATATAGCCATTTGCCGGGCAGCTGAGTCTTTCGTGTCGGAGCCGTCAAGCTCTCGGGTCCTACTCTTTGATATTAGCAGGCTGCCACCAGACGTCAAAATCTCATAGACAGGCTCTATTCTTCGGTACAAAATCGGGATTTTCTAATCCACTGACTTCCCATCGAGTGGTGAGTGTCGATTCAAGCAATCATGGTCGTTTTGCGTAGCTGCAATTTTGCGCCAAGAGATAGAACCAATTTCAGGGGCGTTTGTGGTGCGTTGACAGCTCGCAGCCTTATTTATACTTCCTGGCTGGTAGCAATCATTCCAAGCAATCAACGTACCATGAGTACCTGTTGATTACCAATCTTTCCAAAGCTTATACATAGTACTGTGAGCCAGTCTGTGGGCAATGACGTTCTGGTCGGGATGTGGCGACAGCAGATCTGATGTCAACAGAAGGGCGTCAAAGGCATTTATCTATCTAGTAAGACCTGACGTGAATACTCAGTCCATCCGAGGCCATACATCACCCTAGCACACAAATTCAATCCCAAGAAATACAAAGCCTTCAACCAACCATCAACAGCCATGGACCCCACGAAGCTGACGACGACCTTCAACCACCAGACCCCAACGCACAACCTCCAGGTTCAGTGGACATCTTTGGGCAATCCCCAGTCGCAACCACTCATCTTCATTCATGGCACGCCATGGTCCTCCCAAATGTGGAAGCCCTTTGCGGTGGCATTTTCGCGACAATTCCATGTCTATCTACTCGACAGACCAGGTTTCGGTGAATCGTCCCCAGAGCAGCCGCTGCAGGCAGACTGGAGACCCGACAGCCCCATGATCCAATACGACTCGGATCTTGCACGGCAATCAGAAACATTTGCGGCGCTCTTCAAAACGTGGCAGGCTGACTGGAACGGCCAGAAACCTCACGTCATCGCCCATGACAACGCTGGCCTGCTGAGCCTGAGGGCACATCTCCTGCACGATTGCCAATACGCCAGTCTGTGCCTGATCGACGTCGTCGCCATTGGACCTTTTGGGCAATCCCTCTTCAAAGCCGTGGCAGAAGACCCAGAGCGCTTCGAGCGTCTCCCAGACATGGCGTTCCAAGGCATCTTGGAAGGGTACATTCGGAACGCGGCATACCACGAGCTCCCAGAGGAGACGATGGAGATGCTGAAGGCGCCCTGGCTCCGACCGGGAGGGAAGGCGGGCTTCCTGCGAGAATTATGCCAGGCCAACGCACGCTCGACGGATGCCGTTGAGGGTCGCTATGGGGAAGTGGGCAAGACCATGCCGGTCAAGGTGATCTGGGGCGCCAACGATGAATGGATCCCCGCGCAAGATGCCCACAGACTTGGTGATGCGTTGAATGCTAGAGAAGTGGTGGTTATTGGGGAAGCTGGGCACTTGAGCATGATTGATCAGGCAGGACAAGTGGGCGTTGAGTTTGGGAGGTGGTTGTGCTCACTGTAGCTCGGTTCATTGATGGAGGAGCGCACGACGTTCGTCTAGTACCCGAACTTTAGCGAAATTCCGGTGTCGCGTTCTCATTGGGAATTAATCTCTTGGATTCACTGTGGAGCCTGAATGAAATCTGCATAGAAATTCGTGTCGCAACATAAAGACGCTGCTGTGATGGCGCCATGACCCTTGCTCAAACCGAAGTCAATCCCGTCCTTTCTGCGCCATTCAAGAGCTCGAGCGTGTAGCGCTCAGCCACGAATCGATCAAGTCAAAACAGGTCTGAGCAATCATGGTTCGTAGAGAATAGTCATACGTACTATAAGGAATCCGCCATGCGCCCTCATCGGTGAATGGCGCTTGGGCAGCGGCAATGTTTGACGTTTGGTTGACCGCGGCCTGGACTGGATTGGAGACGCGACTGGAGTTGTCAATCGGGGGTCGCGATCAGGGCCACATCCCCTGAAGCATTGGCTGAAAGTGCCCCGCGGCAAGCCGCCAGGCGGCCGGACGTGGGGTCTAGCCGGCCAGCGGGTCCCGCTAAGCCGCGATAGGAAATATGTCAACACGACGCGATAAGCAACAGGCAGGCAGACGAGCATTGCTGCCTTCAATTCACGGTCAAGACGCGGTCGTCCATCACGCGGGCGACTCGAGCGGGTCTTGTTTACATATTGAGCATCTCCTAATCCCTACCTGTTTTGAACATCCTCTTCATCTTCACCATTGTTCATTTTTTGTGTCCCAAACAGACTGTAGCCACCACTATGGACGAGCACGACGACAGGCCCATCGCAGTGAGGCGTGAACGCCGCAAGAGCTGTGGTGTTCGCGTGAAAAGCGAGCCTGACACACTACCTGAGATGAGGACACCCAAGCGCAGTAACTGCAAGCGAAAAGCTCGGTTCTCAGAACCAGGCTTGTCGAGTGGCCTGACGCCGATGTTGCGACGCACGGCCCTCATGAACACGCCCAGCAGTCATCGCCGTTCCTCAGCACCAGTGCCACGCCAGCACAGCGCCACCAGGAGTGCGAATACCACTATTAATAGCGACGAGCCGCAGCCGCTACGACAGATCCTTGAGGGCAGGGTCGAGCGCCGTCGCCGACGCTCCGCCCTTCGAACCGCGATTGACAAGCTCGACACCAAGTATCAGCGAACAGCCTCCAGCGCCAAAGCGAAAATCGACAATCTCCAGGAGCAGCTTCGCGCTCGCGACCAGGAAATACACGAACTTCAGAATGCCACAATTATAGTCGACACCAGTCGTGTCTGGGACCTGGAGCGCCAGGTCGATGACTTGGAGCGTGAGCTCAAGCAGGCACAAGATCAAGAGCGGACAGTGGTGCTTGACTGGACCATGGCGGCCCGGGATCCCTTTGAGGAACCCGACGAGGATGAGGACATGTTTGGGAATGAGACAGTTGCCCAATTGGCCTGCAGCACGCCTTCTCGCCGCGCAAGAGCCTCGTTCCCGACGCCCCCAGCCACGAGCCCCATGGCGTTTGCCCCGGACACACCAGCTAGCGTGTCAAGATTCCGTCACGCACAGACGGTCCAGCGAACACCACCAAGCCATGTCGGCGTTCAAGCGTCCATGCCTGATCCAGAACTGACGGCTCGGATGGAAGAGGTCGACTCGCTCAAGCGTGAAGTCGGCAAGCTGACGGGGACATTGGACTCGTACAGACTGGTGGTGGGCAAGCTCAACCGGCGACTCCTCGAGGATCCCTCTGGAGAGGATGTCTCTGTGTCGTCGCTTGACACCATCGAGGCGCAGGTCAATAGTATCCTCCAGACGCTGTCCGACCGCACGGCCGCGCTTACAGAACTCGAATCAAACATTGCAACACTCGGCTTTCCAGGCCAGAATGCGAGCGAGATGCTCACCACCCTCTCGGCTGCGTTCCGCTCCGCCCGTCTCGAGCTGGAGTACCTCACACCTGGTGAAATTACTCTGCCGCTCAGCTCTCATGGTGCCGAGGTGCTCGATCTGATTCTAGACCAGCTGCGCGCCCTGGCGCACAAGGTCAAGGAGAGTGACGAGACGGTGGATGAGTACCACGCGATCGAGCTCAGCCTACGACAGCAGCTTGATGCGCGTGTGACAGCCATGGATGGCTTGCGGAACGAGATCGCCGAGGCGAAAGAGGTGGCCGCAGCGAAAGACGCCGAGATTGCCACCAAAGACAACCAGATCCGCGACCTGGACATTGGCAATGATCGTCTCAGAGGGGCAGTGGATAAGTACATCCGCGACATTTCTGAGCTTGAGCGCCTCATTGAGCGCATGGAATCGGATGCGAACGACGCCAATTCTACACAACTGGAGCGTCAAGAAATGGTCAAGAGCCTCGAGATCCAGCTCAAGGAAACTACACAACGCGCGACTGAGTTGCAGGACGAGCTTGAGGTCTCCCAAGCAAGCCACCAGAAGCACCTCTCCGCCGTGAATCGCCGCTCGGGGCAAGCTCTCGCCCTCCGCGACGCACGTGTCGCTGAGCTTCGCACGGAAATTGACAGTGTCAATGCATCCCTGAGACAAGCGCATGAGCGCATCAAGGATCTCCGCGTCGAGAGGGACACTGCCGAGGCGGAGAATGACAGCCTCCGTGGTGTCGTGGAGAACATGAAAGCCGAGCTGCAGCGCGTCATGAGGATGAGCGAAGACTTGACGTCTGAAAGGGGTGATGATGGACCAGACATCCCGGGCAAGATGATGTCGGGGAAGCTGGCGAGGCGAAGCAGCGGGAGGAAGCGAAGACGATACGATTCTGGACTAGGATTCCTTGACGAGGACGAGGTTGACGTCTGATAATGGCTGAGTATTGTGTACACTCACTTTGGATTTTTCTTTTGTCGCATAGAATCTGGATGCATATTTGACTAGCATAATCGAGCAAGACGTACGCATGTCTGTGAACTGAGGCCCGGATGCCATTATAGTAGAGAACCACAATCTTTGCCAGCGTCCAGGGCATCAACTTTGAGCGGGACATGGAGCATCCGCAGACCACTCTGCGACGACGCCTTTGGCATTCTGCCTCCTCGAATATTCACCTGGAGAGCCTGATGAATCAACCTCGGTTCCGACATTTGCGCATCTCGCCCCTCGCGCACGGCGACGTATTGCTCCTCGGACGTGCCGTTGGCCAGGTGCTTGTTGCGATCTCGGTGCTCACTGGCGGTCAGAAAGGGAACCTCTTGTTGACGCGCACCGCTCGGGTAGTCGTGGCCCGTCCAGATCTTGACGTGATCGGCCATGGCGAGCAGTTTCTGCGCGGACTGGTAGAGCTGCTTCGCACTGCCGCCGGGAAAATCGCAGCGCGCGGTGCCAATGTCGGCGTGGAAGATGGAGTCTCCGCAGAAGACGTTGTCTGGGAGAGAGAAGTTTAGCTGTTAAGTCTCTTTTTTCCAAAGGCAGGCATGGGACTCGCTTACCTCCAAAGACATAGCCCATCAGATCTGGCGTGTGGCCCGGAAGGTGGATGGCTTGTGCCTTCAGATTCCCGAGGGGGAACTCTTCGTCGTCGTCAAGCATTTTGTCAAACACGCCCTCGCACTCGCCCCACGGTACATCATATTTGCCTGCGAATTCTTTCTGCACTTGCGTGATACGCTTGCCGATGCCAATGCGCGGCTTCCCATCTTGTTGTTGGCCAGCGAGGCGCCCTTGGAGGTAGGCCGCTGCCGTGAGGTGGTCCGCGTGAATATGGGTTTCCAAGATCCATTGGATTTGGTAGTTGTTGGACTCGATGAGACGCAGAATGGCGTCGGCGTTGTCTGTCGTCACCTTCTGCGTGGCCGGGTCAAAGTCGAGGACTGAGTCGATCACGGCAGCATTCCGAGTGGCTGGATCTGCCACGAGATACTGCCAGGTGCCGGTGCCCTTGTCAAATATGCTGTGGACTAGTGGCGTGGGATCCATCTTTACGAGATTTGGCTTGGAAACGTGTAGGTCGGACCTTCGCTTTGCTTCGGAGTAGACGACACACTTGGTCAATGACTCGATCAATACTATGTCGTCGTCAATCCTCAATATGCTTTTTTATATATATTACTATTACAACATGTTACTCATATTTATATACTTCTGTTCGAATTTCAAAGCAAAAGCAACTCACGAGAAGCCGGCGAAGTTCATGCTGGAGATCGCCGACGACTTTAGGTCGCCGAAGTCAAAGCCCGAGCGACTAATACGTTCAGCGGGGTGGCGAAACACCAAAGGAATGGTCGCCGTCCACTTAATACACATCACGCATGAATCATGCAGGACCACGTAGTCTCGGTAAGTACAATTCAGCGAGTTTTCCCTAGCGGCCGTAGTAAAATCTTGCGTCAGAGCGCGAAACTCTCCTCATCCATCCATTTCTTCGTGATACCCTAGCACCAGACTCCTCCAGCATGACCAAGCCAACAAAGACCTGCGTAGCGTGTGTAAGCTCATGTCCGTTCGTAACCCCTGAAGACCATCTTGGCTGAACCATGTACAGAGGAACAGACATGTCAGATGCGACGGCGAGCAGCCGTGCAGTCGCTGCACTGCATCAAAGTCTGGGTGCCTCTACGTCGCCTCGCAACGGGGGAAACGGCGACATGCTCAACAGCAGCCCGAGTTTCCGACTGACCGAGATTTGAACGCCATCCTTGAAGGAAGCAACATTTCCCCGCCATCTTGCTTCGGTAGCTGCCCGGAATTCGCTCCATGGGCCTTGCAGGACAGCAGTGACGAGCTCATGTCCGTGTCCAACAGCCTGGGCGTGGACCTTTCACCGCCAAACGCCCCATTGTTCGACCTGAATTGGCTTCCTGACCCTGCTGGCATCACTACGGAACCATGCAAGCAGATCGACTTCGCGGCAGGCGATGTCTCCATCATGCCGTCTGAAAGTGCCGCGGTCGAAACGGATCACTACTTGGCCTCCTTCTACCGATATGCCTTTGCCGCTCACCCCTTTGTCCTGCCACGCCACGACCTTCTGCGGCTCACAGACTTGCACGACTCGATGCGCACACCGCTTGCTACCATGCGTTGGATCGGCTCGCTGTACGTGGACGTCCAGCCTCGTCTGCGCAGTGAGCTCTACCAACAGGCCCACGACCTGATACATGACCCCAGAGCCCCGCGCGACGGGTTTCTCGTCCAGGCGATGCTTCTCCTTCTCGTAGGTCTCGACGGAAACGCAGATCAGCGCAAGGCACGGGAAATACTGGAGAATGCGGAGCAACTCGCGCTGGACATTGGCCTGCATCGAGCATCTTTCGCTTCCCTCTATGGTCGAGGCGTTCCGATCCTCGAAGAGAGCTGGAGACGGACATGGTGGAGCTTGTACACCACCGAGGCCATGGTGACCGCTGCCCATCGCAGGACCGACTTTGCGCTGTACGACGTGGCCAGCGATGTTGGTCTTCCTTGCGAGGAGGATCAGTATCTGTTCGGGGTGCGTGCGCTTGACTACCCCGTTCGTTGCCAGAGAATATGGCGCCTTGCTGACATTACACCATAGGATATTCCCGACCCGCTCTCCTTTGACGACCTCGAAGCTCGGGGCTTCGCCAGAGAGGAGCTTGCCTTCTCCTCGTTCGCGTACCTGATTCTGTCCGCCCAAACCCTCGGCTTCTTCCTGCACAAATCGCGGTCGATCGATCACCTGGACGACGGGACGCAGACGGAAGCACGCCTCGCGTCCTGGTCATTCAGTCTACCAGCGAACAAGCGCGACGCCCTTCGAAACGACGGGCAACCAGACGAGATCATGTTCCAAGCCCTGATGATGCGGCACGCAATCTCCATCACGGTACACGAGGTACACGCCAAGCTGGACAAGCTACCAGCAATCACAGTCAACCACTGCATGTCCCTGACGTCGGAGGTTGGCGCTCAGGCCTCGGACATGCATACATTCCATGCCATCACCTCCGCCCGCGCCATCAGCAGAATGGTCATGTGCCACCACTCGGTCGTCTCCCACGTGCACTTCTTCACGTGCGTGGTCACATTGTCGTCCATTGTGCATCTGGGCCGCTGGGCGCTCATGCCTGCTGGCCACGGTGACCAGGAAGCGCTTCGAGAATTGTTGCGGCTCAACATGGGGGCCTTGAAAGAACGGTCGCGCGTCTGGAAGGCGGCTGCGATTTCGCACGAGCAGGTCGCGTCTGTGGCGAAGGATTTGTTCCGGATGAAGCAACGGGGGGCGATACGCTGAATTGGCCATCTCAAGATGGATGGGTCAATTGTTCTTTAGAATACGGTAGAAGCCTTTATAGATGCCAGAACTCGTTCCAGCTTTCCTGGCCTGGCGGGTCAAGGATGAAGTGTAAACTGCCCGCCCAGCACTTCGTGTCGGTGTCCTGCGACGCAGTACATGTAATGTATCGTCAACTGTGGCGCCCTCCATCAGGTACAGTGTCACGACAGCATACCCAAGAGAGCCGCTGCGCCCATGCATAAACACGCCCTGGCCCTTGTGACCCTACCTGAGCGATGTACTTAGACCACATGCTGTTAGTCCAGGATGTAGTACCAACAGCGTCTTGGCTGTGTCCTAGCCATTTCTCTCTAACGGGTCGATGCCGCAGCTTGCAGTCGCGAGTTCCACGCACCCTTAGTACTTGCAAGGTAGTAAGGTAGGTTTCGTCTGTGGTGATCAGGCACACTGTGATATGCACCATTTTAAGTTAACGTGGATATACATCTAACGACACTTACACCAAACCCCGCATCCCGTACCAAGTCCCTTCCTGCTCTGAATGCCGGTCGGGGGATATTCGCTATCTTATCTCTCCTCTGGCTTAATGACCGACTCAGCCCGCATGCAACTCCAGTCCTCTCCTGCCCACTCGAACCAGCAACAAAGAAGGCTCGTGCGCTTGGACATTGCCCCTCGAGATGCTGTCTCGTCTCCCTCCCTGACAACTCCGTATATTTGTGCGCACCATCATGCGCCCCCTTCTCGCGCAAGGGGCTCTCCCACTACGTTCCGTCACCCTCCGATCCTACAGCCGAGCACCCCTCCAACCCGCGTGGAGATCCCACCCTCGACGGCATCAGTCCTCGAACCATGGCAAACCGCCCCCGGAGACTGAGCAGCCGATTCCAGTGCCCAATACCGTCGGTCAGCTCCCGCTCTGGCAACGCCTCGGCCCTCTGACGACTCTTGCGACGGCGTACGCTCGTTCGCAGAGACGCCGCCCTTGGACTACTCAGTTCTTCAGCGCGCTGGTAATCTACTGTATATCCGACATCAGCGCCCAGAACATTGGCAGCGATGACCCCTTGGACCCGAGGCGCACGGCAAGGAGTCTGGTGATCGGCGGTGTCGCCGCCATCCCCAGCTACCTCTGGTTCAATTTCCTCTCGCACAACTTCAACTACTCCTCGAGGCTGTTGTCGCTCGGCACGAAGATTGTCGTCAGCCAGTTTGTCTTTGCGCCGACGTTCAACTCGTACTTCTTCGGCATGCAGGCCCTGCTTTCGGGGTGTACGCCTGCCGAAGTCGTGGAGCGAATCGTCAACACCGTCCCGACGAGCTGGGTGAGCTCATGTCGGTTCTGGCCCATTGTCACGGCCTTTAGTTTCACCTTTGTCCCCGTCGAGCACCGCAGCGTGTTCTCTGCGGTCATCGCGATTGGATGGCAGACGTACCTCGCGCTGCTGAACAGGAGGGCTGAGGAGAAGGCAGCGGCTGAAGCAGGGGCCCTCGACAAGCCAAAGGCGATTGAGGCGGCATGATGCATAGACATAGACATCTGAGTGGCAACACAAATATTGGCATTTCGATAGACAGCTTATAGACGCATAGACTTTTGTAGACTTCAGAATGAGTTCTGGCACGGTGTGGTAGGGCATGCAATTCCCTGCGTCCGGTCCAAGTGACACCGTATGGTTGCCACACTCAAGCGACGTTTGCGAAGCACCATCGGCCTTGTGACGTCCGATGCAGCATGGTCACTGATGAGGGGCGAGACCGAAAGTGTACGACCGGGGCCTCTAACTAGTGAGAATAATCGACGCGTAAAACCATCAAGCTTGCCCTTGATGGGCTTCAGAGTTTTCGATGAACCATCCAGACAGACGCGGACCACATTGATTCCCGCAGAATGAGAGTTTCACATTTCCAGGGCGCCATGTTTACGTTATTGGGCATTTACGCTCACGCGTCCCCCCCCTTTTTTGTCAGCGTCTCACACCCCTTTAAATTCAAATTGACTCAGCCCATGCGTATCCGGAGCAACTTCGTTTTGGCACCCACGATCACTACACGTAGCCTGCAAAGTACCCCAAGTCTTTGATGCGTGGGACCATCCCATATGCCTCTCTGTGGTTTGAGTAAGGCATGATGAGGCATGGTGTTGTGGCACCAAATCGAAACGTGGAAGATGACACAGGGTAGCCAATGATCAGAGCGGACCACGGCAACTTCTTGACCGCCGCAATCTCAACGATAGAGGATGCCGGCATTTTGCTCTTTCACTATCAAATGAAAATGGATATCTTTCATTCTCTTGACTTATTACTATGGACTGCGTTATTCTGACAACGCATAGTTAACACCTCGCCTGTTGAGCGCCACGCTGCACCGCCACATGCGTCAATGCCAGCAAGGCGCATGCACATACGAGGCCAATGACAACAATCAAAGCCATTCGCTTCCCCTCCAGCTGACGACGACTGCTATCCATCACATCCACATTCAGGCTCATTCCAAGGTTGTTTATGAACAAATTCTGTGGCATGCGCCTCTAGAGCACTATTCTCGACAACGTGAATCCTGGAAAGATCCCTGCGTCAGACCGCAGATGCTGCAGGCAGATATCCTTTGGCTGTATAAGTTCACTGTGCGCGCTCCTGGTTCTCATTTTCGCCATTGTACATCGATTTCTCGACACAAATACACATACAGAAGTTAGCATGGGTGGTCACCAAGGCTACCGTACGGTAGCCTACTTTGTCAACTGGGCGGTCTATGGACGGAAGCACACGCCCCAGGACCTTCCCGTCGAGAACCTCACCCACATTCTCTACTCCTTTGCAAATGTCCGACCCGATAGCGGCGAGGTGTAAGTTTTGCAGTGTCCGTCATGGGACCACGCTGACCTGGCAGCCACATGACCGATGAGTGGGCCGACGTAGGCATCCACTACGAGGGCGACTCGTGGAACGACACTGGCAACAACATGTACGGGTGCATGAAGCAGCTTCACTTACTGAAGCGCCGCAACCGTAACCTCAAGGTGCTCCTGTCCATCGGCGGGTGGACCTACAGCGCCAACTTCCGCGCGCCCGCTAGCACGCCGCAGGGCCGCTCCGCCTTCGCCAAGTCGGGTGTTGAACTGGTCAAGAAGTACGGCTTCGACGGGCTGGACATTGATTGGGAGTACCCCCAGAACGCAGACGAGGCGCGCAACTTTGTCGAGCTGCTTGCCGAAACGAGGAGGGAGCTGGATCGCTACTCGCAAGAGGTCGGTGGCGGCCACCACTTCGAGCTCACGGTAGCCTGCCCGGCTGGGGCGCAGAACTTTACCAAGATGGATATCCCTGGAATGGACCAGTACCTTGACTTCTGGAATCTCATGGCATACGATTACGCTGGATCATGGGACTCGGTCAGCGGTCACCAGGCGAACCTGTTCCCGAGTCCAGACAACCCTGCGTCGACACCATTTTCCACGGCTGCTGCTCTGGATCACTACCTTCGCAGTGGAGTGCGGGCCGACAAGCTCGTCTTGGGTATGCCATTGTACGGCCGTGCCTTTGAAAATACCGGCGGACTGGGTCAGCCCTTCCAAGGCGTGGGCGAGGGTACGTGGGAGCAAGGCGTGCACGACTACAAGAAGCTGCCCCTTCCTGGGTCGCAGGAAATCTACGACCAGGCGGCTGGTGCGACGTACTGCTTCAGCCCGGACCAGCGCAAGCTGGTCACGTACGACACGCCGCAAATGGCCCAGATCAAGACACAGTTCCTCATGGAGCGTGGCCTAGGCGGCGCCATGTGGTGGGAGAGCAGCTCGGACAAGGCTGGGGACGAGAGTCTGATTGGGACGGTGGTGCGCACTTTTGGTGGCCCAGGAGCGCTGCTGAAGCAGGACAACTGCATCAACTACCCGCACTCGTCGTTTGATAATCTCCGCGAGGGCTTTCCAAGCAGTTGAGCGAGGTCTCTTAGTCGAAAAGAAACATGAACTTGATAAATGAACGCGCGAGTCTTGAGAGCTGCGACTCAATGTGATGAGACCCCACACACGTGACCTCCTCCAATCAGTGTGGAGCCGCCGCCCGACTCGAAAATTTCGGCCTCTTCGCAAAAAAAGTTTATGGACGAGGACCACGACGCCCGACACCCAGTTTCACATCATCTCCCATCCACCCACGCCCAGATCAATTCCTCTCCTCGCCGCCAAGGAACCACCCAGTGCGCAATCGCCCACCACGAGAGAGGGATCAAAACACCGCAATCATGTCCGAAGTCGAGTACGCCCTCTTTGAGGCGCCAGTGGGCTATTCCCTCTTCAAGGTCGTCCACCAGGCCGATGTCGTGGGGCTCAAGTCCAAGGAAGGCCAGGAGGCGGCCAATGACCTCGCCAAGTTTGGCAAGATGGTGACTCTGCAGAACTTTAGCCCATTCCGGTAGGTTGCGCGGTACACGGGACACGAACAGCTACTAACAGAGACCCTCCAGTGGCCAGAAGGAAGCTCTCGAAAACGTCAACGAAATATCCGAGGGCCAGCTGCCCGACTACCTCCGCGAGGTTCTCGAGCTCAACCTCCCCAAGGCGAGCGGCAAGAAGACCCAGATCAACCTCGGTGTCTCGGAGAAGAACCTGGCTGGTGCCATCAAGGCTGCTTTCCCCGGCGTCGTCTGCCAGACCGCTGACACCTCCGACATTGTCGCCGAGCTCCTCCGTGGCATCCGTGTCCACGCCGCCAAGCTCATCCCCGACCTGACGGCCGAGGACCTCCTCGCGGCTGGCCGTGGTCTTGGCCATGCCTACTCGCGTGGCAGGATCATGTTCGACCCCAAGCGCAATGACCGAAGCATCATTGAGGCCATCAAGACCGTCGAGCTGCTCGACAAGAGCAACAACACCAACTACATGCGCCTCCGCGAGTGGTACGGCTGGCACTTCCCCGAGCTCAACAAGATTGAGCCAGACAACTTCACATACGCCTCGCTCGTCAAGGAGATTCGCGACAAGCGCACATTGACCGATGACCGCCTGCACGACATTGCCGCCATTGTCGGCGAGGACGGTGAGAAGGCCCAGGCCATCATCGACGCCGCCAAGGTCTCCATGGGCATGGACATCTCCGTCGAAGACCACGACATGGTCGACGCCCTCATCAAGCCCCTCAACGGCGCCTTCAGCCTCCGCAAACAGACCGCCCTGAACCTCGAGCGTGTCCTCGACAACGTGGCCCCCAACCTGCAGATGCTCGTCGGCACCATGGTAGCCGCCCGTCTCATCGAGGCCGCGCAGGGTCTCAGCAACCTGGCCAAGATGCCCGCCTCGACGTTGCAGATCCTGGGTGCCGAAAAGGCGCTCTTCCGCGCGCTCAAGGCCAAGAGCAACACCCCCAAGTACGGTCTCATCTTCCACAGCACCTTCATCGGTCGCGCCTCGACACGCGACAAGGGCCGCATCTCGCGCTACCTCGCCAACAAGTGCAGCATCGCCTGCCGCATCGACTTCTTTGCGGATGAGCCCTCGACCAAGTGGGGCAAGGCTCTGAAGCAGCAGATCGAGGACCGCCTACAGTTCTATGCCACCGGCAAGCGCCCGGCCAAGAACGTGGATGTCATGGTGAGTAGTACCTTTTGGAGGTCAGATGGCGTATGTCTAGCCGCTAACGATTCGCAGTCCGGCGTTGAGTCTCTCGGTGATCTGGCAGAGGGCGCCGATCTCGATGAGGAGATGGAAGATGCCGACGATGTTGAGGTCGCCACCGAGAAGAAGTCCAAGAAGGAGAAGAAGGACAAGAAAGAAAAGAAGGACAAGAAGGAGAAGAAGCGCAAGCTGCAAGAGGATGAGGAGACCGCCACACCCATGGAGGTGGATGGCGAGGAGAAGAAGAAGAAGAAGAAGAAGTCCAAGTCTGCGGATGCCTAGAAGGCCTCGTCCGACTTGGCTTTGGTGGCAGCTTCTTCCGCCCAGGAATCATCACCACCTGCCAGCGTCCTCGAAAAGGCAAAAGGCTTGCTCATCGACGCAACTGAGGTGTTCAGGGCGCGCAAGCGCAAGGCTGCAGCGTTGAGCGCCGCCGAGCTTGGGCAGTAGGCCAAAGCCAAAGCCAGCCGATGATGCTTCTTCTCATCTTGTTGTCTCCTTTTCATATCTTGCTTTTCCCATCTGGCTCTGGAGTTTGGGGTGTTTTGAGCTTACTCTGTGAACATACCACGGTGTGGATGGAGGGATATCTACGGCGTTCTCGAGAAACGGCAAATTCAAATCTTCTTATTTCCTTCACTCTCGCCATTGATGACATGTGGGCATGACGGTCGGTCTTTGACTGTGGATTCAGCTGAGCGCAATGGAACTACCTGCGGTAATCATGGCATTTGCGCAGCTATGGATAAATCATATGCCTGTCTCCTTTAGGTAGAATGACAGTAGACCAACTGCTTCGTTGCGAAGACTCACACTGTGCGCCAAGTTCCACGTTCGTTGCCCCTGGACGGATGCTTCGGGGTGGTCCTGCACCGCATGATCGGCAGCTCGTCTCCCCTAGGAATCAAAGATACGTAAATGAAGACACGAGCACGGCTTATCTCTGAAATGTCAAGGGCGGATCAGACATGTAGCAACCACAGGTGAAAGGTCATCATTTTTTGAATGTCATGTCCGATGTGCTCTATGCTACATCAACGCCGAAATGACTTGCCCGGGACGTTCAGTATCCCACGCCCTAACTAGCCCATCCATCCCTCATGTTTAAATCATCCGCACGCCATTCCTCGCAGAAATCGTCTATTGCTTGTCGACGATGTAGGTGAGGTGGCAGCGGCCACAGTACTGGCGGTCGGGCATGGAAGCCATGAAGACACCAGCGCCGCACTGTCACAATGTTAGCGATCAGAGCCAAAATGATCAATGTCCGAGAAAAAACTCACAGTGTCAGCGGGGCACTCGCGGCGGAGGCGCTCAATGCTGCCGTCGTTGCCGACCTTGTAGTACTTGAGCACAGCCAGCTTGTTCTTCTTGCGCTTGTGCTTGATCTTCTTGGGGGTGGTGTAGACCTTCTTCTTGCGCTTCTTGGCCATACCACCACGGAGGCGGAGGACCAGGTGGAGGGTGGACTCCTTCTGGATGTTGTAGTCGGACAGGGTGCGGCCGTCCTCGAGCTGCTTTCCGGCGAAGATCAGGCGCTGCTGGTCAGGGGGGATGCCCTCCTTGTCCTGGATCTTGGACTTGACATTGTCAATGGTGTCGCTGGACTCGACCTCGAGGGTGATGGTCTTGCCCGTCAGGGTCTTGACGAAAATCTGCATCTTGCCTAGCTATCTCGATTAGCATGCTGTCGCGGGTGTATAGTGAATGAGGGCAAAGTCTGCTCGGCTGATCATCATCATCATCATCATCATCATCATCATCGTCCATCATTCGCCCCGTTTTGCTTCGCGTGCATGGAGGGGATCGCACGACGGACAGCGTCGCTGGAACGCATGGATCAGGGCGTGGCGGCGCCGTCGTCGGTGGATGGAAATGAATATCAAATAAAGGCAATGATGATGATCAAACCAAGAGACATCGTGCAGACATACCTCGACAATGTGTCTTCCTAAGCAAGCTTCAGATGTTCTTTTGGCGATGCGGTTGGGAAGAAGGAGGACTGGGGGCGGTCTTTTCTCCAGTGGTGGTCCTTGACTCGGCGTGGCGTGGCCTAAGCCCTGGGCAAATTCAGCAGGGCTAGAGTGGGCTGGCCTGGCACGCACATTTTCGCGCGCGACAGAGCCGCCTTTGTCAGCATCACGTGAGTAGGGTTCTCCAGTCTGCGGTGCAAATGCCCCTCCCTGTGGATGGAAATTTTGTGTGCGCGCAGTGGCAGCGGGTGTAGCTCCACATTTTGCAGCCATTGAACTTTGGTGCGTCTGGGCCGACCTCTCTTTACACCTTTCAACCCTTCACAGCAAGTCAAGTTCAGTATGTTTGCTCCGCCGTCGAACCTCATCCTCGCATTCCTCTAACAGCACCACAGATACCGCCAAGATGGTCAAGAAGAGAAAGAACAAGTACGTTCGCCCTGCCACGCCTCGCTCGACCGACGATCCCTCGATACTCGACGCAGCGTCGCCTTCGCTCGAGATCGCGAGCACGCGTGGTTCGCGATGATCTGAGCACTGGACTAACAGAAACACAGCGGTCGCAACAAGAAGGGCCGCGGCCACGTCAAGCCCATCCGCTGCAGCAACTGCTCTCGCTGCACGCCCAAGGATAAGGCAATCAAGCGTTTCACCATCCGTAACATGGTTGAGTCTGCTGCTATCCGTGCGTTTTTCCCTCTACCACTACCCTTCTGCAATTACGGCGACTAACAGGCTTGTAGGTGACATCTCGGACGCCTCGGTCTTTGCCGAGTACACCGTACCCAAGATGTACCTGAAGCTGCAGTACTGTGTCTCTTGCGCCATCCACGGCAAGATTGTCCGGTACGTTGTCTTTCCTGGGAGTGTGACAACTGCGCCTCGGCGTATGCTTTTCAGAAGAGCCTTGGTCGTACTGCTACACTCCCACCCTCCTCGTCGCGCTGGCTGGTCCGGCTGCGGTACGTATCGTCGACAGGACGCTGACATGACAATAGTGTTCGCTCGACCACTGGCCGCCGCAACCGTGCCCCTCCTCCTCGCGTCCGCTACAACAAGGACGGCAAGAAGATTATCCCCAACACCCCCAAGGCTTAAGCGATGGTTGTCCTCCTGCATGGCTGGTGTTCGATGTGATGAGTTACGACTGGGTCTCTTGGGAAATAGGGGCACATCAAACAGTGTGCGTTTGGCGCATAAAAATGAAACATGGTACATGCACAAATTTTCCGTCTGTGAGACTGTTCGCGTACATGAATGCTCTACTGTGACCTGAAAAGAACGTGTCTCGAGTGCGCTTGGTGGCCCGCGCTGTCTGGGAACACGTACTCCGCACCGCTTCAATTTGTTCAACTGGCAAGCGCCAATTTTGGTTCTATCCACTGGTGTCGAACTACCCTAGAGTTGTATCCGAGATATCAGTTTTCGCGAACCTTCGCGTCGGCCTGCAGGAAAGCCGCCCTGTAGACGGCAAAATCCAATTGAGTGGTAAACATAACGATGAGATCGCCTTGGTTGCATGCATCTGATGAGCTGAATGTAGCGCGGTGCACAGGCATCACGTCGACCGGTCAGCTTGGAGCTTGACCAGAACGCGCGTAGCAATGCAGCACGCAAAACGCTCGACAATGCTGCGATTGAAAACCCGTATAAACACTTACCATCCTTCTTGGAGTTGGTCTCATTTTTTCCGCTCCTGAATTGCGCGCAGGCTTTCACAACACATGAACTTGCAATCCATGTGGCAACACTGACGTAAAGTTCATGTTCACAACAAACCCCCGACACTCGTCGTCGCCGTCGCTAGCTACGTGTCTGAGGCAAAATACATCAATGTGTTCTAAAAGCGTCTCGCCAAGTATGACCATTGATTGAAGCATCAATTGCAGCAGCACAAACTCCGACGCCCTATACACAGACCCATCCAGTTGGCCATCATTCCGGTCATTCCCTCATCATCGGACTTATATACCCAGAAAGCGATTTATACATGACACCGTCCCTCATCTATCATCTCATTGCCAGTGTTGTCGTCGGACCTCCAGCTGTCGGCGGCCGTTGCGTGCTGGGGGCTGGCCGTGCTGGCGCTGGTCGGTTGATGTAATCTTGGTTCTCAATGGCGACACTCTTCGTCATGTGGTTGACCTTGTATACGCCAATCAAGCGCGCAGCCAGCTCGAACATGTTGTTGCGGAGCGAAATGACAATGAACTGAGCGTTCTTCGTCCTTTCCTTGATGTAGTTCGCCACAATGGAGACCTGGACGATGTCAGTACCTTGTTGAGAAGATGCACGGGGGGTTTGGTAACTTACGTTTCGGAAATCGAGCGCCGCGTCAATCTCGTCCATGACGTAGAGCGGCGTTGGCTTGTAATGATGCAGCGCAAATACAAGGGCGAGACTGCTGAGCGTTTTCTCGCCACCTGATAGATTGCTGATGTTCTTCCAGCTCTTCTTGGGAGGCATGACACTGAATTGGATTCCTTCGCTGAACGGGTCCAGACTGTCCACGAGCTCGAGCTCCGCGTTGCCGCCCATGGTGATGAGTTGATACATCTCTTTGAGTCGCAGGGAGATGGCACTCAAACCTTCCATGAAGCCCTCAAGGCGCATCCTGCGAAGGTCGTCGCACCTTTTCTTCGCCGAATCGCGCTGGTCAACCGCGGCCTGAAGGTCAGAAGCTCGACTGGCGTACTCTTCGACACGGCGGCGGTACTCGGCGAGTACACCGAGATCGACATTGACGTTTTGCGTCTTCTCCTCGAGGATCGCAATCTCACCCTTGAGCTGTTCCTTGCTCATGTCGGCAAGCTCGTCGGGCGTATACTGCGGCAGCTGCTGCAGGTCCTGCATAGGCTCGTCTTCTTCCCCGTCCTCCTCTTCAGCACTGCCCTCACCACCTTCTTCCGCTTGCTCCTTGTCGGCGGCTTGGTCGTCCATGGTCTGGCTGCGGTCGTCACCACCTTCGGCCATGTCAATGTCCTCGTCTTCCTCTTTCACCGAATCATCTTCCATGTCCACATCTCCATCATCTGCTGGCGATTGTTCAACCTTAGGCTTCTTGCTCTTGGTGACCTTCCTCTTTGCGCCCTCTGCGCCGCCGACCAAGTCCTCGATGTCATGTAGGGTCAACTTTGACAGCTTTTCGTCCCAATATTTCAAGCGCCGGTGGTTCTCTGCAAGAGCCTTCTGGTTCTCCTCGAGCTTGTTCTTCATCTCGATCTCGAGTGCGCGCGTCTCGTTCAACTCGGCTGTCTTCTCATCGAGCTCAGCCTTGAGTGCCTTGAGCTCCGTCTTGGTCGCGGCCAGCGCCTGCTCTGCCTCTTCCACATGCGCGCGCAGCTCCTCAGCCTTTTCTACTTGATTGTTGACGTCGTGGTCAAGCTGTTCCAAATCGTTGTCGGCGGTGGCAAGCTCCTTGTTGGCCTTGGTCGCGTCCTTGTCGAGCTTGACCTTCTGCTTCTCAGCCTTGACGCGGCGAACCTCGGCATTGGATATCTCTTCTTGGTTCTGGGCGAGTTCCTCTTTCATGCTGTGCACCTTGGCACGTTGGGCGCGTAGTTTCTCGCCACCAACCTCCATGATTTTGTCTTGCAACGCCTTGATCTCGTCTTCAACGCTCTGCGTCTCGCCATGGAGTTTCTCAATGTCCCTGTTGAGTTTAACAGTGTCCTTCTTCAACGACTCTTGGCGGCTGTCGTCAGAGGCCGACGGCTGGTGCTCCTTGCTGATCTCCTTGACGCGTCTTTTTAGATCAGCCAAGCTACGAGTGTTGCTTTCCATCTCGAGACCGATCTTTTGCTTCTCGGTGTTCAGCCGCGGCACGTTCTCGTTGATTTCGCGCAGACGGGTCTCGCACTCGCGCTGGTACTCTTGGAATTCCTGGTATTTGGTTTCCCAGGCATCCCTGTCAGTTTCGAGCTTGACGACCTGCTCCTTGGAGATGTCATCTGTTTGCTTCGATGACATGAGACCCTTGCGGGTAGTAGAACCGCCACCAGACATGGTACCTGATTTATCAATCAGCTCACCAGCAAGCGTGACAACCCTCCATCGCTTGGCGCCGTAAGCGATGCGGTTTGCTTGTGCCAGGTCATTTGCGACCAGAGTATCTTGCAGCGCATGGTAAAAGGCGGGCTGGAACTTCTTGTCTTTGGGAGTTACCAAGTCAAACAAGCGGGGCGCATCCTCTGGTGTTTGCATAGCACCCATGTCGCGGTTGCGCATCTTGTCCAAGCATATGAAGTTGCCTCGCCCGAGATTATTCTTGCGGAGGTGCTCAATGCACTGTTGGCCGGCGTCAACAGTCTCAGTGACAAAGTTGTCGAGGGCCGGGCATGCCGTCGAGATCGCGACATCGTATTTTGAGTCAATGGTGCCAAGATTGCCCAGTCTACCGTGGAAGCCATCAATGCGGCCAGACTCCTTCATCCGCATGAGAGCCGTAAGAACATTGCCGCGAGCTTGCATGCCCGACAGATTTGATCGGGCCTCATCCGCCTTCTGACGGGCGTTCGAAATCTTGGCGCGCATCTTGGGCTCTTGCTCTGCGAGTACGCCCAGCTCCGACTTCAAGTTCTCAGCCTCCGCAAGGAGCTCAGCCTTTTCTGACTCGCAAAGCTCGAGCTGCTCCTGCAATTTGGACTTGGCCTCCTCGGCGGAAGAAATCTTGCCTTTGAGCTCTTCAATAGCAACAGCGCCTGCGTTGGCCTTCTCTTGGAGAATGTTGAGCTCGCTCTCGGCAACCGCAATGGCTGATTGCTTCTGGTTGATTTTCTCGGTCCAAGGCTCGAGCGACTTTTGCTTGGCTGCGATTTGATCCGAGAACTCTTGTGTCTTGCCTTTCAGGCTCTCACGGATAGTAGCGAGCTCGGCCTCGGCCGCCTCCATCTGTTGCTCCAGCTCGTCCACGTCAGCCGTTCGAGTTTCAATGTCGGCCGAGCATTGCTCGATGGTCTCGTCAGCTTCGGCGGTCGATTGCTCAGCATTCGCAATAGTCTTTTCGAGCTTCTTCTTCTTGTCAGCGAGAAACTTGCGCTTCTCGTCAAACTTGACTCGCTCTTGCTCAAATTTAGACATTTCCTTGACCAAGGCTTGCGTCTGCTTCTCCTGCGTCTCGCAACTCTTGCTGCCCTTGTTGTACTGCTTCTCGAGCTCCTTGATTTGTTCTTGGCCGCCCTGGTGCTTCTCCAATTCGGCGCTGAGCTGCTCCTGCATTTGGCCGATGGCTTCCTGAGTGACAGCAATATTGTCGTGGCATTCTTGGCGGAACAGCTGGTATAGCGCCGATTGCTTTGCTGCCAATTCATTCTCATCGCGCATAAAGCTTAGTGCCTTGTCCTTCTTGTCCTCAAGACTGTTCTTCTCCTTCTCAACGTGCTGCACACGCCCACTCTTCTCTGCGCAAATGTCGTTGAGCATCTCGACCTCGGTCGCAGACTCCTCGATTGGAGTCTTGTACTTGGACGTGCCAATGATATCCTCCAGATACTCGAGTAGACCATCATCATGTTCGTTGGGTGCCTTGGGCTTCATCTGGGCGATAGACTCCACCTCACCCTGGAGGATGAGAAAACGCTTGTGATCGAGATCAACGCCTCGCTCGCGTAGCAAGGTGGTGACTGTGGTAAAGTTGGATTCCTTGCCGTTCATATAGTATTTGCTTGAGTTGTTCTTGAACGCCTTTCGCGAGATGATGAGCTCGGAGTTGGGAACAACCACCGATCCCCCGCCCGGCTGGTCCATGACTTCCTGGAAGTGGACAGCCACTTCGCAGTGATCCAGATTGGGGTAATCAGCTGAGTTGTGAATAAGCGCCGAGATTTTGCCCTGTCGCATCTTGCTGGCGCGAAAGCCAAAGACGAACAGCAAGCTGTCAATGACGTTGGACTTTCCGGAACCATTGGGGCCAACGACAGACGAGAAAGACGCATGGAACGGGCCAACTTCCTGACGACCTGCGTAGCTCTTGAAGTTGTTCAGAATCAGATACGTCAAGACTATGCGCGACTTTGGGGTAGTTTCCTCCACCGCGGGTATGGTTGTTTGGGTGCGTGACTTGATCATGAGGTCCAGCGGCTGATCCATGATGCTGTTGTTGAATCGATTGCCTCGAATCGTCGCCAAAGGGTCGTCTCGAAAACGGTTGTTGGAGCTGGTGATATCGGCCAGAGGAGTGGCTGGCACCGCACTCAGGTTGGGAGGCGCATCGGGCGGTGTAGTCTTTTGGGGTGTAGGTGGCGCCAATGCAATGGTCGGTCCAGTCGAAACTCGTGAGCTCGTACTTTGACGCTTCTTTGGCGTCGCCTGTGGCGATATGACCTGAGAGAGCTCATCCTCAGACTCCTCCTGTTTGACCGCAGAAGCGTCCACTTCGCCGGTCATGTCCGAAGCAGAGGTTTCCGATACCAGCATTTGAGTACCCTCACCTGGCTCTGTTTCCTCTGTTCGCTCTTCTGGCTCGGGAGTTGGCGCCGCTAGCGATGCCTTCTTTGGCCGCCCCCGACTTCTCGTTGTGGTTTTCGCGGCGGCGGGCGCAGGTGTAGGCGCTGCCGCTGATATTTTCCGCGTGCTTCTAGTCGATCTGCGGGATGTGTTTGATGTGTCTGGATCAAAATCCTCGGCCTCGTCTTCGTGGATTTTGGTCGTGTTCTGCGAGGACTCATCGTCCGAGTCGATCACAGCATTGCGCCGTGTAGCGCGTCGGGTCCGCGAGGCCATTGTGCGCTTCTGAATCTGTAAACGGCAGAAATTGCCAGTTGCGCAATCGTGCAACGGAGCAATCTTGTCTCTTGTTGGTCGTTGCTGTAATGGAAAGAGGGTTTGTCGATGCGAATTGGCGGCGCCCCGCGCTGGTTGCGTTGCGGTGAATGAGTGTGTTTGGATATGTCCCATTTCGGCAGGGGTCTGTAAACAACAAAGAGCCCCACTTCGGCGACCCCACGAAATCACGTGGATCCGCGACAGCTTCCATTCCAGCCTTCATGACGATTTCGCTGTCGCGCGCAACGCAGCCGACGGCCTTTGAACCACTGAATCAAGTGCGCTCGCACGTGTCGGAAATGTTCGACTACAGAGACTTCCAGCAGGTCTTCCCTGCCGGCAGTGCCCTGCCTTACGATCGCGAGCTTTTAAGCGAGATTGAAGGATCGCGCAAAGCTTTCGACGGGCTGCTCTTTATCGACCGCGTGATCAAGGCGCTCGGATTCTCCAAAGGTAAGCTCGATCTTCTGACCTTCATCTTCATTTTACTGATTCCTCGTAGGCAAATCCTACCCGCCCAAGACAGACAATGCGCTCCGCCAGCTTCACCATCAGATCTGCGAAGCCTCCATGGCGCTGCACTACAAGCTCTCCCTTCTCTACTACATCCTACTCGATTTCGACAGGACAAGTACGCGTGCTGTCGTCTCGGAAGACTTTGCGAGCAACTCTGGCCTGCCCAAGAGCTATCAGATCCTCATGAAAGGTCTGTGGCAGTTGGACCAGCAGGAGTTTGAGGATGCGCTGGAATACATTGCATATCCGTCCCTTATTCCCGATTTTGCCGACGATATCATCACCGCCCTCGTTCGCAACGGCGAAGAACAGCTTGCACTGTCATACTACTACACCGTGCAGCCGATCTTGAGTACATCGACGGCACTGGAGCTGCTGTTCGAAGCAATGGCGCGCAATGACGCCATCGAAGCACTCTTCTTCTCGCGTACGCAACCCGAGTACATCCGAGAGACGCTTTTCCAGCGCCTAATCTCGCTAGCTCTCGGCGACAACCAGAATGCTGGGATGGAAGATGTGGCGTTTCTGCCATTCACGGCAGAGGAAGAGGCGTGGTTTGAAGAATATTTGCTGCACGGAGACGGCAAAAATATCAAAAAGTCAAATGATACTCTCCTTGTGCGCAAGATTGCAGACAACAGATTTGACGAGATTAAGGAAATGCGAGGCAAGTCTGGGTCCTGGGGACCAATCTTGGAGGGGATTCGGCAGGGAACAGATGGCCAGTAAGGGGCACGTGTTTTCCTCCAGCATAGCAATGGCGTTGGCATACTAAATGAACTTCAATATTTTGGGATCATTTGACCATATACCCGAGACTGGGTATGATATCCATCTTGGGCCCTTGAAGAAGCTGAATACATGCTGGCAAAAATCATCGTTGTGAACCCTGCGAATCTTGATGTCAAGGTCTTTCCAATTCCACTCCCTTTTGCGCAGTCTTTCAAAATGACAAAAGTTAACGCCGAAGCTTGCAAAGGTATCAAATCACTAAATTGTCGTCTCTTCGTCTCTTCGGACATCATCAACGCTGGTAGCCCTGCCATGGCGCATCAGTGACAGGAGGTGTGTACGGCGCCTGGTAAGCCGCAGGACCAGGCGGAGGATATTGCGGCTGACTTGGGTAGCCAGGTTGATTTGGTGGGGCTGTCTGAGGAAAGTAACTTGCACCAGAGTAGTGCTGCTGCTGCTGCTGAACGGGCATGGGAGAGTTAAGCAGAGACATTGGTGTTGGCGGAAACACCTGTGACAGCGGACGCTTGTCATGGTAGCTTTGCGGGATTGGAACGGCATCGTACGTCGGTTCCAGGGGCACAACCCGGTAGGGCTGCGTATCTGGGCCCGGTACGTGCTGCATTGGGGCAGAAGGCGGGCTCATCGGGGGCGAAGCGACCTTTTGTAATGTCCTGTGATACAACTGGCTCAATGGCCGGGCGACGCTGCGAGACTTGGTCGGCGCAGGCGTCAGGGGCTCACTCGGAGGAGGGGCAAAGTACGGCATGGATTGCTCGGCGGGACCCTGTGGGGGTGGGTGAAAGTAGGATGCTGATTGCGGCGTCGGAACGTACTGCGTAGGTGGGTTGTAGGAGGGCACGGTCTGAACGATGGACAGCCTGTGTGGTGCCGGGGGTGATGTCTGAGCTGGCGTGGTTGCCGATGAAACCACGTAAGAGTGCTCATGACTCTGGACAAGCTCTGGTGGCGTCATTGGCGGGCTATGGCTGTAAGGCAAGTGATACTGATGAGCTTGAAGGGGAGCCGGTGGCGGAGGGAAGCCTGTGCTATCGGTTGCGGTACTCGCTGCAGGCGTCTGGGCTCGTGTTTGTGGCTGTGGATGCTGAATCAGCAAATTGTTACACGTCGGCGTGTGAAATTGCATCTGAGGTGACAGGAGCGGCTGTGGTATAATCGAATCAGGTCTCGGTAGTGACGAGGCTGAGGATTGTACAGGTTCCGCTGGGAGTTCCACGCTGGAGACACTGTAAGAAGCGACCGTTGACTGAGAAAACGCGGACGTTTGCGTAGCTGGGGTGGAAGGCGATGTACACATGCCCCCTTGCTGCGTTGCTGCGGATTTCTGATCATGATTGGCATCCCATCCTGGCAACGAACTTGAAACATCACTCATGTCGAAGAGACTAGGGGAACTGGCGTGACTGGCTGCTGGCTGTTGGTGTGGCATCTCACACTGGGCGGCTGATCCCGCCTCGGCTTGATATTGATCTGTCCATGGCCCAGCTTTCCAGTCCTTTCGCGCGTGAAATCGAGCAGCCGGCGGATTGTATGAAGGAGGGCTCGTGTGATGCGAAGCGCTACCGCTGGTTTCCCCTGAGCTGTACGCTGGAGGAGGAGAAGCAATCGAAAGTCGAGAGCTCGGGCCTGCGGCCCATGCCTGGGGGTTGTACGGCTGCACTGGATAACCTGCCTCTGCTGCTTTCGCATCCTGCACAGCTTGGAAGACACCGGCAGCTTGGAAAGCTTTCCGTGCCTCCTTTCTCCTGACGTGATTCGTATGCGCATGTTCGACTGCGAGTCCAGCACCATCCAGCGCCGCGTGCGTGACGACCTTGATTGCCGTGTCATTCTCAACAATCGCAGATATACCATGCTCTGCGCCCTGTGCGGCAATGGTGTCTGCTCCTATCGAGGCGACACCAAGGGTCATGACGCCAATGGTCCCGCTGATCGCCACGCCGCTGAAGACGTCTCGCTTGCGTGTTACGTGGGACGCTGAGTGCCTGGTGAGATGCCTCTCAATAATTTCCCGCTTCTTCCGGGCATTGTGGATTGCAGGAGCGGCTAACGCTACGCCGATGGTTGAGACCCCGGCTGTCAGAGGAACAGCAAGCCCAGAGACGGTGGTGGAAGTAGCAGCGCCGGTAATCAGACGTGTGTAATGCTGCCATTCTCTCTGAAGCTCCTCTGGCGTGAGCCCGCGGCACTTTTCGTCGTATTTCTGGAAGTCAAAGGGCATGGCTGTTGTGTTGCGTCTTCTTGGACAGGGCGGGGGAGGATGATCGCCAGGGACACATGAGGGGGCAGAAGAGCGCGCTCAGGCCCATGATATCTACTGTGCTCCTGCCAGGAAGTCTCGCAGATGTGGCTGCTTATGCATACACGAAGTGCGGAATCGCAGGCCAAGTGTTCGCCCGACGAGGTGTTACCGCGTGCGGCTGAACCCGATATCCCCATGCAGCTGAGTCCAGTCAGCCAACGGATGCATCAGGTGCCATCCTATCACAGATGGCTAAAAGTTTACCTATGCCGGGGTTTCGGCAAGGGTGAATGAAAAGGTATTTGTTTCGTAGCGATGGGAAAGGTTCAGGCTCCCACAGACCTCCAAGTTGCCGCCTGGGAAGTTAGCTGGTTCTGCGAGGGTTTCCAACTCTGATCAACAACCAACAAAAAGGGGGTCATGGATAGGAAATGCAGCAAAGATAGACAATAGTCTCGTACAAAGTATTCAAGGGATAATGTGAGGGCGAAGGAAAAAAAAATCGGACATAGAACAAAAACAAACATCCAGATTGAAGCTTATCGGATTTGAACCGATGACCTTGTGGAATTTCCGATCTGGAATCACACGCGCTACCGCTGCGCCAAAGCTCCAGATGTAAGACATTGTGATTTTGAGCACTATAAAATAACACACGCAAGAGACCGCACTCTCGATTTGGTAGACCTTTATCAAGTGCAGGAATTAATAGCACAACACACATTCAGCCCTTCAATGTGGAAGCTACTGTAAATTAATATCAAGGCCGACATACCGACGGGATCTTTGTGAAATGAGACGTTCACAAGGTCGCTCTCATGCTACGACTCTTTCATTGTCCATCCAGGCAAACTCTCAAGTGTTGACATGGCGAATAGAGATCGACAACGTCCATGTGGCAGTCGCTGTCTCTCAGTATCAGAACAGTTTAAAAAATCAGTCTCGTATTTTGAAGATTTGCTTGTGTTGTGCCTTTTTGAAAGCACTCGCCCCCGGCACTGCATCAAGCCCGCTCAACGCATGTAGTATTGTCTATACTCTAGGGGAACGGGGCATGCGCTCTGGTCTTCTAGTATGCATGCATGTACCAGATGTTTATTATTTGTAAGGCATATCCAAAACCATGTCTGTATATGGCTCGCAGACGATTTGCCTCGAAACCCGCGGAACAGGCACCATTCGTGCCTTGAAAATGGGCTCCAGTGCTCCCGACATCACGGAGTGACCAAGACGGATTGATAGCTTGCTCGGAGAACCCGAACATCGAGCTTTGGAATCCAATAAAAGACTTCATGGGACTGTAGGTTTTTATACAGTACTTTTATAGAAATGGAATAGATAAAATCGCACATCCGATAATTGGAGAGTATAGTGCACGTCACGCGAGCGCGTCTTGTGATGCATTCAGGGGTAAACACCACATTCAACCTGCGCTAGCCGAGACAACCACCGAACGATAGGGAATTACTCGGTAGCTGAGGATAGACATGTATCGATGTTTCAACATTCATTTATGGGCTACTTGATTTCGTTCCCGACGCTCATTGGCTTCACGCACTGGGTGATTGCCTCGGGGAACATATTTCTTTCGCCTTGTGTATGTGAAGTCCAAGTTGCTGTGGGAAAAGCCTGCTTATCTACCCCATGCCTTTACAGTGAACTGTTCAGAGACCAAATGGGCCTCAGAACCTGTGGGTGGGCGGTGGTTCAGCGCTTCAGCGCTTAAGCACATCATTAAGTTTCCGTGCAGCCTTCGCATCAACATCATCTCATTTTTTGAACGTGCCCTAAGGTCATCCATGGTCAACAAATCTTTCATGTAATAGGGTTTTAGAAGCCGCGTTATTTATTGAAGGGCCTGCGAGTTTGTGTTTGATCCGAAGCTCACAACTCAGTCTGCGATCTTTCTTGTCACCAACCAACAAAGTCCCGAAGCCACGCTTCAATCAACGCTCTCACAATCATCAATCCTCTCACACGTCTCAAAAGACGTCATACCATTTCCCCCCTCAGCTCATCGATATATTGAAGCAGAGGATCATCAAGACGTCGAACGTAAGTTATGCAAAGATACCGTTTCCCATTGCAACTGCTTGGCACTCAACTGGAGTTGGCCCCAAGTCATGCCCATGAGGCTACTAGGAGAGCCCGAACCCATAGCTAGATCAATATACAGACAAACCAATGAACCGCCGTCAACATCAATTCCACTGAAGCTCTATGCACCATGGGTATTGTCGATGCCTGATGGGACCTGGTGTATAGCAATATTGGCGAGCCGATCATTTGATGCGAGGACAGCGCCACCGGGGCCCGGGAAGGGGCCACTGGAAAAAGTATCTCGAAGCCATTGTTGTTTTTGTTATTTAGATTACGTAGCGAAAGGAGGCAATCCTCCTCCTAAAATAATCATCACAAGGGTCCCTGAATTGACAAAGATTGGTCCCCATCAGTTTCTACAGCCTCCTCCCTTCAATCTCATGGCAGCTTCAAATGCCAACATGAACCAGTCTCCTCCAGTCCTCCCAGACAGCCAACTGGTCAAAAAGCGAGGAAAAACTGTCTTGGCATTTCTTCAGGGCCTCGGTTGCAACACTTGGTACATTTCTTAGCCGTTCAATTCTCGGTATTCTGCTACGTTAGTGAGGTACAGCCGGGTCCACGGGCACTGTTCGTGCAGGCCCGTGCACCTCTCATCTGATCTTCGCCATGCTCTCACCTGTTTGATTATTTTCGAGTATGGTGTGATTCTTCTGATTCTGTGAATCTTTTAGGTCACGTTATTGAAGTTAGGGCTTTTCAGCTTATGCTATCTAGTTGCTGTGGAATTCTTCTCCGTTCTCATGACTTCAGGAACAACCTCCAACGAAATTAAGACTAATAGCCACAGCACATCTTCACAGAGCAGTATGAAGCCGAGCAGTATGAAGCCGAGCAGTATGAAGCCGAGCAGTATGAAGCCGAGCAGTATGAAGCCGAGCAGTATGAAGCAGACCAAGCACCAATACCTCCTCAGCATACAAGAAACTGCAGAGGAATCATTGAAGTTGTCGGCCGTAGGTTCAAACTCCAGACTCCTATCCCACCCCCACCGGAAGCTAATGTATCATAGCCCGTCTTCAACCTCAACTGCGGTGGCAACTGCGGCCTTGGTGGTGCTGTTGGCGAGAGTGGCTTTGGCGCCACTGGTGGTAACGGTGGTGGTGGCCGTGGTGGCCGTGATAGGATCACCAAATCAGCAATGAAGTGTCGCAAATTGAGCTTGCTGTGAGCTTTGATCTATGACTAATAGCTAAAAAAAAAACCCGCAGTGTCGCTCGGTCCGTGTCCCCGCTGGTCCCTCGCCGACTCGAACCTGGGGGCTAAGTGGCCAAGCAGGTACCGTAACTGCCGACGTCGAGACCGCTATTGCACGGGCAGGGGCACAGATCATTGCCGAGGCCAGTAGAGCGTTGGAAGCTCCGATCGAGCAAGTGAACTCGCGGGCTGGGGTCCTGATCGCGGACGTAGACTCTCGTTTACAGGTCTTGGAGGAGGCCTCAGGGGTTCAGCAACGACAGCTGCAGGAGTCGAGGGGAGCTTGGCAGGGGGAGGATGAGGAGGACTTATTAGTCTTCAAAGATGCTGGAACTCAGGGTTGAAGCTGTATGGGTCGCAATTTGCATTCGCGTTCGAAGAGGGTTTCGTCCCTGACCGCAGCTGAAGAGCGTGACTGACCTAGCAATCGGCACCAGTAAGATAACCAAGGAATGATAAATAGAATGCACCCTCGCTCATCCCTGGTTCAATATTGATTTGCTCAGTCACGACTGAATTTTGCGGGAGTTGCAGACTCGATGCTCATCACAGGTGCACATGGAGAAACCCCTGAGCCTTGGCCAACCAAGTAGGCTCACAGAAACAACTGATAGGGATTCGCAATCAACCGACAGCCATCAATCCAGCCCGGTATCCGCTCACTTTGTCGCTCGTGGACGAAAGCCTCGCAGCAATTCGAATGGGTACGTGAAGTCGGAAGATACGATGTGGGGACTAGGGAGGAAACATTTCCAGACTGGTTTGGTTGAAGGACATTTGGGGTGGCGTGGCAGCGCAAGGTGGTGCGGAAGGGAATCACATAAGAAAGAATGTTTAGATAGACGCGCTCTGAGTCGGGTGAAGTTCTGGATTTTAATAATTACGCGGTCGTCCACGATGACAGAATCTGAAATTCCCCGTCGTTCGCCAACGTACGCTAGTAAAACTAGTCTTGGCTTCAAGAGACACGACAACCTTTGCATATCCGTCAACAAATAAAAGATGGAACATTCCTAAGCCACGTTATTTCACTGTCAATATCGACTAGATTAATTGAAATGTTCATTGCCATTGCTTTGCTGCTACAAGATCTAGTTCTTCATCTTCAAGCTGAACAGCCCCCTCTCAATCGACGACACGATAATGTGCCCAGAGTTGAAGTAAGGGTAGACAGACCAAGCACCGTTGAAGGTAGCAGCACCGCCTTGCTCGTCATCTTCTGGGCGTACGTCAAAGAAGGCCGTCTCCTCGAAGAGCGCACCAGTGTCGTCCTCGGCCAACGATGTGACATTAACCACCCGCAGACCAGAACCATAGTTCGCCTGGTACGATAGCCCATCAACAATGTATTGATTGTGATCTATGCTTTTAACAGGACTTTTATAGATACCCCTTTTGAAAAAAGTTAGAGAGCGGTGCGGCCATGACGGCGGCATGTTTGGATGCATGCGCCAGGAGTGGGTACTCACCTGAAAACAGGATAGGTCAAATCAGTGACATCGACAACGTATGTGGTGGTGCGCTGGTCGGCGGCGGGACCGTTCATGTATTGCTCGTCCAGCTCGTCGTCCAGGAGCAGATACTTGTGGTCCTCGGTCAACCAACCCTGGTGGGTGTATGTAGCACCGTTGTAGGTTGTCCTGGAGAGTTGGGTTGGGAGAGTAAGGCGGTCAATTAGACTTATCACAAGAGCGTCTTCGTTAAACCCCATGGATATATGCTTCCCTTGATACCGACGATCCGGTCCGTTGTAGATGACCAACTGCGCATCGTGCACATAGCCGTCGTCAGACAGGCAGCCAGCGTCCTGGGGGCGCGCAGGGTTCGACACGTCGACGAACCAGAGGCCAGAATTGCACTTGAGAGACGACGCGGTACCGACAGCGGCAATGATATCCCGGTCCTCGCTGGCCACCAAGTTGTGGCTGCTGCCAAAGCCCGTGAAGTGAGCAGTCAAGTCCCTGGAGACGCTGTAGGTGGGAGGGTTCTTCTTGTCGGCCCTCTCCAGCTTGCGGAGATCAAAGATCTGCATGCCGTGGTCGGGGGCCTCGGAGCCAATGTAGGCGTGGTTGCCGATGACCTTGATGTCACGCCACGAGGACGCAACAGTCTGTGTAGGCAGACGACCGACGTAGGTCAGGCTGCCATCCGAGTTGACCTCGACAAAGGCGGTGCCATCGGACTGACCGAGGAGGGCGAACTCGCGGCCAGAGGGAGAGGTCCAACCCCAGACATCGTTGCCCTCACGGGTGCGGCTGTTGGTGTCCTGGTGGCGGATGAAGCCCTTGAGGTCGATGTTGTTGCACGAGTACTCGCCCGCCTTGCCGTCAACGCACTCGGTGGCGCTGGCAACCTCGTAGCGGTTCTTTTTGTACATGCCATCGGCCCTGTCCTTTTCGAACTGGGACTCCTTGCGCTGACGCAGGGTGGACATGGCGACAGCCTTGGGGGCGCTGGAGGCCTTGAGCTCGTTGGCCTTGAAGTCGGAAGCCTGGACCTTGAACTCCGCAGCCTTGAAGTCTTGGGCTGCGGCGCTGGTGACCAGGCCGGCGAGGAAGATTGACGCGAAAGAGGCCTTCATGATGACGGGCTGGGTGTGTCGGTGAGGGGATGGCGAGAGAGACGGACTGGAGAGCTGTCTGGTGCGAGATGGAGACGAACTGATATACTTGAAGACCGGCAGGGGTCCTATCATGCCATGAACACCTTCTCTCCCACCATGGATGGGGCAATATCCTCTACCCGACCAGTCAGCTGCTCAGAGAACACAAAGAGCTCTTGGCAGAAGCTTTAGAAGGCAGCTGGGTAGCCTACCCCAGGCTATTGTTTCCCATGGCACCCTGGATCTTGGTTCGGAAAGGGGCGAGTTGGGGACGCCTTCGCAGTGCTACCCTGGATAGATCGGCAGAAAGACGACAACCTTCCCCCTTGGGTCAAGTCGACTTGGGTTGGCGGGAAGACAGCGTAGCATCCGAGTCCGCAAACCGGCTGCTAGGTGGACATGTTCACTGCCACCAGACGCCTGAAGAGGAGTGTGGACGCGACGATCATGAGCGCTGCCTTCGCCTGCCTGATTTGGCACATGGACCGCGCACGCTGACGAGCGAACGTGGGATGAAGGGGTTGGTTTCCTTTTCCATGCCATTGGGACTTGTTTCGATGGCGATCCGTCTTCTAGAAACATGCGAGCAGTCTCGATTGATACTCCAGTCGAGTAGAACAAGGTCGTCCTTCACCCTGAACTCGGTCTCTAGCTTCGTTCGCACATCGGCAGTGATCCAATAGTTCCCCAGACTAAGCAACGGCAATTGGCAGAACAAGCACTCTGCCAAGTTTGATTAAGCTCGCCCCATTGCCTGTTTGCCGGTTTCCCCTCACGTATGGCCAGCAGCCCAATCTTCACCCATGCAAGCCAAGATCGTAATCTCGCCACGGCCCCCGCAGCATCCTCGCATGATGCCGTCCTCCACGAATCAACGGACGGAAATACGTTGTTGGCTAAGCAATGGTCAAGGTGCTTTTGTGCTTACTTTTAAGTTTTGACATTGGATGGTGGGGCCGCGAGACATGCCGGTGGGGAGGCAACCATCATCACCAATTATCAAAGATTCCTCCTTCTTTGTCCGGCAGAGCGAGTCGGACTGAAAAAACATCATCACCGTGCCCCACCAACCTTGTTCTCACACGCATGGTTCTTTTGTTTCCATGTGCCGCGACCTGGGCCTTGATAGGGATATTATGCATTCATGCAGCCAGGTATACCCCAAGATTCGAGCCGTTTTTATCCACTATCTTGCCAGGACCAATCTTCTATCGAAGCTGGTAGTCGAGACTAGACGGCCACACTCTAAGCTGTCTAGGCACACGTACTGTCTAACAGCTTCAATCGGACATTGGGGCCTGCCCCTGCTTCCTTACCACACGGAGCTGCAGGACGCATTGCCACTTCCATGCAATATCTCGAATACGCCATCGAATTGCCAAGGAATCTCTTGAGCCGTCGCAATCCGGTGACTGTGGAACTTGAATTGACACTGGATTCGACGTGAGCCATAACAAACGTCACTCGATAAAGTGGCCTCACTAGGCTGGAGTTTGGTCATTTGCGCAAAGTACAGAGTTTCGCACTCTGGATATTCGCTGCATGGTGAGATCTGGGTATTTCAATTTCCCAGGCTAATTGCTTGACTTTTGTATTTGCACAGACTGTGAAAAATCCCCTTAATTAGCTTCATCTTGAGCGTCAGTTCGTGCCTGGACGGCAGAGGAAGGGGAAGCAAGGAAAATCACGGAACCGCTTTCTCAGCTAGAAACACTTTTGTGATTATACCAAACTCGTTATTTCAAATACCTGCCAGCATGGACTGACGTCTATCCACCCAAACGTGAGGCAAGCTCGTGCCCAAGAGCCGGAGGGGTCAACCCGTTGCAGTGTGACCTGTGTGATTGAGACGGATCTTGGATTATACAGGTATAGAATACAGACAAATGGAAGAGCATCAGCGGAGGCTACACCACGACCCGGCGCCTGTGAGTCTTCGGCCAGCTCAACCAAAGCTAAACCGCGGGAAAGGTCCCTCGAGATCGCGCAACCGTCGGCAGACACCCTCAAACTCTCTGCGGTACTCCTTCATCCAGTCTGTGATGCTATCTACCCTTGTGTTTGGAAATACCACCGCGGCCACCAAGCCAGCAAAAATGCCGAGCTGTTTCTAGCTCTTAATCTAGTCCTCTTTGAGAATACTGAAGAGTTCAAGTAAGGTCGAGCAGCAGGCGGCTTCTCAGGGCAAGAAAAAGCCCTGTGACCAAGTGAGTTTACTGCTGCGACTCTGCAATGACGTTGCTGCAATTCACAGCCGGCCCGACTGATGGAGGGCAACTGTCAAGGTTGTGATAACATCTTGTGCGGATTACGGGACTTGAGCTGTGCTGTCACTATTCCCGCGGGCGAGCCGTGGGTGGCTGACCCAGAGGTCGTCCGATCTAGTAAGTGACTATGGTGACCATGTGCTCACGGTCTCTCCCGACAACTCGCCGTGGATTCGCGGGGTCGTATTTCAGAGCCATGGGTGTTGGCAGATTCTGCGTGTCTATAAATACAGTCCGCAATCTTGTCTTTCAACCTCCACGACACTCTCTTACATTAAAATAAAGGAAGACAATTACTAGCACCAGATCCTCTCATCGACCGTAGGATCTTGGGACTACTAGTTATATAGTTTCCTTTATTATTAAGACGTACGAAAGTACCGAAAGTTATAAGTTTTAATATATATAATTAAGGTATTATTTATTAATAAATAGATTTATAGAAAATATCTTTAATGTTAAGTATAATTGCCTAAAATTAAGTAAATTTAATATACATATATATATATATATATATATAATACCTAAAATTAACATTTAATCTTAAGAACTTTAATATTAAATTAATATTTAAGAAAACTATATTTATATGTAGATGAATACCTACCAAAAGGAAATAAAAAGAAAGATATGAATAATAAATTAAGTATCTTAAGTACCAATCGTTTCTTTATTACTTCAAGCAGACTCTATATTAGGGTGTCTTCTGGTATTAGGTCACCCAGGCTGGGCCCCTTGACTTGCTCTAGCACTGCACCGGCAGAAATAGCTCTACGCGCTCGGGGTCTCACTGTCATCTAAGCGCATGTGACGACTCGAGCTCGGCCATCACAGACCACCCAGTCAAGTTCAACGCAAGACTACGAGTGCGATCAAGCAGCCATGTGATGCAATATGTTTAGTTGATTTTGATGGGATTGAAATAAGTACCGGCGGGTATAGAGACAGGCCAAAAGACCACGACTCTCTCCAGAAGTTAGCATAGTTAATCTAATCAGCATTATGTGTAAGCCAGGTTCAGGTGTATTCAAAGCTGTTGATCGTGGATTTCAGGTGGATTCATGGGGTGTTGATCTTCTATGTATTGAGGCAACTGTCAGCATGACCTGATAATCTGACCTAGACCTGAATCTCATCTATATAACTAGCTAAACTCTATCCAAGTGCCATGGCACTCTCAGGAACTGGCGAATTCAAGGGCTGTGGCCGACTCTCGGTCTCTCAATCCCTCTGAGCATTGACTTCTGTGCCAATAAGCTCTTCAAGACTCAGTCTCTCAGGCATTGATCCAACGTGCTCTGCGGGCCGTGTTCCTGTTTCTGATCCAACTAGCGTGTGGAACACATTCGTCTCCGCGCCTCGCGCGTTGATCATCATTTCGGCCTTTCGGATTCTCTTAGCCATGCCCGCCATTGCCTTTCTTCTTACATCCAATGGCTTCAAATTCCCATTCCCTTGTCTTGTGATCGCTCCTGTTGATGCTTTTTGAAGTATAGGTTACAGGCTCCGCGACTGCTCGACGGCCCAACCTAGCCCGCGCTCAATCACAAACGATTTGAGATTCCGAATCCACGATCCGCCATCATACCAAAGACATCCTCCAAAAGAGTCATATAAGTGACATCATTCGACATCCCCAGATCAGAGCCTTCACCACTGGTCAGCATGCCCACGGGTCTGCCATCCAGATTCCACACGACAGCACCAGAGTCGCCACGCTCAGAGAAATAACTGGGCGTGCGGAGAATTCGATCATTCGGGAGGGCGATTATGAAATACTCTTCCGAAATGTGCTCTGGCCCTTTTGAACTTGGCCTGCGGGTTACCGCCTTGTAGTCATTGCAGTAGCCGAAGGTCAATCCTGTGGCAGCGCCATTTTTCCCGAGAACGTACTGCCTCGATTCTGGGTTGCTGCATAGAGACTCATGCTCAACCATACCCCGGCGAAACTCAGATTTTGGGATAATTGAGCTTTGGAGTTGCATGGAACTCTTCTTGTCTAGGGTTGGGTCGACAGCTTTGAGGGTTGCCATACCCACCACATTATCCCAGAACAGTGGGACAAGATTCCACTGATGGCCAGCCTGAACTCTATTCTCAAAGACTTCGAGAAGAGCCCAATCGCTGATTGCTTTTCTGGCTTTGTCGAAGCTGATCGGAGGTGTGTAAAAGACTCGCCCAAGAGTTCTGATGGATAGAGACTCGAAGGGTCTGATGTGATCCCTCAGCGTACTGTTGACCCCAACAACGGCCTCCGCAAGTGTCGTTTTCGCCCTGATGACTTTGATGTCAGGGTGCATTGATACACAAGCTTTGTGCTCCTCGCTATCCGACCATCCCGCCTCACAAAGGTCATCTTTGAATCTATCAACTTTCTTGGACTGTTTCGTGATAGATTCTTCAAGCTCCTCAATCCACTTGTGGAGATACTTGGCCGAGGGTAGATGGACATCGTACCGCATTTTGTCTGGATCGAACACGGATAGACTCTTCGATCTGGATTGCACGCAATGGTTGCAGGTTAATGCAGCAATAAAGCTGCAATCCTCTGTCTCGATCAATCCAGGGGAACACTCTGCCCTCTCCTGCTCTGTCATAGATTGCCACTTTGATAGCCACCGCTCGGTCGGCCTCTTTGTGATCCGGACAGTGAGCCCCAACGTACCAGTGCTCCCTTCATAACCCTGCTGTTCATTCCTGGCGTTGTCGGCCGAATCGATTGCGGCACCAGGGAAGGGTATGAATTTGCTGAAATCCTCCTCCTTTTTCTCAGCATTCTTCAAATTTAGCGCCCCAAGTTTGGGAGGCGCCTCAGAGTTGGTTAGAGGAAACCAAAATGTTGCCATCATCTCACATTCCACGTTGTCGATCCCAAACTCCCGGAGGATATCGATGCATTGATCAACGACCCCTTGGGCCACGTTCCACTGTGGCATGTGCTCTGCATCAACACTAATCAGCAATACAAGTGACTGCGTATGCTGGTCTTCGAAATCTCCAATCTTGACTGGAAAAAACGACAGCCATTGAATCGCTTTCCCATCTAGACACGAGATAATTCGAGACTTTAGCGGGCGTTCATCTCCCCATGCTGCGGCCAGGGCGTCGTGGCGCCCCGCTGGAATCAACGACTTGTAGTAGCGGGGGCCGTCCCAGGGAGTCGTGGATGATCGTGCGATGAGAAGAGGCTGTGAAGGAAAGCCCCGATAGTATCTCTCCGCGTCTCGCCTAGTTAGCTGTCTGCGGGGAGGCTCGTTCATGTTGGACACTGAAGCTGTCGTGAGATTCAAGGGAAGCGGCTCTGTGTCGAAAATTCCACTGCGACTCTTCTTGGTGTTAGACGACGCGACAAGTGGACTTGGTTGACGTCGCTTCGGCGTTGTGGAAGGGCCACTGGCTGCAAGGTCAAGAACACCGTCGGGGGAAACTGGGTCTTTTGTAGCAAAAATTAGCGGCGTGGAGGGGCTCGAAAGATTATCCTTTGAAGCGGCCATATTGAAGCTTTCGTTAGGGTTTCTTTCGTTGGAATTTGCCTGGCGAGTCGCGACGTTCGATGTCTTGTAGATGTAGATCACAGTTCTAGAGCCATTATCAGTAAGTAGTTATACAGGTCTTGTTGTTCTTGAAATTCAGGTTTAATCTACTGTTAGGTAAAGTACGGACGTCGCTCTTGCGGCTTCGTGCTCATGACGCAGCCAGCAACAACGCCGCAGGCCAGGAGCCTCTCGAAAAATTAGATCTTTAGCCCAGCGAACTCTACTATTTTGAAGCCTAGCTCTCTAACCAGGCACACCAGTCGTCGACGGCAACGGTGTCGTCGTCTCATACTGTGATAGGTAAGCAAGTACGTTGTCGAGCAGCGCTACGTCGAATCCCGCGTCTCCTGTGCACGGGCTAACTAATTTCGCGCTCTTCATCTTTTCTTAGCATCAGCATGTTCTTCAGATAGCGAATAATCATCATCTTCTCCTCTGAATGCTCTTCTTCTTCATAGGTTATGAGCCCTCGTTGTTCCACTGCACGGCTGTAATCCAACCTTCCTTCAACCTCAACCACACGGAACGTGCACACGCAACAACGCTTGCAAAAGATTCGACCTACTCCGAATTCGATTTTGCTCATCAGCGGTAGCGACTTTATCGAGTGAGTATGGTAGGATGATACCGCGAAGAAGAGCTGACATTGAACAAGCCTTTAAGAAAGTTGTCGATGGTGTCCAAGCATGGGCTTAAGATACCTGCCAAAAGCTTCCAACTACTGCAGAGCAGGACAACAACTGGGTCCGACACATGGCACGAGCTGACCCTCGGGGGTTACATGAATTCCAAGGCCGTCAAAGAAGAATTAAACATCAGCGGGGCTGTGTCGATTCCCGATACAGACGAAAACATGTTGGTTGCTATGATGATGAGAGCATTGCATTCTCACGTGTTTAACCATCCGCAAGGCAAACTCTTTGGCTGCATACTCTCAGAAATAGCAATGTGCCCCAGTCCACATGAGTCCTCGACAGCCGCCCCCGTGGCGACAACAGCTACAGCGACCTTGTCCGCAAGGCAGAGGCGTATCAAACACGTGGCCTTGCCCATGGAGACGCGACCAGTTAGAATTTTACAGAAGCTACTCTAGGTTGATACGGCCAAGAAGAGCTCCCACTCGACAGCAGTTTCAGTGGCTTTGTCCTGAACAAAAAGCCTCCTAAGATCGCTCGAGGATAGGGAGGCATGTCGTCTAAAGCACTTCGAACTAGTCCAACCACTAACGCTTTTGGTCAGTCTCGATCGATGATGCAAAGGCTTATCAAACACGTAGCCTTGCCCACGAACACTCGTTCTGGCAGAACGCTGCAAAAGCTACTCTAGTAGGTCGATACCGCCAAGAAGAGCTCCCACTCGACAACGATTTCAGGATGACGGAACAGCGCCAGCCAACTGCCAGACCACTCGAAGGAGCTTTTTGAAGGTCTGGATGTCATCTGAAGACTCTGGAATGCCATCCAAAGATTACACATGTAGTCCCTAATTCTGGGGCGTAATTGGCACAATACCCGCGGCCAGGCAGCACAGTTGCTCACCAAGCTAGCTACAAGACCGCGCCGCGACCTCTAGTCAGCATATCGAGCCGCCAGGAGAGTCGATTCAGGAAGTTTTCGCAGGATGGTGTCAAAGGATGGAGGGCGAACAGAGCCTGAAACGGCGGAGGAGGACGCGTGCGCGTCTCCGAGTTATCGCCTGTGGGGCATCGGCTTCCCCGACAGATGGAAGGAAAGACTAGCGACCACAATTGATAGCCATATCGATCAGTTCATGCACAGGAGTCGTGGTCACATCGGCGGGAGGTTGCACCGCATTCGCAGGCGTGGCTTGAGGCGAAAAATTAGTATTATCGACGGGCACTCCCACGGTCGTTTCGGGAGCATTAATGGTCGGAGGAGTCGTGAGTCGTGCGGTTAATAAAGAGCCGGCAAGCCGCCGCGTGTTTTACAAATTGCCGAGCTGTTTCTGGCTCTTGATGTTGTCCTATTTGAGAATCCTAGCGAGTTGAGGACGAGCAGCACAACATCAGGACCAAGCATGCTGGCAAGTTCTGCATATTCATGACTACAGCCCACAAGCTCAGCTTGCAACTTCGATGACACGCTCTCGTATCGAACATAAGGCAAGTGATTGCTAGCACCAGATCTGCTGACCACATGCAAGTTCCCAGAACTGTAGGTCGCAGAGTCTCCTTGAACAATAGGCTCCACGAAAGAACCAAATATTATAAGGCTCTTATAGTCCAGGCACTGCTCGTTAGGAATTCAAGTCATTGGAAGTATCCTCTATATCGAGGATCATCAGCTATAGTTAATTAGTTTTCGTATATATATAACTCCTAGGTTTCTCTCTGATTTTGGTAACTCTAACCTTAGATAAATATCCTAGAGACTACGTTCACACGAAAATAAATAAGCACCCCAAGGTAGCAAGAATAAAGACAAGAATAGTAGATTAAGCGTCTTAAGTACCGATCGCTTCTTTATTACTTTGAACAGACTCTATGATAGGGTGTCTTCTGGTGTTGGGTTACCCAGGCTGGACCTCTTGACTTGCTCTAGGCCAAGGGCTCTCCCTCTTTTGGCTTACTCAGACCGGGTATCTTCCTGTTGATCGGCCTGGTCCTGTTCACTGGCCTGGGCGATCTCAACACGTTTCTTGAGCAGGTCTCCCAAGTCAATGATGTGGATTGGGTCCTCTTCCGCCCCAGGCGTGTTGACTCTATTAACGCAGATTCTATCGGGATTGGATGCGTCCCAGGGCCAAGGAAGAACGGCCCCAGCCACTGTGAACTCAGGCTCGAGCGGCTGAGGGGGGGCTGGATCAGAAGAGACTGGAGAGCCTCGGGCGCGGGACACGCTGGCTCGATGGAAGTTCCCCAGTGTTTTCTTCATATGTCAGTCTTCACATGTCAATGGGAGCAGAATGACAGCCACTCACCTTTGGGGCCATGGTGCCGGCTGCCTCGTGGACATATTCGTAACTCTTCAAGTCGTACTCTGGCCTGACGCCTTCAAAGTATTCCACATCCGGGAGCAGTTCTTCAACCCATTTGGGGACATTGCGAGGCCTCGCTTTTTTGTAAAAACCTTTGTTGTCCTGGGCCTCGGATCTGACAGTAGACTCCGAGTCCGAGGGCGTGGTGCCCAAAGGGCCCGTGAAAATGACGGGCGAGGGTGAGGCTTCAGACATGGTTACTCTTGGGCGAGGGGGATTGGCGCAGCTCGCCCGTTTATATATGGCACCTTCATACATGTTCATGAGCAGTGCGGACGGCCACTGTGGCACTCCCAAGGTTCAATGGGTTAACTTTGTTGAGCCACGGACCCCTCGACTTCTGGGGAGGTTAATCACGGCCATGGCGCCAAAGTAAATGTGCGCACCAAAGTCAATTAAAATGACATTGACTGATGGGTAAACTCAGTGCAGTCAGGATGGCTGGCGAGTTTGCTGCATGCGGACTCGCTGTACTGTACTTGAGAAGAAGGAGGCATTCTCAAACAGGAGAAATCGAGTTACATTTGAGGAGGCTGAGTGTCGCCTATACTCGTCGCGTCACATTGAAAGACAGCTGAGTATGGGCATGCCATTATTATTGTTCTGAGAGAAAAAGTTGTCGTGTTAGTGGAAGGATAAAAAAGTTGTTTACGAGTCAAATCAAAGCCCCTTTTTTTATGTCCCCGCGACGCCGAGACCGGTGAGTTTTAGCGCAAAACAGCAAAGACCCTTAATTCTTTTCCCTACGTTACTGTTTGCTATTGAAATAGCGTGCTTGCTCCACAGGAAATAAGGTCCCGCTCTGAAGCTCACAGCCAGTGAACGCCATCTCTGTGAGTGTGTACGGCAATGCAGTCGACATGAAAGCTGGCACAGGCAAGTAATAGGGTAGGCAGAGATTGCAATGCGAGCTTCGCCAACGGCGGCCCCTGCCCGGCCCGGACCGTGAGCAGCACTGTCAATTGATGAATGTCCAACGGCATCACCCGTCGACCAGCCTCGATTGTCGACCATCTCCAAGATGCCATCATGGCTTTCAAGTCGCAAGATGCGCCATCGACTGCCATATCACTGCGCGCTCTCGCGCTCAACAAGCGCTTCACGCGCATCGTCATCCTCGCGGCCGTCGCGCTCCTCATCATCCTCGTGACCGCGCTTCACAATGCGCGCAGCGACGAGCTCCGCCTCCCTCCTGACATCTACAGCAGCACCACGTTCAGCCTCGTCGCGCTGGTGCCCGCCTTTCTGAAGAACGACCCGCCGCCCGAATACTACCCCTTCCCGACGACCAGCCGTTTCCGCCCCGTCAGCGTCGAGAACCCATCTGCGAAATCAAGAGATGCTCTTTGCGCAACGTTCCCGAAACACCTCCTCGGCTCCGTGCAGCCCGTCCTCAAGATGGGCCATGGCGAGGACAAGGCCAAGATAGAAGCACAGCTAGACAGCGTGAGCGCCTGCTTCGACAAGGACGAGCTGCTTATCTTCTCGGATCTCGAGGAGACGATTCACGGTCACGAGGTCATTGACGTTCTGGCCGATCTGCCCGAGATATACTACGCGGATGACAATCCAGACTTGATCAACTACGTCTGGCTCAAGGAGATGAAAGCCAATGGCACGCTGGACAAGGACAAGGAGGCGATGGGCAAGATCAATGGGTGGATCCTGGACAAGTACAAGTTCCTGCCCATGGTGGAGAGGGCCGTCAAGATGAAGCCCGACAGGGACTTTTACTTCTTTTTCGAGACGGACACGTATGTGTTCTGGGACAATGCATTCCGCTTCCTCCAAACCTTTGACCCCGAGGTCCCGATATACATGGGGTCCCCATCGCCAGGGCGAGTCGTGGAGGACAAGAGGATCAAGACATTCTTTGCCAACGGCGGTCCCGGCTTCGTGCTGAGCCGAGGGGCGATTAGGGCTTTGCTGCATCGCGAGACGGACGCGGCTGGCCAGTACACCGAGCCCCCTCTGTTGGAGAAGTGGCTGCCCGACCTGAGGGGAGAGTGTTGTGGTGACAGCGTCATGGGATGGAGTCTTTGGGATATTGGAATCCCTCTGCATGGGTATTGGCCACACTTCAACCCTCATCCTGCCCATGGGATACCATTCAGCGATCTATACTGGTGCCAGCCACCCATCACCCTGCACAAGACGAAGCCTGATGATATGCGAGATCTGTGGAAGTGGGAGTTTGGTGAGAGGAAGCTTGAAGTAAGTGGAACAGTCTAGCTCCATTGTGACTTTTGCTAATTGTGGTAGCGGCCTTTGTTGTACGCCGACCTCTGGCGCTTCCACCATCCTGGCGACCCCTCCGTCAAGGACAACTGGGACAATGGCGACTGGGACGGCTGGGTAGCACCACCCGAAGCCAGCATCGACTCTTTTGATGCCTGTGGCGATTACTGCAAGTCTTTTGACAACTGCGTGCAGTGGTCGTGGCGTGGTGGTCAAGAGAAAAAGTGCGTCGCCATGCGCTCGATTCGATATGGCGACAAACCCCCACGCTCGGTTGACGATCCCCACCAGGAGATCAAGGCTGGCTGGTTCAGCGAGAGGGTGCAACAGTTCCGCGATGATCGACGATGCCCAGTCGTGCAGTGGGAGAAGGCGAGTGTCAGGAGGATTTTTTGATAGGACAGTCATCTGTTTGTGTATATTGGCAAGCAGTTAGGCGTCTATAGACAGACTTGATTCAGGTATGTGCCACCAGGTCTATCAGACACTCACCCTGAGCTCGGCCTTAGAATATCCTTCTTGGTGCTGTACGCGACCACACACGGTTACCAGATGATCAGCAGTCACCAGACAGTGGTCACGAGCCTTATTGTCAGAATAAAGAAGGTAGTATTGGATCAGCAGCAGCCGGCGCTTGTCGTCCTCTCCCCCCGCAATATGTTTCGCTCGGCAATTTACCCCAGACATCACCCCCTGTCAGAGTCGGCATTTGCAAATAAGTTTCCGAGAGTTCGAGAGACACAAGTTGAGGTTATTAACTCACCCCCTCCGGAATGCTCCTTGTCGACAAAGTTTAACCGTGTCGTGAATCTCATTCGCGCGCCAGGAAGAGGGAAGGGTGGGGAGAGTGGTCGAGGACATCGCTGGGTCTCGTTGGGATCGCAAAGCACCTCAATGCTACCCAAAGTGCTTCGTCAGTCAGGAGCATAAATAGGAGAGCTATTTGCACAATTGCTCTTCATTATCACACATCCTGCACCCCTCGAATCAGCTGCTTAGGCTCAACGACTCTCAAATCTCGCCTCCACCCCTTTTGAACCAAAATGCGTCTGTCAATTCTCGCCGCCATCGCAGCCTTTACCTACTCGGCATCAGCCAACCTGGTCTGGTCTCTCGAAAAGTCTTCGGTCCCATCTGACGACGAAGCTGAAGCCTATGCGCAAATCGAGACGGCCATGACACTGGCCGTCCAGCGCTACAATGGCCTCTCTGACGCTGTCAAGACGATCCGCGTCTACTACGCGCCCGGCGTCCCCACTGCCGAGGCCAACTTCAACGGCGACCTGCGCTTCGGTAGCAACAGATCCTATATGAATGAGCGCACCGCACTGCACGAGATCTCGCACACACTGGGTATCGGGCAGACAGCTGCCTTTGACAACAAGTGCAACGCCAATGACTGGGCGACCGCGACGCCACTGCTGCAATCATGGGACGGGCCCGATGCCCGGATCAACTGTGGAGGAGGTCACATTTGGCCCTACGGCTTGAACTATGACAGCGAGTTCAGCGAGGAGGCGGCCAACCGACACGTCCAGCTGATCCAGGCCATGATCAATGATGGGCTGATGGGGTAAGGCATTCTTTGGAGTTTGTCAAACACAAATCCGTATGTACCTCGAGGAAACGGTAAAGGATGTGTCAGACATCGTCTTGGATACGTGTCGACTGATTTGTCGGTCTCACTATTTCCTGAGATTTTGTATCGAACGAGACCTCTTGCAGCAGAAGCTGAGACTCGACGATAATCTTTAGAACTTCCAAGAAGAGACTGAGAACCCTTCGCAGATCGTCGTTTGGTGCTTCTCATGTCGGGAATGTAGAGACCTCAAGGTATGATTTGGCTTCAAGGGGGTGAAGGCTCTAGCATTGGATTTCCTGTCCTTCGCTAGTCCCTTTGTTACCCCTTTTGGTCCAATGATCTGGTCTTTTGCCGCCCCAGGGGCATTAAAGTGATTGAAGGAGCCTCCAGTACCAGGGACCGAGCTCTTCGCCGAACATGGAGTGAAAATACGTATGTGAGACTCCGCCAGGTCAAGTTCGACGCCGCCGTCTTAGGCTTGGGTTGAGGCCTCTCGAAAAATGAGTTCATGAGATCGATGCTTGTCACAAAACCACGTCCTTTTTCAGTGCCAACAGAGGCTTGCTGTAAAGGCATCCTTCTCCTGTGTCGTTATGTTCCTTTTTTAAATGGACGACTTTCTCAGATCGACCTCGCCTGCCTCCTGCTCCCCAAAAATATCGAGGCCTGTTTGACAGGTGGGCGAGGCGTCGTTGGGTTCTTTTGTTGAGCATTCTTGGCTACAGTCATGGCATCATCATTTTCCCACTCCTTCAGTCGAGCCACATCCATTCGTCCATGGACTGAACGTTCAAAACAGAGTGAGTCAGTCTGTGTTGGGGAAGTTAAGAGGCCATTCCGCTCGGCAGATCCCCCCGATCGGCCCTTTGATTTTTGAAATAAAAGCGATTATCGTTGTTGAAATCGAGATCAAGAGGATGCGAATCAAAGTTACAAAATAGGTCAGGAGTCAGGAGCCGGGACGCTCTGGTGAGTGATGTTGCTCCTCACTATACTTAGATCTCACCCACGTAGCGCACGCCTCCTCCCTCATCTTTCATTGGACTCGACAATTCAAGGGCACAAATTGCAAAAAGACAACCTATGGTATTCTCGGAAAGTGCAAAATACAAAAGGTTTGGACGAACAGGGAATTGAACCCTGGACCTCTTCCATGCTAAGGAAGAATCATACCACTAGACCATTCGCCCGTTGATGGATCGGAATCCAAGGCGCACGAGGCGCCCGTTGATGGAGATTTGCGAAGAAATTAAACTTTATCAAGCCTACAATGTGTCATGAAAGAAAACACAGCACACCACCTACACACTTTAGAATACGGATCATGCTCATATTGCTCGAGTTTGTCATTTCGCATTTGCATTATTCATTACCGTCCTATTATCCGGGTCTCGTCATTATACATATCATCCAGCGCCGTCACGCGGTCCTCCCCTTTGGACGACGCCTTTGACGACGAAAAATGCGCACCCCCAACGGCCGAAGACGTCGAAATCCGTCGGAGATAGAGGACCGGTTCGGCCGGTACTATGTTGGAGCCCTGCGAATGGCTCGTGTGTCGTCGCTGTATGTCGCGCGACAGTGTGAAGAAGAAGGCTGCGTTGGCCACGATGCAGGCGCACAGGATCTCAATGGACGCCCACAGTGATCGCGAGCGCTGGCTGAGTGATTGTGTGAGAATGAGCGGAAGGCGCAGTATCGTGATGAGGACGACAATGGTGCCGATACTGAAGAGTAGGCTCAGTTGGATCTTGCTGCCACGCGTGTCAGTGATGTGATTGGGCTCATCGGCCAGAGGCAGACGTACTCCTTTTTTTGTAGTCTGACATTTCGCAGCATCGGAAAGGGTAGCGCAATCAAGACCAGGTCGGTGAGAATGTTGGTGATGGCCATGGTGAGAAGGTTGGCCATTGCCTTGGCGCAGGTCGGAACTACTCTCGTGTCAGCGCCTGCTCTGGTTGCTTCATATCTCGAAAAGACGCACGCGTTTCGGGAGGCGCTAGTTCCCAGGCACTAAAGACGTCGGTCAGCTTCTGGTGTCCCCAGGACGGTGGTGGACGAACAGGTGAAGTGGGCGGCATTCCGTGACAGTGCTAATTACAACCCCCACAAAGGTGACAACAACGAACCACCAGGTGATGGTGGCCGCTCGCTTACCCCAGTCCAGTGTGTTGATGAACCGGGAGTAGAATACGAGAAGACAGAGCTTCAAGCACCACAAGCTATTTCCCAAGGTCAGACCACAACCACACATCGGCAGAGCCAGGCGCAACCTACAACAAGGCATAGCATATCCTGCCAGGGATAAGGAGTTTCCTCGCCAGCACCCTGTTCGCGGTCAACTGCGCAGCGGTCAAGCTCACGGCGTTCGCCTCCTCGACCGACACTGGCGACATGGACTGCAGCGGATTGAGCACATAGGCACTCAGTATCGTCGCGGATCGTCCGATGAGCGGCAACAGCGCAAATGCCATGATTGTGTCATCGCTGCGCCAGTGTCGGTGGCATGTCTTGTGGATGTGGCATCGCCAGATGGCGCGGTAGACGCAGCGGAAGAGGATGAGCGTTCCGCAGAGGCAGGTGGCGATGATGCTGAAAATGAGGTCCGACGAGAGCGCCATTTTCTCCGTGCCTGCTGTCAACGCGCCATTGGAGGTCGGTGATGACGGACAGATGATAGACAATGGGGAAATGTCTCAGCGCAACGTGTGCTTCCCGCGTGTTGAGTGCATCCGTGTCTCGGAGGTCTAGTCCATGAAGCTAAGAGGAACAGGGCAAAACAATAGGATAAGAATCAATATTATGTACAGAGGTCATGGGCAGCCGTCCAGCCGGCTGGGCACGTGGAGAGCAAGTCTGGGGTCGGACCCCGGGTCACCTCGTGTCGGCTAGTCATGCTCCCGGTCCACGGAGCTGGGAATGGATCGTTTCGATGTCCAGACTCTGGATGCTGGCGTCGAGGTTCAGCCGCACTGCGAATCTGCGAGGCTGCGAGTCTGTCGCAGGAACCGTGCAGGTGATAGCATTTGAAGACGTTTCCCCTGATAGCGCTGCCTGCAGCGCTGCAAAGGCCACGTCGATCGGGCGGTAATCCCTACCAACTTTCCCCCGTCAATCAGAGGAGCAAGTTGAGAAGAGGAAGCCATGGAGGCCCCTTCTTCGCCTGGCGAAGACGGTCAAATTGCTTTGGCGAAACGAGCCAATCTTCGCGTCCAGTGGCTTGCGTAGCGCCCCGCCATCATCCGACACAGCAGTCCACGAGTCCATATGTGACTAACTAACGCATTCTGATGTAGCGCCAAGGGGCTCTGGGAGGAATGCCTGGGCGCGCAACTTTACAGGAATATGCGCGGTCCGCCGGTCAAACTTCAAAGTTCCCAGGACACGAATGACCCAGACGGGTGCATCCCACCATTCCGCGCCCTGTCCATAGCGATAGCCGCTGTTCCACTTGCTGATGCTTTGTCGCAGCAGCCTCAGGGGGTCGAACCCCACAAATGCGCAGCGCCGCAGATCACCACTACGTCCGACGGTCCCAGGGGGGGCGTTGGGCTCAAGTCGTAGGGTATCAATTGAGCATCTCGATTCTTAAATATCTGGAAACCCGGAATGAGACGAATTTGAGCGCCTTACAGGGCTGCTTTGTGGGCGATGCGGGTGGAGAGATAAGGCTGACACCAGCGACGAGCTGGACAGGCCAAGTTGGGTGTGTAGCGCAACATCTCTGATAGCCGCCCCAACAGAAGGTGAATTGCAAGAAGCCTGCGGATCTCGTAGGAAGCAGTCATTCGTTGTGTCTCCCAAATAGTAATGAGCACGCACACTAGTCTAAGAAGACCTTTGCTCACGTCTGACAGTCAATGCGGTTCCGAACCTACCCTCCGGCTCGGGTGCCCAGAGGTCTCTTTGCGAACATCACTTGGGCTCCTTTCTCAAGCATGGTGCCAAGATCAAAGTAGTGTGTGGGAAGACTTGCCAGAGATACTCATTAGTGCAGTTGTCGGGCACTCGAGCGGCGGAGAAGCGGCGGCATCCCCGTATCGTTAGGTCGTGGTTGCGACCAGATGCTCCTGCTAGAACCTCGGATCTCACAGCGGATGCGATGCAATCGGAAGAGCACACTAGGAATGCTGCGCGATGGGCGATCGCTACATCTCGTATGCGATGTGTCTACGTCGAGTAATTAGCATCAGGCTGGAATTATCGGGGAGTTGTTGGTGCACAGTCTATGTCAAGACCATCCATAATGACGTGCCCCGAGAACGCGTGCCGATGAGGCGATCTTTATTTCATTCCTACAGCCGACGTGAAGATGGAGAAGAAAAAGGAAAAGACGATAGGAGCAAAACTTATGTACAAAAATAATAAAAAAAGAATTACGCAGAAAGAGGTTCGAACTCTTGACGTCTTACGACAGCGCGGGAAGTTGGTAAACTTCTGTTAAACAGAGTTAGCGCCAGACGGATGGAGAGATAAAAGCAGAGGTACGTACAAACGCGCCCCCTTAACCACTCGGGCATCTGCGTTCCATCAAATGGAAGGGACAGAAATTAATATATATAAAGGTGATACCTAGTCGCTGGCTTAAACTAAGACGGAGGGCGTCGCCTTTCAAACCAGTCTCTCCCAAAGAATGGCTCCCTATAGTTATGTGCTGTTTAGAGACAACCTGAGCAAAGATACAGGCCTTGTGTGCAGCCATCAAGGTCGTAGTTATTGCTCAACATTGGCACCATCCCTGAAATCAGGATGCAAAGAAAAACGAACAGATCTCTTGGTGTAATGCTTACTGGCTTGGCTTGTTCTTGAGAATATCTTCTGTGTCGAAGCCAGGTGGAAGCTGGGAGGCTCTCGGATCCGGATCAAGCATGCTTTCAGGGCCCTTGTGGGTGACCGTCTTCTATGTCTCCCAACGTTCTCGAAAGGTATTCTGTAGTGGCTCCAAGCCAACAAGGTCAGGTCACGACAACTCCCACTGACCATTGCGAGACCAAGGGCCGGTACTTTTGTGAAAAATGCGTGCGTGTGGCTATATGCAAGGAATGTCACGGATAACATAAGGTCGGCTGCTTCCAAACACCACACGTTGAAGTAGGCATCTTCAAGCGGAATGTGACCAAGTCCTTAACGATTATAAATTTTGGAAAGACAGTCGCTCGGCACTGTCTTCTACTCACCAAGCTCTCTGCCCGTCAACATGACCTGCCCCTTGAGTGCCTCGATAACGCTATCCCTCATCCACCACGTCCCCTCGTCTCCTCTAACCCCCTGGGTCCGCACACTTTCATTCTTTTCCGTGGACATGCTGTCGCCCACATCAACACCCTTGAGCAGTCTATCTCTGACGCTCCCCCACTCGAACAACAGCCTGGCGCCCTCCATCCTTTCACGATCCGTGGCTTCACTGATGCCCCTGTTCAACTCCAACCGTGCGTCGACAGCGCAACCCGTCTCCCGCTCTTCTTCTTCTTCTCCAGGCGTGGCCTGTAGCATTGCCGCACGCTCCGCATGCGTTACGTCTTTCAGCGCATCGAGATTGAAGAGCCACTCAAGAGGGGTGTCGCCCTTCTTCACAGTCCCCAAAGCCCTGAGGGTCGAGGAGAAGGCTCCTTCGTGAGGTGGCCGACGACGGAGATAGATACTCTGCGTCTTGGCAAAGTCCTCGCGCACTTCGGCTCGGTTAAAATCCACAGTGATGTCCCAGAACTCTGGTCCTCCGTTTGTGGAAAGGCTCTCAATCTGCTCCAGTGGAGGAAGGAGACAAGGTGTCGTGCGGTAAAGAGACGACTCCATGTGGCGGGATTTGAGGCGAATCTGTACATCCACTGCCACAGGCTGACCTGTCAAAATATCCTTGGCAACGAGACAACGTTGCTCGGTGGCGAGAACCCAGAAGTGTCGCAGGGCTTGCAAGTGAGAGCGATTGTCCATCACATCCGTTGGGAAGATGGGATAAAAGGACATGAGAAGGGCGGCAATAGCTTGGTTGCTGTTCCCAAACGTGACGGTGCCACAGCCGAGGAACAAGGCACCAATGGCCAGATGAGCGGCTAAATGGGATCCATACGGTGTTTCTGCGTCGGCCCGCCCATGAAGGGACCGTAGACGACGAAGAACGGGTATATCGCCCGTGCCAGCCATAACGATAGACAGCGAGAGTGCCAGGACATCTTGACACATGCGCGCATTGGAGCGTGTGAGCTCCTCGTCATAGGGGGGACTAAGCTCGTGATCCGTGACGGACGAAGGAATCCGCGTGATGCGGATGAACTGGTCCAGATAATGCAGCAAAATGTCCCGCACTTTGATCGATGCGCTGCCGGAGAAGCGCAGGGCGATGGAGAGGCATACGCCGGCCAGAATGCTGAAGAGTGGCAGATCCGTCGACCGAAGCCCATTGGTGCTTTGTAGCCTGTGCCGAGATCGATAGACGCTGGGCAGACTCTTGGAGATCCATGAGAATGTTGGCTGGATTTTGGTCCACATGATGATGTTCTTGGTCATCGTCCTTAGCAGCAAGATGTCTGGGCGGATGTAGTCAAACTGCAGGATGGAATCGGGCACGTCAATTTTGCGTGCTATACTGGCATCCTCCGTCTTCATGTAGATGAAAGCAATAGCCAGCACAGCGCCAGCAGCGGCTCTGTCCAGAACATGGACAATTTCGACACTTTTTGTCATTGTGGCAAGTGTAATGAGCTTCTCGGTGACTTTCAAGTCATGAAGACCCTTGAGGTCATTGCCTTTGCCGAGGTTGATGAATCCCAAAGCGAAACCAGCTGCTAGGCGATAACATTCGCTCCGCAAGGGCTCTTGCTCATCTTCGACATCAATATGCTCAATCTCGGAGAGCATAATCTCGCTCATACGACGATGCTGGCTGTTGCAGTACAATAGACCGATGCCTAGCAGGGCAGAGGTTTGGGTGAGGGGCGATAGATTCAACTCAGCAGAGCCCCGAGGTAGCATGCGCGTGGCATGCACCGACAGCAAACGGGTAATCAGCGAGTCCATAGTCCCCATGTAAGACGCCGCAAAGCCCAAGAGGAGACCTATCGAGGTCATGGTGTGCTTTGGGGTAAGGTACTTGTACGCAACCCATTTGGCCACACCTTTGAGGTGACCATTCAACCCCAGCGCGAGTAAGAAGCCGGCGTGACGATTGCCGAGCTCTTGCGACGTCTTGTTGAAAATGATCCACGATGAATCAATGCCCTTTGCTTCGGGCGACACCGCTAACGCTGCTGCCACGCCCTGGTGGAAGAAAGCCCAGGACACCTTGTCCTCGGAAAAGTGGCTCTTGTCAACGGCCACCGTGACATTGGCAGGCTTGACTACGCAGTGCAGGTTGAAGCCGCTGATTTGCAGTCTCTGTGTGAGGATAGGATGTCGTAACCCGTAGAACAAGAGACCCCGACCCGAGGGTATGGCCAAGGTGCCGAGCGCGACTCTGGCGACAAAGTCCTTTTGCTTCTCCAAGTGAACACTCTCTGGCACGTCGGATGGAGCCGAAAAGTGCACTGCGCGGGCTTTGTGCGTAGATAGCAGTTCCTGCACTTCATTGAGACGTCGATCATCCTTGAACAAGGCGCGGATAACAGCTTGTCGTTCAGTGCCTTCGCTTTCCTCCGGTGCAAGAGCATTGGCCTCCTCAATACTTGAGCAGAGAAGCTTGAAATCCCAGGTAGCTGCGTGAGTCGGTGCCAGTAGATTCGCATTTGGGGGACGCTTGTGCTCGTCGGGGGTCAGGATTCGGGCAATGTCTCTCCTCTTCACCAGATGCAGAAGGCTGCTAGACCACGTCGATGGTGGGTATGGCTGGCACTGCGAGATGGCGTCTTGCAAAGGTACCAAGACAGCCTCAGGCAGTGTATCAAGGAACGAGGGCATCATGCCACACTCGTCCATGGCCTCCACCATGTCCACGGCTGAAGGGTTCCGCTTTAGGCTTTTGAAGAAGCGCTTGAACACCAGCGTCCGAGGGAAAATGTCGTTCCATCGCAAGTCCCATTTGAGGTCGGTTTCGCTCATGCCGCAGCTTAGATAGAACATCTCGCCTGGTGTGAAGTAGGGTTCGCACTCAGTCTGTGTGAACTGGCTCTGGATCCATTGCAGTATGTCCGGTCGCTTAACCGGTTCTTCAATGGGGGGCTGCACCTGGAGGTCGGTGTCATGACGATGATCAATGTCTTCTTGTATCCCAACCTCATGCACCGTCCAGAAGCTCTCCCAGCCAAGCCATCGACCAATTTGACATAGCATTACGCGCAGGTCGACCCTACCAGGAGAAACAGTTTCAGGTATCGTGATGTCCAGTTTCATCTCCTCCAGCAGAAGGTGGAGCGCCAGAAACATGTCTGTCGCGTTCTTTCTCCTCGACTCTGGGGTTCGGCTGAGGGCCGTAGGTAAATAGCCTCCTGGGCCTGTGGCAGACTCACCAACTGCAGCGGAAAGGAACTCCTTGGCCAGAGCAATGTGACGGCTCATGAACTTTGGGGCTGGGCTCAGGTCCCCATGAGGCGACATCGCGTCGTCCAAGTCCTCGTCCAATGCCCACTCCCAGCCCTTGTTCATCAGCCACGGCGGGCAGCCGTGTGAGTTGACCGTTTCTCCCATCTCCAGAGCTTTCCAGTCATCGGACTCGCGGATTGGTCCGAAAGACCCAGACACAGTCCGCCGCTTTCGTACAGGCAAGCGTGTCGTTGTGAAGGCGGTGATGTCCGTGCGGCCCAGGTTGAGATACATGGCTAGCACCAATATGACGGTCGCAGACCACTCTACATGAGCAACATCGTCCTCGCGACCCGAGAGCCACTGCATGGTATGGAGCCAGCCGGCTTGGATGCGCTCCCCAACGCCATCCGGCAGTGCACCTTTACAGGCCGCCAGCACGCGTCTCACCAGTGGAGTGACAGGCTGCAACTGAATCCTGAGCTGATGCAGTCTGCCCTGCGAGTCAACGACATCGACCACCCCGCGACTCCGACTATGGCGGATACCCATGATACTGCCGTTGCTTGGGTCGATGACTTCCGACTTGCGGTGCTTGACGTCACGATCGATGCTTCTGGCTACATACTGCAAGCTTTTGGTGCTTTCGACAAGCAGCATGGTCAAAGGTATCCTCGTCAGCTCCCGCCATGGGGCTTGGAGAGTCAGCTCGTGTCGTCCGTCGGCAGACTCCGACAGCACAAGCACCGCGGACTCGTCACCATCGACAACCTCGCAAGAGTCCATGACGTTATGCGCGACCCTTAGTTCCCCTGGAAGCAAAGAAACATGCATGACTCCAAGGTCATCCGTTACGGGGTCTTTGCTCCTTGTGCTCTTTGGCTTCAGTTGGAGCTGGAGCGCCATGAATTGCAGGTGTTTGTCGGTCGGATCCTGTACACCAACAAGAAGCTGCCGCACGGAGTTATGGTTGCTTTCAAAGGGCGGTGCATTCAGGATGAATACTTTCGGCTGAGGTTTCCGAGTGGACCTACCAGCTTGGTAGTGGAATGCGTGACTCTCCCAATCAATGCTGTGAATCTTCGCTAGCTTGATCTCCCGCTGCAAACCATCGATCTCATTGTCTTCCAGGCCCATGTTATGGAACCCCTCGTCGAGACCAATGTCAAATGGTGCCTCGAGCAAGCTTCCTAGGCTGGGCCGTATCTGGCTTCCATGTACACTCGACCGCGCATTGGCACCAAATGACTCTCCTCGCCGTATGGAGCCATGCCCTGCGCCAACAGACTGATCACCAAAAGCATGCCGCTCATGAGACGCTGACAGGTCAGCTCGTGCCAGCATGGAACTGACTCTTCGGGAGCTTCGGCGCGTGGCCTTGTTGGTCTCCTGGTCTTGCTGTTCCAGCGACATCACCAGATCTAGCGGCTTTTCGATCTTCTCTGTCTTGCGAGATCGCTTTCCTGGTAAAAGGGCGCCGAAGCTGTCGCGGACCCCTGCATGCGCAGGCGTCGAGGTACCACTGCTCAGCGCCGGCTGCATGGAACTTCGTCTGTGCGACTTTCGCCGCTCCACCTTGTTCGAATTTTTTATAAAGGGGTCGAAAGGATCGAGATATGTTAGGCGCCATACAGTGAATGAGTTGGTCTCGCGATTGAGTGTAACCACCAAAGTGACAGGTTCTGCCCCGACAATGCTGATCTGCTCGATATGAAGCAACTCTTCGGACGGGTGAAGGAAACTTAGGGCTTTGGATTGTTTTCTCCGTCCTTTCTTAGGGTCGGGTTCAGCTTCCCTGACGACGAGACCGAGCTCCAGCACAGGATCCTTTAGACTCATCAAGCGTGGCCATTGAGAGTCGGCCACTGGTTTTTGCTGGTCATCGTGGCCGACTGTCGATCCCATGCCGAATCTGAGTGGCCTCACGTTGCCCATATTTTCGATGGAAAAGGTTGATACCTGAGATGCTTGAAAAGTCGATAGGTGCGATGAGACAAGGGAACTCTGCGTCACACGAGGGACGTTGAGCGCGACCGCTGATGCATTGGCGGGTGCAGGTCGTCGCTGCAGGATGATGCCCACGGGTGCCGCGCAGGCGAACTCGACTGGGAAGGGTATGTGGACGACATGGCTGGTACCGGACAGACAGTATATACGAGCTTGTGTCTGAAGGATGACGACTAGCGCCTTCTCGAGCTTCGGAGAGTCGGTCGCTCGTCTTTTGTTGTCTTCTGGAGCTGGAAAGTGTGCGAAAAGCGCCTGGGTGATGGACTCTTTCTCGACGTCGAAATTGTAGCTCTGCCGGACCAGGCCCCCTCTCGACCAGATGACCGTGTTCTTTACTGTCAACAACTCATCCTCGACATGTTCCCCATTCGTATCGTCGGTCGAAATGTGCCATTCATATGCGCTCGAGGGTGGATTGGGCGGGAGTAGTTGCTCGTTGATGGCGTACTGAAGCCCCGAGGGTTGGTGCAGCCCTAGGGACTCGACCGAGGCCATGACGCGTGGGCTCCATAAGCCACAATCGGTCTTGATGGTCGAAAGAGGTCCTTGGTGCTTTCTGAAGCTCCACGACGCGTATTTGCGACGCGTTCGGGTCCCTTGGTGGTGGGATGCGGTCGAGGGTGGTGTTGAGTTAGTGGGGTATAAACTTAGCTTGCAGGGATGAAGCTGTATCCGTCAGGCTTCAGGTAGGTAGGTACCTAGGTACCTTACCTTAGTAGATGGTACCTTACCGACGGCATCCTCGTGACGTAGTAAATGCAGGCACCGCAATTACTTCCTCCACCTCCCATCGACCCCAACCACCTACTCATCAAACGATCAAGACGTTCCGACAACACGACTTCGACTGCCAAACCCCCACAGTATGCTTGAGACGCATGCGCTGTCGCGATGACAGACCAGACGCCCTCGACAGGCGCTGGCCGCGCCGATGGGTCTGAGTCTCCCCAGCTGCCCAGCTACGCGCCACGCGACGAGGATCAGGGCAGCGTGTCCTCTAGGCACGAGGAAGACCTGGCAACTCCATTGGCCGACGTTGGGCGACTCGAGAACCAAGTCAAAGCCAGCACTGCTAGGCCCAAGGTCGATGACGACAGGCACGACGAGGAGGACGAAGATGACGAAGACGAAGCCAGCAAAGATGTCGATGAAGACGACGAGGACGACGAGGATGAGTATGACGACGAAGATGAAGAACCACAGCTCAAGTATGCGCCCATGACACAGCACCTGCGCCCTCTCTACCGCAATGGCGATGCAACGAGTTCGTTCCTCGTGGCAGGGGACAAGATGATCGCCGGTACACACAACGGCAACATTCACGTCATTCAGCTACCTGTCTTTCAGTCACTACGGGTGTATCATGCACATGCTGCGTCCGTGACAGGCATCTCGATATCCCCGTATCCCCCGCCTCTCCCCAGCGACAAGCCTCAAGTTCCGGCACGAAGCGCCACCCACGCATCCCAGGAGCGACCCGGCTCGCAGCAGTCCAATGCACCGATAGTCTCATCTCGAAAGCCTCGCGAGGCTCAGCAGGTGCCAAAGACGGCCTCAAACGACATCTACATAGCAACCTCGTCCATGGACGGCAATGTCTGCGTTCAGTCCTTGGTAGACCTGAAGGATGTCCAGTTGCGCAATTTCGCGCGGCCGGTGCAAGCCGTTGCACTCTCGCCAGAATACAAGAGCGACCGGACCTATATCTCAGGCGGTCTTGGCGGGCAGCTTATCTTGACCATGGGTGGAGGACCAGGACGCAGCACGTCCACCACAACGGGCGGCGCCGCTGCCACCGCATCAGGATGGCTCGGCAGTATGGGTCTTGGATCGAACACGGGCAAGGACACAATCTTGCACTCGGGTGAGGGCACAATCAGTACCATCCAGTGGTCGCTTTCCGGAAAGTATGTCGTCTGGCTGAATGAACATGGCATCAAGATCATGAGGTCCCACCTGCATCTCGACAGCAATCACACCGATGATGCGTGGAAGCGTATTGGTCACATTGACCGTCCTAACACAGACGAATGGGAGACCATGGCTGGTGTCTGGAAGGGGCGGGTTGAATGGATAGATGAGACTGCATTCGAGACGCAGCCAGTGAACGCAGGCTCCCAGGGAACGCCGGCAATGTCAAAACTACGAGAGCAGGCGACGCTCTCTAATAAAGGAATTGAGCGTCTACTGGTTGGCTGGGGCGGCACTGTCTGGATCATACACGTCCATCCCACCGGCAAGGGTACCGGTAAACAAGCAGGGGAAGTGATACCAGGCGATGCGCAAATCGTAAAGATTCTGCGACTCGACTGCATCATATCTGGTATTTCGCTGTACACGCAGAACCTCATGGTGGTCCTGGCGTACGTAACGGCAGACGATGACGACGAGCATACGGACGACGACGAGGGTGCGCCTCACGTCAAGGGCCACAAGTCCAAGCACTCCTCGTCCTCTATGGGAAGCCAACCATCAGGAGGATTGCCACGCAAAGCGAATCACCTCCGACCCGAGTTACGGCTGATCGACCTCGACACGTCAGAGGAGGTCAGCGCCGACAGCCTCAGCGTCAGTAGGTATGAGCGATTGTCAGCCAGGGACTATCACCTGGGTATCCTACCGCCGCGCAACGCCGCTGCTGTTGTGTCATCGCGAGGCGTTCTCGATGCGCTGGGTGGCATTGGCAGCAGCATGTGGAATGCGACGGTCAACCCCGGATCTCTATTCAGCTCAGGCGCGAGCGTTCGAAGTCGAGGCAGCGGTGAAGAGGCGAGCATCATGACTGGTAGCGCCAGAGGGCCCATGCGCTCGGCTTCGAACCAAGCAACGACGGTGCATCCTAATCTAGTCAAGCCAGGCTCGAAGATCTTCATCCACAGCCCGTATGACTGCATTCTAGCAACGAAAAGAGACCTTGGAGATCATTTCCAGTGGCTGCTGGAGCGACAGCAGTACAGTCAGGCATGGGAACTTCTCGACGAGCACCCTGAGATTTGGGCCCCGGCATCCGAGCAGCAGACAGCCCCTCGTGGAAATGGGGACGAACCTGCCGATGATGAGTCTGTCACAGATTCAAACTACAACAAGATGTACTCGTCTGTTGAACGTGAAAAGGGACGAATCGGTGAGCTCTGGGTGCAGGAACTTGTCGAAGAAGGCAAATGGCTTGAGGCGGGCAAGATCTGCAGCAAAGTGGTGACCACGCCAGATCGTTGGGAGAAATGGGTCTGGGCCTTCGCCGGGGCAGGCAAGTTTGACGAGATCACCAACATCATACCAACCGAGCCTACGACACCGCCCTTGCCGACAACTATATACGAGGTCCTCCTTGGGCATTACATCAAGACTGACAAGCCCCGGTTTAGAGAGCTGCTAGATCGTTGGTCGACAGAGCTCTTTGATGCGCGGACCGTTACAACAGCGTTGGAGAACCAGCTCAAATATCGCGATGTGCGCGAGGACAGCGTCGAAGATGGCGAGAAGGGTCGCGACTGGCGCATTGTCGTGGAGAGTCTAGCCCGATTGCACGAAGCCATCGGGCGGTACCATGAGGCGCTCAAGTGCTACATCAAGTTGCAAGATGCGGACTCGGTATTTAGGCTCATCAGGGACAGCCACTTGGCTGAGGCTGTTGTGGATGACATTCCCGGTTTCATAGGTTTGAGGGTTTCGTCTGAGGATCTACCAAACATGTCAGAGCAAGATCTAGAGGCTGCGACGGCCGAGGCCGTCGCACTACTCGTGGATGAAGCCCACCATGGCCTGGTACGCCCCGACACGGTCGTCGAGCAGCTTCAAGCTCAAGAGCTGCACCTTTACTTGTACTTTTACCTACGCGGTCTGTGGAAGGGCGATGGCCTCGAGGAGCGCACTGGGGAGAACGTGGATCGCCTCGTCATGGACAGCCAGTCGCTAGTCGACAACTACGCTGATCTGGCTGTGCATCTATTTGCAATGTACGACAGGGCGCTATTGATGGAATACCTGAGAACGTCGACATCCTATGTATTGGAGAAAGTGAGTCTAGCCTTCCACCGGGGTATCCAGATATTCATGCTAACTGTTCAGGCTGTCCAAGAGTGCGAGCTTCACTCGTATGACGACGAGTTAGTGCACTTATATTCCAAAACAGGGCAGATGAAGCGCGCTCTGTATCTCATCATCGACCGCCTCAAGGATGTCCACAAAGCCATCGAGTTCGCAAAAGAACAAGGCGATGATGATCTATGGGATGACTTGCTCAACTACAGCATGGACAAGCCTAACTTCATCCGCGGCCTACTAGAGCAAGCCGGCACTGCCGTCGATCCGATTAAACTGGTGCAGCGGATACCCGAGGGACTCGAGATCGAAGGCCTCCGCGAGGGCCTCACGCACATGATGAAGGAACACGAAATACAATACAGCATCAGTTCCGGTGCTGCGAGGGTCCTCCGGAGCGAAGTCGCGGGCGCGCAAAAGGAACTCCGCACCCGCCAGAGAAAGGGTGTCAAATTCGAAGTGGTCGTCAAGTCAAAGAAGCACGTCGACATGGAAGCCATGGAGGCAGGCGACGACGACCATGAGAAGACACATGGCGTCCGCGTGCCGGAGCCAGGCCACTGCGCGCAGTGCCATGAGCCGTTTACAGAATATGAGATGGAGACGTTGCTGGGGTATGCCTGCGGGCATGTCTACCACGTGAGCCACTTGCTGGAGCTGTTGCATGATGGGAAGAAGGCGGACGTGGACCTGGGACCGCCTGCAGAAGGGGGACGGTACAGCGTGAGCATGAAAGTGATGCGAGCGCGATTATTAAGGGATCAGGCGCGCGATGGCTGTCCGCTATGCCACGCGGCGTAAGGAGTCATACACACAACTTGTTTCATGCCATTTTATGCGGGAGAGTGCCGCGATTGACACGAGCGAAGCGTATCAGATACCATGTAAATCTTTCCTTCGCCCCAAGACGTGTTCATCATCAACGTAAACTCCAATGGCCGAGGGTACGCTCCTGAGCGCGTCCGTTCAGACGAGGTAAGCAGCCGCAAGGCCCGCGAGGCCAAAGGCGCCGTAGTCGAAGACCTTGGCCTTCGCAGCACCGCCGGTAGGCTCCTCGTCGGCAACGGACTTGGCGGCCGTGGGCTGATCCTCAATGCTGGAAGAAGAGGTGAGGTTACCACCGTTGTCGGTAGCAGTGGGCTCGTCTTCGCCCGTCGGGGTAGGGGACGCGCTATCCGCCGTGGAGGAGGGCTCCTCGGGGACGGGGTTGCCAGTGGACATGGAGACCTGGCAGGCGGTAGACTCGACGATGGTGCAGAGGTTGAGTTCGTAGACGAAGCGGCCTGTCTGTCTGTCAGTGACATGCTCTGGGTGAGGAGGGGGTGAAGGCTGCGCACCATCAACGGTCGAGGAGGCAAGCTCCTGGGGTGGCTCGTTTCGCGTGTAAACCTCGTCGGCTGTGTTGGTCAATATGAGTGTGGTACGCAAGGCGGACGGAGATAACGCACAGAAAGGGGCCAGGTTAATCATGTTCTCGGCGGCGACGAGCGTGGCGCCAGTGAGAGCGAGGAGGCGGGCGAGATTGTTCATCTTGATGGAAGCCATTGATGATGATTCTAGATACTATGTTAGAATTATCGTTATCATCGTCGGGTTCCATGGGCGGGAATTGGTGAGATTTGTCGAGGTGAGGCTGCACAAACAGAGGAAGCTCCGCAAAGCGATGCTGTATTCTATGGATAAGAGGGAATCAGAAGTTGCAAAGAGCATACCTTTTGGGTTTTTCTTGGGTGATCAGATTGCTTGAATGTGTTGAGCAGAGAAAGAGTAGAGCGAAGATGCGCAGTCGAAGAGTGTTCCTTTGCAGGCTCACGCTGGTGGAAAACAAGGAAAAGAGAGGAGTCATCGGAACTGGGCGCGCTCACTGTTTCCAGGACGGTCACAGACCTGAGTGGAGGGTGAGCGTCTGGTCATCAACCAAGAGTGTCCACGCCGTCAGTGGCGAGTGTGGTGATAGCGGGATGGGATGGCGACTGGGCAGCTCCCAAGTCGGCGTTTGTCTGGTCCTACGTAGCAGTGGTCTTGGAGACATATTCATGCCTTTCACTGTGAGACCGTTGGAAAGACTCTAACCCAATACTGCTTGTTTCGACGGTCTTTGGCATCTCGAACAGCAAACTCGCATCGTCAAGTCTCCAGGTGGGAGGGAGCAATGTAAACAGAACATATACTAGCTCTCTCTGGCATGATATCCTCTCCTTCAGCTTCTAGCTTAGCTTACTACTTGGAATTTGTCCCCTTAAGCCATTTTTCTCGATGAAACTGGCTTAGACCTGGCTCACAATGGTCCGCAAAGACTGCGAAACGTTGATAGAGCAGCGTGAGCTGGGGCCATACACCGCTTGTCCGCCCCCAACACGTGAAATTCAGGGGGGGGGGGGGGGGGGGGGGGGGGGCGGGGGGGGGGGGGGGTGTGGGTGTTGGATATGTTGTGTTGTGGGAGGTGGGGC